AGCTTGTGCTGTAAATACACCAGATTTAGCTCAGGGCAAGTTTCCATCCATAGTCCCAAAATACCGATATTTACTAATGCACAGCTACAGTAAATATTACAATCTTGAAGCGATAACAGCAGATTTGGATCTATCAATGTATTACAATGATGCATTTTCTTCTGATTTGTGAACTTTACAAACACTTTACTGTAACAGCCTTGACAAATATTGGTTATGGACCACGACATCAAGTCAATTATTTGATTTTGATAAAGGCTTTTTAGATTTTTTTAGCAGATTATACAATACAATAAAGGCTGGTGGATCTTTAAAGGTTTTTCATTTTATTGTCAAGATTGCCTTGGATTTTTCTCCTCTCTTCATAATTTCCCGGGGTTTTTGCCAGTGCGATCCTGAAGAGCACCTGTCAAAGTTAGACTCACTGCAGCACTCATCTCTCTTGAACAAAGGTGGGTGGATGTTAGGATCCAAAAGAACAATGAACCATATTTGGGCACACACAGAGCACAGAAACAGTTCCACATGGGCTGTCTGTTCTGGGCTCTGGCCTTAATCCCATCTGCTGCTGCCGCCCCTGTGTGCGGTCCTGCTCCATCATGTGTGGTCAGTAGATCACTCTCACACACATGCACTGAACAAATCCCTAATCTCAGTGGCATACTCTGGCAGCGCAGTGTAAAACTGTGGTACAGGATTACATCAGATATAATCCGGCCAACACAACAGAAGACGCAAACATCTCAAAAAAGGAGGCAGACGCATAATCAACGTGGACAGTATAATGTTTGTGTTATGGTCTGATATATACAGAATTTGATGTGTCCTGTATGTATCAATAACTATTTGTATCTGCATTGTGCCTCACAACAAGAAGGTCTGTGTTTGTGGGTTTGATTCCACCAGCTGGGCCTTTTTTTTACATGTCCCTATGTAGGTTTCCTCCAAGTGCTCCGGTTTCCACTAAAAACATGTCCAAGTTTTGAATGTAATGTATGAGTTCATGGATGGTGATGGTCATCTTACGTCTGTCATCTGAATGGGAACACCAAATTTGCTCCGTGAAATGTGCTTTATAAAAAAAGATGACTTACTTGCTGTGTATCCATATGAGATTGCCGTAATGACAATGATTAAGATTATGACAAGGTTTCACACCAGCTTGTTTAGTCCACATAACAGCCAGCTTCATATTTGCACCATCAATGCCTCATTGTCTAATCACTTTCTGACATTGATTCAAAGAGATTGACTTTCTGAATTGGTCTGGCTCCTCCAGCACCTCCTTGTAGATTGGATTTGATTAATCAACTAACTGCCTTGTCTGTGATTGGATTTGGCCAAAACAAAACAGCAATTAATAAAACAATCTGAGAAAAAGCATGACTTCCCTCTTAATACATCCATTCAGAAGCTTAAGATCTCAAAATAATAAAAAAGATGCATTATAGTTTACATGCAAACTTCTGCGGGTTGTTGTGCTTTGGGTTAGTGTTTAGGGTTAAGTCTATGATTAAGAGATCCTTTATTTGTTACAGATAGTAGTAATGAGGAAGACACAGCACAAGATGAATAAATAATAACTTCATACTAAAATAAAATAAAATCCCTGACTTTATTATAATAAGATGCAAGTATAAAATCTTGTATTCTGTAGGTGACTGCAGAATGAAATAGAAATGCTGTTTTTAATCAAACAACCCAAGTCTTCTCGATTAAAATTTTCTCCAGTCACTGACCTTGAAGATCTAAACAACTTAATTAATCTTACTGGTTGTAGTTAAGCCAAGGAAAGGGACTACATATACATATATTTTAAGTGTATGTACAGTGTATGTATAGCATACAGTTATCCCCAGAGTTGTCCGGGCAGTGGCGTATTGTAAAACATGTTTCCATTGCATCAATTGTATCGTATCCACCATGGATCCGGAAACTCTCCCTTCAACCAAATCCACAGCACACACATCACATACAACATTTAAGCTGCAGTGCCTCACTCAGATCTCGCAGCCAACATACGGGACATCCCATGGCTGTGCCCTGTTTCTCCACACTCTCCAGCCTCCTACATTATAGATCAGACCCAGCACTTCCATTCCTGAGCAAGCCCTGGTCCTGTCAGCGAGTTAGGACAATAATTTATGAATGATTCTGTCAATGCAGATTCTCAGAGGAACAACATCAAGAAATCCCTGCACATTCAGCAGCCATTGTGAAGATTAGTTTGGCTATTTGAATTGAACGTGTATTTGTATAATGTATGAGTCTGCAACAAACTGGAAAGAATGGAATGACAACATGTTTGAGTTTTGATTTTATCGTGAATAACTAGTATGACACATCGAATGAAAAACAGAAGACGCTGGGTCTTTTCAAGTAAAATAAAAACCCATTTAGGTTGGTTTTATGTTCTAGAGCAGGAGTGTCAAATTAATTTTGGTCGGGGGCCAAATTTAAAAAGGTCAGTGCTGGTTGGGGTCAAAAGTATAAATGTGGGTTTCTTTTAAAATCATTATTTCTTTTTACATATTTTTACATTTTGAATTGATATTATTGTTTGGATGTAATTGAAACTGATAATAAACTATAAAACATATATCTTTGGCCAAACTTTACTTCATTTTAGTTAAAATTTTAGAACAGATAAACATATGGTCGTATTCCTTTGAAATGTAGTGTGCCATAGTAATGATATTTGATAATAATTTCAGGGGCCACTAAAAATGGTCTTGCTGGGTAAATTTGGCCCACGAACCCGAGTTTGACATGCCTTTTTTAGAGTTTTAACAGGTGCCAATACAACTCTTATGGATAAGACGCCTTTTTTAAATAAATTTTGAATGAGAAAATGTCCAAATGTTTTTCAGATAATGCATTGATAGCAATTAGATCCACAAACTCACCATACTGCAGTTTCCCTTTTTGTCCTTGATGAAGGCCTGTGGCTGATGCACGTAGGGGCGCAGTAAGATCTGTTGAGACAAGCCATACATAATAAAGACATTTTAACTAACAAGTAAGTGCTTTGTTTTTTTGTATTTTGAGTGTTCATCTTCTACCCTGAAAGTCCTTTCTACTGGCCTACCACTGCATATGTTTTTTGAATATTGTCGCCACTTCTAAGCAACCTTTATGCCAAAATAATTATACCGTAGTTGATGTACAGCAGAAAATATGCGGAACTTTTTGTTTTATGTATTGGCTGAGGGATTACAGATAAATGAGCTCTTAACAATTTCCTGACCTTTACAATAGTTAGTAGCAAAGGTTTTTCAGCAGCCCACCACCACACATGAAAATCTACAGGCTCTTTGGAATGTAGTGATCTCAAATGAACTCAACCTATGCAGCCGTGGTCATCAAGTGTGTTCAACAGCAGATGACACAAAAGTTTTTACATAAAATTGAGTTGCATTTCTAAGCTTTTGCAGAATATTTAAATTATTGTTATCATATTCAGTGCTGATTTCTTCCCACACATGCTCTATAAGTGAAGACAATTTATTATTCATTATTCATTTAAAACACATAAGTATGGCTCAAAACAAAGTCTGGGTAAATGCATGATCATGTTGCTCTACAAAAAAGGACGTGCCTGTTCAAAAGTGAAAAGGAGAGGATGTACTTCTATTTTCAAGGCTGGAGCAGATGCAAAGAAAGATGGAGGAAGACTGAGGAGCAGAGAGTAGATCCTTATGCAGTTTGGACAAGGTCTGAATACTTATCAGCTGCGTGTAGGAGGGTTGCTCCAGACTACCTCTCAACCTGTGGGCTCATAAAACTGATGTTATTGCATTGATTAGATTCATTCGAAAAGAAGTACTTATTAAAATATAAAGATTGTGTTCTGAGTCTGACACCAAATAATTGGGATAGATATACAGTACTGCAGAATTGTGAACAAATATTACCATTGTAAATGATGATCCTGGCTGTTTACAATTTGTGTCGTTCCACATGTGTACAATTAAGGCAAGGCAAGGCAAGTTTATTTGTATAGCACACTTCATACACAAGGCAACTCAAAGTGCTGAACAAAATAAGAAAGCATTAAAGTCATAAATAATCACAATACATTAAAAAGAAAGATAAAAATATAAAATATTCAGACCCTCAGTTGTATTAAACGGTTAATGTTATTTTAGTTACATTAAAAGGTAATACACAGCCATTCCTCCCACCACATCATAACAATATGAAGTGATGCCATTTTGGGAAAGATGGAATTTGAACGCGTTTTAAACATGGATCTATTAAAGTACAGACTTTACATCATGTTGGTTGAGAACACTACACTTAGCTTTATCCAACACGTTTTTGTTTTACACTTAGGTAGAACATTTGACAACATGTTGACAATTTACTCACTGTCGTAACCACTAGAGAAGCGTATTACAATAACAACCCAAGGTAAATATGCAGCTACTCTACTTACCAATGTCATTATTTCGCTGTCAAGATGTTTTGATTATGACCGTGATTATGATCAGGAAGCGCTAAGATATCACGCCCGGTGTGTCACTGCCCTCTTGTGGACATGTATAGGCAGTACATGAAGTGTTTACATTATCCTACATTCTTTTGTTGTACCCGTTCATAAAGTAAATTCAAAGTATAGACCTGTTCTTCCATCCACACACAGGCCTCAGTGTATGAGAACATATCCGAGGCATCATGTCCAGTGGCACAATTGTCTGCATTCTCTCAACAAAGATGCAGTAATGATGCATGATTGTTTTAAGGGTATTTTTGTATGTTCTATTGAAGTTTAGCTAATGATTATTTATCAAAATGCAAGAACTAACCGCAGCACTTCACACTTTGTAAGATAATTAGATAAAACGGTGAAATTCAGTGTAAATTTGTGTGCCCTGTGGTGGTATCTGCCAACAGCTCTTCTATTGGCTGGGCGGGAGTAGCAGACAAATACAGTCACGCCATTGGCCTAAATAAAAGTCAATCTTCAAGAGGCCAGCGCCTATTGGTTATTGAAGCCAATGCCTTTGTGGCTTTTCTTCTTAAACCCGTCAGACAAGAAAGAGACGCCCTCACAAACGTAACGCTGGGTTATTATCGCTACAATATGTTTTTAACAAGAATATCCATGCGGTTCGTTCTTTGGGACTAAGAAAAACTGGGGGTGAGTACATTCTTCTCTCTGCCGTGAACAGATATAAACAAAAGCCGCAGACGCTGGAGTGTTGACAGTGCGGCTTGAACTGTGTGGAAGAATGACAAAACTTATGAACTTATTTATGCTTCAATTAATATTAAAACACATTGTACAGTCGCGTTGCTTGTAATAACAATGTAATTACAGTTCATGGACGTGTTTACGCGACACCAGTAACTTGAAGTTATGTGTTGGCATCTGAAGTTGGTGTGGACTATCGCGGCCGTATTCCTTCATCCATGCCACTATTGTTGATCTATTGCTAAGAACCTGTGTCAAAACATTTCAGTGGTTTTGCATTGATTGCTACAAGCTGCTGTTTTGTGATTGTCTGAAGCCTTGTTTTTTCATGCTGCTGGAGGATTAGCAGCTAGGTGGCTAACATCCACCAGCACCTCGCTCACATGAACTATGCCATGAATGAACACACTGCTCTTTTGTGCATGGTCTGTTCCCAGTCTGGATTTAACTTTTGCATGCAGTTATTATAGCCACTTGTTAACAGTATTTACACTTCTCGCAGATCCTCTGAGAGCTGGTGTGTGTCATGGTGAGACAGAGTGAGGGGGTGTAGTGTAGTTATTGTGTTATTGATCATATGTCGATGAGCTGCAGCAGCAGATCACTGAGGCCACAGAGGTAAGCACTGCTCTGCTCACCAACACACAGACTGGACTCTTTTATGTGTCACTCATTCTGACATTTAACAATCAAAGCTATTTGCACAGCTTCGATTATTACACCATCTCGTCTGAATGAGTGCAATTTTCTGCTCTTTGCAAGGTATACATGTGACATTTGTCAGGACCACACACATTGGGTTTGAGGGAACGTTCACGTCTGGACTGGATATTGAGATAATGGGAGCACCAAACATCTACACTATTCACCTCGGGTAATTTTGAAGCGGATCAATGTCAATCACAGGGACTGCGTTTGCTTTTGAAGTGAACCAGTCCTACAGATGAGGAAACATGCCCTTAAACACAACACACATTCATCTTCTGGATCCTCTCTCACTCATGCAATTCTGAAGTCTGAATACTTTTTAAATGTGTTTTTTTGTTTGAGATTGATTACTGTTACTGTTGTTTCTGCACAGACTCCTGAATATTTGCACAATCTGCTTTTCTCAGTCATAATGGACTTTGATACGTGTTGCATGAGCTAATTGGCCTTCTCCAGATGAATGTGGTGTTATATACAGCTGCAGCGAAGATTGTGTTACTGTATAGTACGCTGATTAACAAGAATGTTGTTTTTGTTAGGATTTGAACGTATCTATTTTGTTCCATTGGTAAGATCGAAATGTTTGGGAGATATGTTTCAATTTTATGAGAATTAAGACTGTAGTGAAACTATTGGTTTGTAAAAATATAGTTTTGCTGCTCTAACAAAACTGAACTGTCCACTCATTATCCGCTTGAACTATAACCATGTTTGACTATGTCTATTTGATTGTGATACTTGTGGAACACTGTAAAGTGTTGAAGATAGACTGTAGACTGCAGTGTAGGTGAACCCAGAGGTGGGCCCCTTAATGCAGTGTGTGTCTTTGCCCCTCTCACACTTGCACAGTGCAGTGTCCTGGGCAACAGGGCCAGTGGTGCAGCTATGCTAGCCCCGGTAAACAGCTCTGGCCGATCCTTACCCAAGCCTCTCACTCCTGCTGCCATTGAGCTGCTATGTTGATATTCCACTGGTGAGCCATGTGAGCGCAGGATGGACACTTTGACCCGAATACTCACTGACCCACAATGCTCCACTGTGCGCTGCACTCTACAATAAATATGGAAGGGATACTCTGTTATCACCTTGGCTCAGGAGGTTATGTTTGTGCCAGATTTGTTGGTCTGTGTTTTTGTTTGCCCATAACTGAAAGAAGTGGGGTTTTAATGACATTTTCAAGGAATCAAATTACCAAGAAAAAGTAAATTATTACTATAATTGAGCTATGGCTCCATTCTTAAATGATCACTATTATGCATGAAATTAAATGCACATTTTGTTCCACTGATTCTCTTTTGTGCTACTTGGGCTTTGTCTTAGTGTTGCCAAAACCACACTTCAAATTGTGCAGCACCTCTGTCTTTTGTGTGAAGCTATTCTGTCTATCTGCATTGGCCATTTAAAAGAGGAATGCATACTGCTCATAATTTTTATTTGAATCATTTAAATATTTGCCTCATTACATATTCCAAATTAAATAGTGGTACTGCAGTTGTGGACAGAATGCTTCTAACCTGTATTGGCTACAAAATAAAATCTAGTTTGAGGGGGTCCTCTCTGAAGTGCTGCTTGTGCTGCTTGTGTCCAGTCAGGTGTGTTGTTGTTATCCGGAGCTGTGGGGGATGCAGACCCCCCCTCACCTCCTGACCGTCAGTGCCTGTGCCTGGGTCAGCAGTCTCTGTCGCTGTAAGTCACATGACACCGGCATGAAGCCCCCAACATTCCTCTCCTCCGTGTCCCAGCATCCCTCAACAGCTCTACACCTGCCTCTGTGTGAGCTGTCTGCGCTGTTGTTATTCCCTTCTGGGGTAATATTTGAATGTGGACATTGAACTCGTGCAGTGGTGAAACAATTGCCGTATTACTATATGCTGCTGAATATAAGCAATGATTAATAAAAACATCGGACACATAGTTGCTTTTTCAGAATATTGCAATAATTCTCTAGAATAAGCTATTGATTGAACTGCTGGAATATGTTATTACATTACAGGAGCACGTAGGTACCACCCCGAGAAGGACAAATATGGATATTGTTTTAGCAATCAAGCTCATGTAAAACAGTTGAAAATAAATCCTTGTCTGTCTGAAGCATCTTGAGTTGTGCTGCATGCTGTGATTGAGATTGAGCCTGCATGCATCACTGTGCTCTTTTGCTCTTCCCTCACAACACAAGCGCCAGCTCTTTATGATCTGTGTGCACGCTCACAGTCACTTTATTCCAAAATCACATGTCAGCAAGTTTGACTGATATACGTGCACACAAACAAAGGCGTGCTTGTGCTGCTGAGGCAGCGCTTCCCTCATCAGAGCAGCGTTGTTTCAATCCATAGATGTTTACTGCTCTTTGAAGAACCAATGCTTAATTACCTCCTGCCAGGAGGTAAATTGATCATCACTGATGTTTGTCTGTTTGTTTTTGTTTGCGTTTTTGTCTGTGAGCAACAATTATGGCTAAGGAATAGAACTGTACCTCTAGGCGGAGTGCTTTTCTAGTTTGAGATGCTTTGTCTGAATAAAACCCTACAAAGGTTGGTTAGGTGATTTGTTGTTTGCAGTATTTTCAGCATCTATTTTTCTACATTGAGTCAAGCTGGTCTCTATATGATATTGAGCTTGGATGTAGTATGGTTTTCTGCTGAATATTATGTATTTAGAAAGACCAAATCTGCTGTATGCCCTGTGTAAAGGTGTTCCCCACTGTTGTATGAGTAACGATGGCTTTTGTCTTTGAAGTTGGAGAGATTAATCCAAGCGACCCGCTGGAGGTGCCAAACAAAGACGTCATGTCAGTGAGTGTTCATGAGAACCGAAAGTCCCGCACCAGTACGGGGTCCATGAACATCTCACTGTTCCACAAGGCGTCCCACCCGGACAGTGTCCTGGCCCACCTGAACTCCATGAGAAAACAGTGCATGTTCACAGATGTGACACTGTGGGCAGGGGACCGCTCCTTTCCATGTCACAGGTGACCACCATATTTCCTGGACTTTAAGGCGCACCTGTACATAAGCCACAACAGCTACATTTTAAAATATATATATTTTTTTCTTGTCCACATATAGGCCGCACTAATACTCTGCAGGTTTTCTTGTTATAATGTAGCAGATCGACGACTGCTTTAAAGACCGTATGCCGGGTTTTTTAAAAAAAAATTGTGGATATCAAAATTGCATGACAATGTCGATCTGAAATAGATTCCGGCAAAAAAAATCCTATATTTTATAAAAAGAACGTGTTTTTCATGAATTTAAGTTGTCTATGCTCTAACCTGTGTGTGACGTCATAGCGGGTAACGCCCATGCATTGAAAACCATGGATCTATGCCACAGGACTGCCTTTTCTCTCTTCTCTCCATTGATGCCCAACACAATACTGCACTCTACAGGTGACAATTGCTCACTACACATAAATTGCCGTTTTGAGAGTGAAAATGTGTCTGAGGTGGGATTTCAACCCCAGTATCTGGATTGACAGTGCATCGACACAACCACTGGACTATCTCAGTATCAACGAAAGATTGCAATCTAATCTAGTACTAATCACGTACTCGCTGTACACCGCCTTGTCATCTTGAATATCCGCGAAAAAATAACGAATACCAAATTGAAAACAACTTACAGCGTTGAAACGTACCCACTCTGACGTCACCAAGGGCTGTGAAGTTTTTTCGTTTCTAAGGGCGTTGCTATGGGGTTATTTCGATTTGGGGGGATCAGACAAAAAAAACAACTGATTTTGAAACCTTTAGTTCTCTTCTAATATAAAATGGTATTAAAACTGTATTTATAAATAAATCAAACCCGGCATAAGGTCTTTAACTGGTCACAAGGTTGAAAAGAATCTTTGAATATAGTCAGTAAGATAAACTGTGCTCTGACAACAGCCCAACTCTACCACAAAAAAACACATATTAACCACATCTCTATAAGCCGCAGGGTTCAAAGAAATGGGAAAAAAAGAAGTACCTTATAGTTCAAAAATTACAGTAATGCAACAGACACTATACACTTTCAATGTTCTATGATGAAATGTAAGTCCACTAAAACCATGTTGACCATATTAATTTCAGCTGATTAGGTCAAAAGAATCTTAACAGCTAAAACACTTGAGTCTTTGTGCACTGGCAACTCACAGGTTTAGTATTTGTATTTGTATTTGTAGTCACATTTTACACCACAATGACTTCAATTCTAAAAAATTACTCTGTGTCTAATCATCCATAATGTGTATATTTCCTTCTTCAACATGAGCGTGTCAGTGATTATTCTGTAGTCTGATGGTAACAGTGGATGTGTGTGTCCCTCAGAGCCGTGTTAGCCGCCTGCAGCCGCTACTTTGAAGCCATGTTCAGTGGAGGGCTGCGGGAGAGTCTGGACAGTGATGTGAATTTCAGAGACAGTATTCACCCGGAGGTAAACTCATTATTTCTGCACAAAGTAATGTAAACTCACCAATTGTTTATTCTTGCAACAAACGCACATAATTACTACACACATTTACATTACTCATTACATTTTAAAGGATGGCACTCTCCCAATTTTGTTTGTAACAAAGAGAAAAAAAAAAAGTCTAAATTAAATGAACCAAACAATATCAACCTTCGTCAATACTTTACTTTTTTGAAAATGCCAAATGAACACTATTATATCTCCGTCATGTTCCATTATTGAACTCCAGAGAAAGATGCATTGACATTGAATCTCTTTCTTCGCTCTTGATTAAATTTGTAGCAACCTCGTAAATCATATTTACTCTCAGGGTTGAAAAGAATCTTTGAATATAGTCAGGAAGATTTTTAGTTTTAGCTTTGAAAGGTTGCATTGAATTGTATTAGTATAAATCGATACATTTCAACAGATGTGATTTAGAAAAACACTTCATTGATACGCTCTTAATAAGCTGCATTATTTATATTTTTTATAGTTTTATAGTAATAGTTTTTTTCTTATAATTTTTTGTATAAAACATTTGCTTCTGTGGTAGTTGATCCCATGATTCGACTATTATATAGTTTAGTTTTTCTCTTGCCTTATATAGGATTGCTGTGGATGTTTTTCATGCTCTGAATACAAAATAAATTTGATTTTCCTAGTGAGAGTCCGTGAACGTGGTTAGAGGATCGCTGTCCACTCTCTTTTTACATGTCCTGTAAAATGTGTTTATTATCGACACCTAAAGTAGAAGTCGCCATGATGACGGACGGCATCAGTGAAGCTGGTTCAGAGCGGGGCCCACAGGTCACAATAGGTCACATGTTTCAAACCCCAGATCCATGATCTGAGTTTGAGGCTGGAATGCGTCCCTCAGAGCCACACATGATTTATACGTGACTTGCAAACCTTCACAAAGTCAACATGCAAGACGTGACTCAAATCATGTAATAAAACAATTGTAAACATTAAGAAGATACCATTTACATCCAAAAACCCCATTTCACTAAGATTATAGATTTATATCCATTTTATTTCTTCAGGTTGGGGTCGTCACCCTCATTGAACAGAATGAGGAATACATAATGATTAGAATGAAACCATTAGGAATTGAAGTGGTTTGATGATACTTGTTTTCACAGGTTTTGGAGCTCCTGTTGGACTTTGCCTATTCTTCTCGAGTCATTATTAATGAGGAAAATGCAGAGTCGTTATTGGAGGCTGGAGATATGCTGCAGTTTCATGACATCCGTGATGCTGCAGCAGAGTTTTTAGAGAAGAATTTGCATTCGTCCAATTGTCTGGGGATGATGCTGTTATCAGATGCGCATCAGTGCAAAAGGCTGTATGAACTATCGTGGAGGATGTGCTTGGTCCACTATGAGACGGTAGGAATACTAACTTTAATCTGGGATCAAATTCTGTAAAAGGTTGTTTGACTTATTTATGCTTTACTTACTTTCGAGTATACTGGCTTATAATTGGCTTAAGACTAAAGTAGGTATCTTGTGAGCCAGCCGAAATTGGCCCAGTGCCTTGTAATCTTTTTAACTCAATTATGTATGTGGATTTCCTTGGCAAGACTGGCATTGAATAATTGTGTTTCCACTCGCAGAAGTGGAAGTTTTACCCCAAGTCTTTCTCTGTAACAAACTTGGCAATGGATAACAATTAAATGGGAATTCCTAAAACCACATAACCTCATCTGCTGATTGATCGCATTGACTTGGCTCTGCTTTCACTTAAAACTGATTGGATCAATAGAGGTTTTGCATGACATCACATCCAAAGAAGCAGCTGAAGCAGCACTTTTAAAGAGCCTGGAGCCAGCCAAAATTATGTTGCAGTACTTGACACTAACAAAGTGTAATATGTTCACGTTTAGGTCCGAGAGTCTGAAGACTTCTACAGTCTGTCCAAAGACAAACTCTTAGAGCTGATTCTCAGTGATGAGTTGGAGATTGAGGACGAACAGGTGAATCATCTTCAATACATATGAATCTCTATTTTTATATTGCATATTGCTTGTCAACATAAACCAGGATTATGAGGCATATCATGTGCGAAGAGCGCTCTTACATTAGGGATTGCAACATGAAACCATCACCATGGTAATGCCACAAAATACAGATATTATACACGTAACCACCACAATCAATACGCTAACACAATGTGGGCACAGCACTCGCACAATATACAAGGGATGTAAGTGGAGAAATTGTTCCTAATTATGGTTCAAATCCACTCAATTGTGCAGCTATCACTGAAACCAGGCCACTGAGGTCGACCTGTTACTGTGAACAATCTGGTGTGCCGTATTGTGCAGTATTAGAAATATGAATTGGAGGTATTTTAAGGCATGACACATTTCTCTGTCTGGGATATATTTCTAAATCATGTCCGTTTTGTGATCTGAGATGTAGTGGTGTTCTGTTTAATATGGTTTTCTATACAGTATAACTTGTCTGACCATAGCCTTGTTAATCATATGGGTCAAACTGTAGGTGGTGTTTAACTCTGTCATGCGGTGGGTGCGCTATGACCTGGATGGGCGTCGGCATTACCTCCCGGAGCTGCTGCGAGGCATCAGACTGGCCCTGCTGCCCTCAGAGTGTCTGCTGGAGGCTGTGGCCTGTGAGGAGCTGGTGATGGCTGACAAGAGGAGCAGGTCAGGAACCCAGGGACGCTCCAGTCTCTTCTGTTCTATGGGGCATAACTGTATATAACATTAATGGAATTATTTAAAATAGCAAAGCTTCAAACTTTTTACTGGCCTTTGGATCGGTATAGAAATTAGCTATTTTTAATGTTTATTTATATAACTTGCATATTTGAACTCAGCTAAAATCAATTACAAATTATCTTGCCACGTTCTCTCCCACGTTGATAGTTCATACTTTTGAACCATGAAATATTCATGACTAATAGCTAATTGATTTTGATAATGCACAAACTATCTTAAAATGCCAATGAATGGTCCGTCTGTAGAGGAGATGCTGATCATTTATTATATACATTTTATTTCAAACATTTGTAAAAAGAAAACCAAAAACTATAAACCGGATAATTTTTTTATCTCAATACAGTTTGAAATGGGTTAGACAAAGCAGACTCTTATTTGGTTTCAACCCTTCTCACGAATACTTGACCCTCGAATACAAATCATGTTATCAGCCCAGTTTGAATATTGATCTAAAAGCAGATGCAGCATTACCGACAAACACCGGGTCAGTCTTCCATAACACGTCAAACATATTTTCTTTGTTTACATATCTCTGTGCAAACACCGCCAAAAAGGAAACTGGTTAGTGTCCAACTAGATTAGACATGCCAGATATGTGTCAGTTTATGGAGAATCAGGAGACGATCAAATCAAAAGGTGAAGATGATGTGTCTCTCTCTTGCAGATCTATTGTAGAAGAAGCCATGCAGTGTAAGAAGAGAATACTACAGAACGATGGCGTCGTAACAAGTCCATGTGCACGGCCACGCAAGGCGGGGCACACGCTGCTGATACTGGGAGGACAGACTTTCATGTGTGACAAAATATATCAGGTATCAACTATTCCATGTAAAATTGTGACTTGAACATTATATCTGTGCACTTGGGTGTGGTCAGTCTCTATGTGTTGAATCTGAAAAATACATTGTACCTGATTTGATTTTTATACAGGTTTTACAATGTCTAAACTTAATAATAATGCATTGGTTTTATTTAGCGCTTTTTTGGACACTCAAAACTTAATCCTCTCTCTTACATATTTCTGTCTCTTACTTCCAGTTCTAAGCCCTTTTCACCATCTTTAGAGACCACAGCACAGTTGAACTCTCACAGTAGAAGGATAATAATAGCTTCCACATTCCACAATCTACTTTCAATTCGCACTAATTGAGGTAGAGAACAGCATTAATTTGGACATGCAACTTTCTCACTGTATGAGACGCACTGCTGTAACTTATTAGACGAGCTTCCTCTATTACGGCACTTGTAAAGGAAGCCAAGTCCAGCAGATCCCTCTTTCAGGGCGCATGTGCTCTAAGATTATCATGTACTGTAAGGTCAGGGCCTCCTAATTGTAGTGAGTTTTAGTCTAATTTTTGTTCACTGTAAGAAAGTGCAGGCGGCTAGTTTGTCTGATTCGAGCTATAGCTTCAAAACGCCTTCAGGACCAGGACTGAACATAGTGCTTGAGTCCGTGGTTGAGTCCGTGGTTGAGTCCGTGGTTGAGTCCGTGGTTGAGTCCGTGGTTGAGTCCGTGGTTGAGTCCGTGGTTGAGTCCGTGGTTGAGTCCGTGGTTGAGTCCGTGGTTGAGTCCGTGGTTGAGTCCGTGGTTGAGTCCGTGGTTGAGTCCGTGGTTGAGTCCGTGGTTGAGTCCGTGGTTGAGTCCGTGGTTGAGTCCGTGGTTGAGTCCGTGGTTGAGTCCGTGGTTGAGTCCGTGGTTGAGTCCGTGGTTGAGTCCGTGGTTGGGTCCGTGGTTGGGTCCGTGGTTGGGTCCGTGGTTGGGTCCGTGGTTGGGTCCGTGGTTGGGTCCGTGGTTGGGTCCGTGGTTGGGTCCGTGGTTGGGTCCGTGGTTGGGTCCGTGGTTGGGTCCGTGGTTGGGTCCGTGGTTGGGTCCGTGGTTGGGTCCGTGGTTGGGTCCGTGGTTGGGTCCGTGGCTGGGTCCGTGGCTGGGTCCGTGGCTGGGTCCGTGGCTGGGTCCGTGGCTGGGTCCGTGGCTGGGTCCGTGGCTGGGTCCGTGGCTGGGTCCGTGGCTGGGTCCGTGGCTGGGTCGTGGTGGGTCCGTGGCTGGGTCCGTGGCTGGGTCCGTGGCTGGGTCCGTGGTTGGGTCCGTGGTTGGGTCCGTGGCTGGGTCCGTGGCTGGGTCCGTGGCTGGGTCCGTGGCTGGGTCCGTGGCTGGGTCCGTGGCTGGGTCCGTGGCTGGGTCCGTGGTTGGGTCCGTGGTTGGGTCCGTGGTTGGGTCCGTGGTTGGGTCCGTGGTTGGGTCCGTGGTTGGGTCCGTGGTTGGGTCCGTGGTTGGGTCCGTGGTTGGGTCCGTGGTTGGGTCCGTGGTTGGGTCCGTGGTTGGGTCCAGCTTCAGAACATCTGACAGTTAGACATCATCAGAGTTTGAGCGGTTTTCAAAGTGGACATGAGACAATACGCAGAAGTGCATTGAGGCTCTCGTGTCTCTGCGCACATTGATTTCTGCGTCTAACAGGTCGTTTCTACATGATTATTGGGTCTAATAGGGATAACTTCAAATACTCAAACAAAGCTGTGACTCGGACCTACATTATTGGTGTTAAATAAACTCATAACCCGCAAGAAAATGTCACATTTATAAATACGTTTATTACAGACTCATGGTCCAGATCAACACAGACAAAAAACAGACAATAAATTATAATACCATATATATTTGTAATTTCCATATAAATTAATGGTGTTTTCCTACTGAGAAAAGAGCATCATATGTGACATCACAAAGATTTGAATACGGAAGTGGTAGAAGTGCCTCCATCCATAACCTTTGACTATCACCGCTAACAAAATAGGGAGAATCCGAATGATTCAAATTAAGATTTTTGCAATAGAGATTAACTATTCAAAACAATTTCTAACAATATTATATGAGTAAAAAGTTTTTCCAAATGGCTGCATGAAATGGGATTTTCAAACCGTTTTAAAACTCCTCATGTCTGTTTTAAGGTCGATCACAAAGCCAAGGAGATAATTCCCAAAGCAGACCTACCCAGTCCCAGGAAGGAGTTCAGCGCCTGCGCCATCGGCTGCAAAGTCTACGTGACCGGAGGGAGAGGCTCTGAGAACGGCGTGTCCAAAGACGTGTGGATCTATGACACGGTCCATGAGGAGTGGTCTAAAGGGGCACCGATGTTGATAGCCAGGTTGGAACAAAAAGTTAAAAAAAAAAAAAAAAAAGAAGAAAATATTATTGGGTCTGTTCTTTTTTTTCACTTTTCGCTATGATCGTTTTTTCTGTTTTTCTTTTTACAGATTTGGACATGGTTCTGCCGAGTTGGAGAACAGTCTGTATGTTGTAGGAGGACACACAGCAATAGCAGGTGTATTTCCTGCTTCTCCATCTGTGTCATTAAAACAGGTAGGAACGTAAATAGACCTCTTGAATAGTCTTTTTTTTAATGCATTAGATATTGCTTTGTCAGTAACAGCCCACTCATTATCAATCAATCAATCAATATTTACTTGAGCGCTTTTCCTACACAGGATAACACTAAACGCTTCGCAGTCCACATTGCACTAGGCACAAATCATCACATAAAACATAAACGCCAAAGTCACCATTCAAAAACCATAAGTAAAATCACACAGGTAATTAAAACATTAAAATCACATTAAAACAATAAATTACAACAATGCATTCAAAAGAGTAGTGATAAAATCCTTCACATTTTCAAGAAGACTTTCAGATTTTAGCTGCATAAATCTGAAACGCTGCCTCCCCATCTTTTGCGCTGACCTTGCGCACCAGCAGGAGGCCAGTCCGTGCGCATTACTGTTGCTTTTGTCACGTTGCAGGTTGAAAGATACGACCCGCTCAGTAATAAATGGACTATGATGGCTCCGCTGAGAGATGGAGTGAGCAACGCGGCTGTGGTCAGTGCCAAACTCAAACTCTTTGTCTTTGGGGGAACCACAATTCACAGAGACAAGGCTTCCAAGGTGTGTACATTTACTACCGAGCGCATCGATACACTTGAATGAAATGCTTTTTACAACGAACAATGAGGACTAACGAACACTGCCGACTTGAGCTGAGGGTTTATTTATTTTGAGTTCAATCAAACATCAATGTTACTTTTTACAATTTTGTACATTGGTCAAATTCGAAAAGGAGTGGGAGGGGGGAGGGGGGGATCATTTTCCTCCTTGACTTGACCTCACATGTCGTGCATCTGTGCAATAATTTGAAATAATGTCAGAATGTGCAATATAGAACCACATGTGTCCACTGCCACTTTACTTTGTCCATGTACATATTTATACATACAATATTTCTTGCACTACAATGTACAGTATTTAATTCTTGCTTCTTTATTATGTTAAAATTAGAGATTTTTTTTGCGTGTAAAGTTATTATTCATTTATCTTGTGTTGTGTGCTCCTCAATCTGTTCTGTAACTGGTGACGCAACACTGACATTTCCCCACTGTCAAATAAAGGATCTCTTAACCCTTTAATGGTTTCCTCAACCATTTGGCAGATCACTTTTGAGTCTATATATCTATTTTAAGAATGCTTGGAAATTACCCTTTTTGGGCATCTTTGTTGTTTTTTGGCACTTTTACCATCAAACAGCATCTCAACCATTTGGTAAAGGCCTGTAATTAACATAAATAGGGGTTAAAAAAAACCCCAACTCTTCTTAATGTTAGAGCAGCATGAGTCTAATGAAGTCTCTGTTCCTGCAGGTCCAGTGCTATGACCCTGTGGGGAACCGGTGGACCATCGCGGCTGAATGCCCTCAGCCGTGGCGCTACACTGCGGCGGCGGTTTTGGGCAGTCAGATTTTCATCATGGGAGGAGACACTGAATTCACCGCTGCCTCTGCGTATCGTTTTGACTGTGACACTAACCTGTGGAGCCGAGTGGGCGACATGACGTCCAAACGCATGAGCTGTCACGCCGTAGCTTCTGGAAATAAACTCTACGTGGTCGGGGGGTATTTTGGAACGCAGAGATGCAAAACTTTGGACTGCTATGACCCCACTTCTGATAGCTGGAACTCCATCACAACTGTGCCTTATTCACTCATCCCAACTGCCTTTGTCAGCACATGGAAACATCTACCTGCCTAAAGCTAACGGCTACCGAACGTAGCATTAAAGGTACGTTTACATAATGTACACAGAAACCATTAAACCTGGAGTTCCTAACTTCAAAACCAAATCGATTCTATTTATCCTAAATCACAACTGTAGTCATCTCAGAGGACTTAACAAAACAGTTGAAATCGCCAACACAGATGTATCCATGTACAGTGGTCCCTCATTTATTGCAGCAGTTACGTTCTGAAAATAACCTAATGTTTTAAGGCTGTAAAACCCCTCACGACATATTCTCCACACTTTTTTAACAAACTGAACTCACGACTGCTGAAATGTAATCGTGGAAATATCAAACCTGTTTGTTTGGGTCTGAGCGAACCTTGCCTACACCATAAAATACAGCTGCAGACGACACCGTGCTGAGGGCAGGACCAGGACTGTGGGCAGGACCAGGACCGGGGGCAGGACCAGGACTGTGGGCAGGACCAGGACTGTGGGCAGGACCAGGACTGTGGGCAGGACCAGGACTGTGGGCAGGACCAGGACTGTGGGCAGGACCAGGACTGTGGGCAGGACCAGGACTGTGGGCAGGACCAGGACCGGGGGCAGGACCAGGACCGGGGGCAGGACCAGGACCGGGGGCAGGACCAGGACCGGGGGCAGGACCAGGACCGGGGGCAGGACCAGGACCGGGGGCAGGACCAGGACCGTGGACAGGACCAGGACTGTGGGCAGGACCAGGACTGTGGGCAGGACCAGGACCGGGGGGGGGCAGGACCAGGACCGGGGGCAGGACCAGGACCGAGGGCTACAGGAAGACTGTGGTAGTCATTGTGGTCATATCATAAGATGAAGCATATGATGGAAAAAAGCAACTAGATCTCAAAACAGTTTTATCACAACTTTCCACCTGCATGCGTTTGTGGCCTCGATCACATACTTAGATCAGACTTTTTCTGTACTCCAGATTTGAACTTATCTGTTATCTGGTTCCTCTCTACCAGACAGCAATGTTATTACCTTGGTCTTACTACTGCTCTACAGAGGCTCTATGTTCCTAAATGCATGTCATCTATAGACCGATGAGGCATATAGAATCATTGATTATAACGCAGTGCTTTTACTAACACACACTCTCCATATTTTTATTCATGTTGGCCTCGTTCGCTTCCACATTTAATCGACATTGGCTTCCAAAACCCTCTCCATTTTTTTTTTTTAAGCTTCTCAAAATGTTTGTGCGCCTCTGTTGATCCTAGAGAAAGTCCACAGGCTGCTGCAGTGGGAGCCTGAATATAAATATCCTCGCTTGCTCATATCCATCCTCTCCTCTAAACCACCCCCACCCCTTCAAAAATTGATGTTGTGAAACTGGCTTTCTGCTACGGTTATCATATCTCGTGCCTCATTGTGCGCTCTTCATAAAATTGGGCGTAGATCCAGCCAGTGAGCTCGAGGTCCTTTTGTTGTCTTTAAACATCATAAGCTTGGATTAATTTCCTCTAAAAGCGTGTGATATGAGCTGGTTTGAGCGCGTGCTAATGGCGGCTGCTGATAATATGAGTTTAGTGCTGCACTCAGCATCAGGAGGAGAATCCCCGGAGCCTGCAGCGAGCCACGCTAATTGCACATCGACTGCTTGCATGTAATAGGCAGCGCTTACCCCCTTTTGTTTTTGTTTATTTTATATCAGGGCATGAAAGATGAACCCAGGTAAGCTTTATTGGAATCTCAAAACATGAGGTATGGTCTAAGAAAGGGCTTCCCCACATTCAAGTTAAAAGACAAACCCCTGAACCTCACAAGCAAAACTGTATCATTCATATTATTTATTTATTTAAATGAGAGTTTGTATTGATGAACAGCTAGTAGCCACTGCAAAAGGTCGATGTTCCCAACCTTTTTGATTTGCGGCACACCTTTTTCACTGGAAACAATCACATGGCACACCACCAACATAAAACTGATACAAACACGAATCTCCGCCCTTTTTAACAATTTACATTGCAAAGGGCGGCGCAGTGGATAGTGTGGAGTTTGCATGTTCTTCCTGCCTCAGTGTAGGTTTCCTCCGGGTGCTTCGGTTTCCCCTACCACTAAAACATGTAGGCTAGCTCTGGCATGTGCCTCCTATATGGCTCCCATCTCTTTGTGGAGTGACAAATGTCCACAATTGTAAAGCGCTTTGTGACTCTGGTCTGTGAAATGCGCTATATGAATAATAAGTCATCTTCACCAAAAGACTTAAATAGAAAATCACAAAGTCTTTCTTATCCTCTTTGGATCATTTCCAAAGGCACACCAAACAACACTTCAAGGCACACTGAGAAACACTGCTGTAGAGAAACCACAATTAGCTGTTTTTATTAGTATTTCTTTATCTATTTGACAGGGACAGTACATGTAAGTGGTCCCAATGTACATGATTTTAGCGGAAACCGGAAGATTAAAAGGAAAACTTACTGACTCCTCCGTGTAACCCATGATCATAATAATAATAATATTTGGATGGACCCAAACCCTCAACCACAAGTTGGGTTGTGCACCTTTTTAAAGTAAAGTCAGTTTTGTATCACGTTTTGCAGGATCAGTGTCAACTAAATATAAAGTCCATACATTTTACCAGCTCTCTCCCCCAATCCCTTTTCTCCCATTTTAAGCTATAGCCCTTGTTGTTGCGGTTTATGCTACTGAATACTGTCACTGTTAGTCAATTTTGATGAAATTTAGTTGAATCGATTTTGAAGACACAAGAATGTATTTGCCATTTGCAGTAAAACCCCATTGGAAAAAACTGTGCCTACCCCCGTGTGAACCAGACAGAGAAGACTGCACCCACCAGAGCTCTTTCCATGATGATTTTTAGGAACAAATGTTTAACCATTATATTTCATAGTATCTCATGTTTGATAGCCACAAACACACAAGTAATATATATATTCAAAATAATACATTAAAATGTATAAATGTTTTTGTTTGAAAAAAAAAAAAGAGAAAGTTAAGTAATAAGTAATTCAGGGTCAAAGCTTTTACATGAAATTTGTATTTATTTTTTCCCCCCTATCTCATAACTAATGTGTGGAATGTATTATAACTGATGAACTCTGCAAATTCTGAGCATAAAGATTAAGTTTTACAAGTCTAAGTCAAATCAATACAACTCTGCCAATACAAACTCCTTTTTAAAAAGTCAAATTGCCCTTCTCTAGGCAGACTTTTTTTCCTGTCATGAATGGGGAGCCAATAAATTTATAATAGGCAGGGCGGTATCCCAAAAATTACTATCAACTATTGAGAAAAAAAAAAATCATATTACGTGATTTGTTTAGGAACTAAGAACCCCGGCTTCTGATTTGATTAATTGTTTGTCGTCTCCTCATAGATTCCTGCTGTCGTGGCGAGAGGACAAGCCCAGTGAAACGAAAGATCGGCCGACGGATTCCCTCACCGCTGCACAACTGTTTTTCTCCAGAGGCCAAAGACACACGGCGCTTCCAGGATAATGTGACGAACGTTTTGATCCCCCTCCCTCTCCCTCTCCTCCCCCCTCCTCCCTCTCCTCTCACTCACTCTCTTAAAGCCGTTTTAATTTCAGACTTCTTTACCATTCCAACGATCGCACGAGCTCTATTTGTTCTACACAATCTCAAAACGACAAAGCACGGTCTCTTCAACACGAGGAGAAAACCGCATCTGCTCCGAAGCTGCTTTTGAATCAGAAATCTCCATATTGCACAAACATGAAGGGACTGTGTTTATGTAACTCTCGCCGGAGACATAAAAGAGTTTTTAAAAAGGCACAAAACAAAAGATGAAATCCGTTTCAGGAGGTCAGCTGTTTACAAGATTTCTCATTCTTTTCATTTTAGGGAAAGAAAAACATTGTATTGGAAAGAGACTTTGCACACAATATTGATGCCGTGCTCCCAGTGTTTTATATCAAGTCCACAATACGTTTATGACCAACGTTTTTATTTATAAAAATGTGCCTATAACAATGAGTTATTTTGCCAACTGACAAAACTATCCTGCAAAAGAGACATGGATTACTATCGACCTGCTGTTTGGTATTTGTCTGAAATCAGTATGAAATATTTGACTACATTGAAGTCTTTAATTTGTGGATCAACGATTTTAAGTAACTTTTTGTCTTTAATCCTGTTTAAAAGTTCAAACCACAGAAACTCGTATTCTCCCGGATCTGCACACAAACTAACACAATTTTTAGATTGAAGGCATGCACTTATTTTGTGTACCGAAACTTATTCAGGCACAAAACTTTAACCGAACAAGCATGTGTCAAAAATATGTGTGAGAAGCACAGTGGGGGTTTTTTTATTTTGTTTTTTTTTAATGAATAAATATATGTATGTGTATATTTAAAATAACATCACTGCAAACAATACTAATGCCTTTTGGAGCCACTTTCCATAATGAGCTGGTGGAGAACACATCACTGTAAAGCTGTGCAGTACGTCTGTCTCTTGTTTTGTCTGGTTCGACGCTGCACAAGAAGGTTTTCTGAAGGAACATGTTTTTGGACTCTGAATTTCTGAAGTTCTCCACAAAACTCAAGATCTTTGTAAAGAAAAATGTATCAAATGGTTTGTACTGGTGAATAAACATTGACTCTGTTTTCTAATTCTTTTTTCTTTGACTTTACTGTGTGCAACAGCAACAACGACGGCCTGCCTCGACAAGACCACGGAGCATAACTATCCATAAATAGGTTGTTAAAATATAATACTTGTTGGCAAGAAAGTCATTAGAAAATCACTGTGTTCCATGCAGTTTCAAGACAAGACTTGAGTCGGCTTGAATGTAAAGCTGGGGTACCTAACCACAAAAATACTCATAAAATGCTATAAAAACTAATAAAAATCCATGTCACAAGTGCCACACTTTCAGAACAGTTTGCTTCTATCACTAGTTTTCACATGCATTTTTAGCCTCTCACATATTTAGATCAGATTTTTGAGACAAAGCCAAAAAGAAAACCCAGTTAGCTCAGACCAGTGTCTCTTTCATACAAAATTGCAAAAGATCACGTGGTTTTAATGAGATGAATACAGTATGATGTGGTTTACTTTCACAAAAGACTCTTTTGGGACAAACAACATGTATTATTTATGTCTTAAAAAAGCAGGTAGCTTTAACAGAATAATGACTAGTTAAATGCATTCAGAATGACATGACTTGGAGAGGTCCTGACAGTTTGCTGGATGCTGCCTTTTCTGCATGAATACATTTTTAATACTAAGTTGAAAAAGTAGTATTTAAACAAGTGTCTTGAATTGAATTACGCTCTTGACTGCACACTAGCATCCATAATTCATCAGAGGATGACTTACGTCGTGGCCCCGATGGGAAAGCATGATTTATTGATGCAGGGCCCAGACAGGACTCGTGATGTAAGGTGCATTTAGCTGGAGCAGAAAGAACTGCCCCGTCAACAGAAAACATCAGAAGAAACGGACATATAATGTCAACCCTGGAATTTATTTACAACTATAGTGATGTATGTTCTATTGTGTGTTTTCAATCCAGGAGCTGGTTTAACAGTCTCATAACTCAGCTGATCATGGAGAGCTTTCTTAAAGTGGCCTCATCAGCGCTGACTCCAGATCAATCACAGGCAGTAAATGCAATACAGAAGCAGGGACGCAAAAAACTGTAGGAATGAGCACACAGCACAAGATAAATGAACGATAAGTCTATACTAACATAAAAAAATAATAAAATCTCTAACTTTAGCATAATAAACATATAGTGCATAGGAGCTATTGGTCCATATGGTTGACCAATGTCCATTAATGTCCTTAGACCCTCCTGCATCGGCAAAGAACTATGGAGGACCGTGGCTGCCAAAACAATAAATATATACAAAAATTAATAAATAAATACATTTTAAAAAGATAAAATTTGCAAAGAAATGCATGCAAATATGAGAATAAGTGCATTTATTTCTGTATTTATATATTTATTTATGTATGTATTTATTTATTTATGTATATATTTATTGTTTCGGCAGCCACGGTCCTCCATAAGGAACGTCTCTAAAACCCAGTGGGAAAAATAAGAAACCTCAGGGACCATCATAGACTGTAAATATTAACTATACTATGGGACTCTTTTAATCCCGAGCATGGATATAAAAAAAATCACACATACTATGGTCAATTCTAAAAGCAGACATCACAGCTGCGTGAGGTCCTGCTGCTGACAGAGAACAGCATGGAGTCAATATGACGGTGACTCATCCTCATCACCGAGCATCACACTGGGTCACAACCGCCACAACTGCACTGAATCACCGCCCGACGGGTGCGACGTGAATGTGTTTCATTCTCTGGGTGTGTTTTGTGTGGAAGTTCAGTGTTTTTGTAAAATACACAGGGAGACTTCGTTGATCGACGATACAAGATATTTTAAATGATTCATGAGACCACCTCTGCTGCTGTGACCCGTCCTGCTCCACCCAGAGGCTACTCCATCTCTGCTGCTGTGACCTGTCCTGCTCCACCCAGAGGCTACTCCATCTCTGCTGCTGTGACCCGTCCTGCTCCACCCAAAGGCTACTCGATCTCTGCTGCTGTGACCCGTCCTGCTCCACCCAGAGGCTACTCCATCTCTGCTGCTGTGACCTGTCCTGCTCCACCCAGAGGCTACTCCATCTCTGCTGCTGTGACCCGTCCTGCTCCACCCAAAGGCTACTCGATCTCTGCTGCTGTGACCCGTCCTGCTCCACCCAGAGGCTACTCCATCTCTGCTGCTGTGACCCGTCCTGCTCCACCCAAAGGCTACTCGATCTCTGCTGCTGTGACCCGTCCTGCTCCACCCAGAGGCTACTCCACCTCTGCTGCTGTGACCCGTCCTGCTCCACCCAGAGGCTACACCACCTCTGCTGCTGTGACCCTTCCTGCTCCACCCAGAGGCTACTCCACCTCTGTTGCTGTGACCCTTCCTGCTCCACCCAGAGGCTACTCCACCTCTGCTGCTGTGAGCCGTCCTGCTCCACCCAGCGGCTACTCCACCCAGAGGCTACTCCACCTCTGCTGCTGTGACCCATCCTGCTCCACCCAGAGGCTATACTCCACCTCTGTTGCTGTGACCCTTCTTGCTCCACCCAGAGGCTACTCCACCTCTGCTGCTGTGACCCGTCCTGCTCCACCCAGAGGCTACTCCACCTCTGCTGCTGTGACCCGTCCTACTCCACCTCTGCTGCTGTGACCCGTCCTGCTCCACCCAGCGGCTACTCCATCTCTGCTGCTGTGACCTGAAGGGCTGTTGCTGATTATTACTATTGTAATCTTGTTAAGAAAGATCAATTTAATTCTCTATTTTTGCTGCTACTGGACACCTGAATTTCTCCTACCGGGATCACTAAAGTATCTATCTATTTGTATACTCTAATAAATTCATTATTTTGGCAATTTTGGCCCTCCATAACAGATGGAGGAAAGTAGAGCCAAGAGAATGTCCATACATGTTCTTAAATGTCCTGGATCATCACCGGTGTGGTGTCCAAACCGGTCCAGAAACACCCTGTCACAGTGGATAACCCAGGACATTCAACAACCTTTTTTTGAACGAATGGCTCCTATGGGTTTATTATTGCATTTCCTGTGCTCGAGCTATTGGATTCTCTGATTTGTTGTTGGCAAATCAAGGCAACTGGTAGCTCTGGACGCTCTGACAACAGCCCAACTCCACCACAATAGAAATACATACATTGGCTGCATCGCTAAAAGAACGCAGGGTTCAAAGAAGTAGCAGATTACAGTCCGGCATGAGTAAGACCAAGACAACACAAAACACACCATACAAGACTGTGTCAAACTGCATAGTTTAATTGAGGGAAGTCCAATACTGTACATTTGAAACTACGAACAGATAAATTAATCTTATTGAAACATCATTCAAAAAAAACTATCAATACTTTGGAAGTTCATATTTGTACAGAAAATCTATTTACAGTTTGGTTGCTTTGCCCTTTTTCATTTTATACACAAGAAAATCAGGTTTGTACCTTCTGTTTTAGTACAAAAAGTGTTCAAAAAGCCTTAATATACAGTGCATCAGTTGTAAAATTAGTGGAAAGACTTTCAAATGCAAGAGTGAGCGTGTGAGAACAGGAAAGAGAAGAGGGGTTTTGTGGCGCACTCGTGAAATGCACTATTTGTGTCAACTACAATAATAATCCCAACGTTTACTTTTTTTGGCTAAGTTGACTCCTTCTCTGAGAGCGACGGGTCCATCCTCGTACAGGTGCAAGGGGAAAATAACACTAAAACGCTAATAACTGTTTTTACAACACATTAGATTTTAGCCACTGAATCTGAAACTGGATTCCCCCGATCTGTGGTTTATTCTGGGGTGATTTTTGACGAATCAGGCTTTAAATTAACCAAGCAACATCCATTGATTTCATTTGATCCTAAAATCGATCATCTCCCAGTATTTAAAAAAAAGCAGTTCTGTCTAAAAAAAAAAAAATATCTATGAAACAATACATTCTTTTGTTTTTATAATTTACAGTAGAAACCTGGTGGCAGTCAAGTAACAGATAAGATCCCATTTACACAAGCCAACGGAGCTAATAACACAAACTGCAGCTTTGGTTTCACTTCAATCTCTTTTGAAAGTAACATGATAGTGATTGAATACATTTTTAATTACGGCGTTTCCTCAAAAACACAATTTTATAAAAAACAACGCAATAACCTACCAAGGCGTTAACGGCAGTGGTAAAATGGCGTTCTGTGCTTTTTTTGCGAGGCCTTTCCTGCTGCTCAAACACGGTGCGTTTCACAGTGAAATAAATGTGCTCCTCTCAGAAGCCGGCGAATGACCCAGGGCTGAAATATTACTCTCCTCCCACTGCTGCATCGAGGAGAAAAGAGAAGAAATCAATGTGCAGCTACGGCAGAAGGATAGACCCCCGAAGTGACATCCTTATGTGTTTTAGGTCATCACCGTGAGCTCCCATCCCTGTCCCTCTGCCTCACGTGCTGTAAAGTGCATGCCCCTGGAAGTGAGTTTAAAACAAAACCACTAAAATGTAAAAGGATAAAAACAAAGAACTTGCTTTGTGTGTAAACTAAATTAATGAGGAGACACATTAGTTAAAATATTTAAATAATCCCAAGTGACGGGGAGAAGCGGGTTCTTGATTAGGCAGCCCTCTCTTTTCTTGATGTAATGGAGGAAACCATCTCCACGACGACGGATCCTTTTGTTTCATCAGATTTGATCAAAAAGCCCTGCTCTTTTTATTTTGTGATTGTCTTCTATAAACATTTTTGTACATTATCAACACATACAACTCTAAAACATACCTTTCCCAAACTGAGAACACAGTGGTGCATATTATCTCTAAAGTGCTTTTTTAAACGGCTGATTTGTTTGACGAGTAAGGCACATTTATGACTGGGGCAGTGACCAGAGGACCAGAGGACCTCAGCGTGTGGTCAGAGTGAGCGCTCCTAACGGCACTGTTCTTTACAAAACCACATCTCACACGTGTGGAGCGCGCTGTCAGCACCAAACGCATAGGGTTAGCACACTTCAAAGTTAAAGCTTCATCAAGTCAATAAAGCACTTTGTGACATCTCTCTGCCAACATTCTTCACAGCAGATATAACCACTTCCATTTCCACTCCCTCAGGCAACAACCCAAAGACATTCTCCACGCGTTTTGTGTCGGAGAGGTCTTCGCTGTCAGACTACAGCTCGGTACAGTCCTCACTTTAGCAGAAGTTATCTCCATCTTTCTGCAAACTTGACATCACACCACCAGTCCCTATGGAAAGTCCAGACAACATATGGATAAATGAATAAGCACAAGCAAAAACATCAGTGAACTTAAATGTAATAAATGCTAAAATTCTTTATATGAAACGGTGAGAGTTCAGACCTGTGGGCGGAGGCTCTCCTTTCTTTTTCTTCTTGTCCTTCTTATCCTTCTTGTCCTTCTTGGGCTTTGTCAGCTGCAGCAGTCTGCTGGTCTCCTTCTCTGCTCCCTGTGTCTTTGACGACGAGGCAAAAGGGTTGAAGTTTTTGCCCATTCGTTTGGATCCAATCCGAAGGAAAGGTTCTTTAGTAGGAGCAGAGGTTGAAAGCTCCACCTACAACGATAAAAGTGTTGTGAGGTACATTTGTATAATGTACGGTTTAGTACTATGCTTCCAGTGGCTGGAAGAGTTCTCGTGCCTTTGATAAGAAAGCAACTCCTATGTATTAATGCACCGTACCTCTTTAGATTGTTCTGCCTCTTTGCAGTCCAGGTCCAGAGAGCTGGTGCTGGGGAAGCGAACCGAGTCTTCAGATGTCATGGAGGAGGTTCGGCTGTACCTCTGCAGCTGCTCTGCCTATACACGAGAAAACACTTGTTTAATACAAGAGAGAAAGAAAGTTTTATGGTTTTCTATCTACACTGTTTCATTTCACACGTAAATGTGTCCTTGGTTAAAATATGAAATGAGGATCGTATCATGCAATCATGTCCATACATGGGGAAAAAAAAACATATCCTCAAGGGGGGTGCCAAAAGAACCACTCTACCCAACGAGATGCTTATCTGAACTAAGAAGCCAAAGTTCTTTTATCCACCACATTTGAGTGGAGAAGAAGCCAATTAGTTTTTATGTACTCACTTAAAGAGATAAGTTATTTGTTACTGTTGCCAAAACAGTAACAACACTTCAGTGTGTGTCTGTTTGCATGATTTCACAACAGACTGAGACACATCCAGTGAGTGGCGCTCACCTGCTCTCTGCGCTGAGCCTCCAGTCGCTCCGTGTCCCGCCGCAGAGTGTCCTTGTCTCGTTCCAGTCGTAGCTGAGCCTCTCTCACTCGCTCCAAGTCTTTGTGGTACTGTTCCCTGCTCCTCTGCAGCTGCTCACGGTCCTCCTTCAACTGCTGCAGCCTGCGCTCCGTTTGCTCCTCGGCCTCCTTCAGCTGCTCCTCGCGCTCACAGAGGAGGCGCTCCTTCACCTCCCACTCCCGCTCCCGCCGCCGCTTCTCCTCCAAGTGAGCAGCCTGCTGCTTCTGCTCAAGACCAGGAAGGGGAATTAGAATACAAACTCAACCTGTTCATTTCTAATCATAATTCATAAAGCATTTACAAACTTTATTGTTTGTAAAACTGCACTTTAAGCAGATTGAGCGATATTGGGCCAATATAGGGCACTGTCCGGTTTCCGAAATGTGCTAAAAATAGCTCAGATGACTGCGCATGCGCGCATGTTTCGGACAAACATTGTGTACGACTCGTTGAGTTCTACTGTGTTCTCCTCATACGCGTGTGTATTTATTTGGGCTAAATCATTGAATCATGGTGACAACAAAACACTGCAGTTATGGTGCTTGTCGGAGCGATTTCAGATACTCTGAAAAGGACTATATGAAAGTAACATTCAACCCGTTCGTTAAACCACAACATCGGACCAGACCAGGACCAGACCAGGACCAGATCAGACCAGGTGGGTGCTTGTGGTCGGCAGAATTTCTCTCATGAAAAGGTTAAAAAGGGCACATGTTTTTTCAAAACACTTCGCTGGACCAACTGTGGAGCATCCAGATCCAGTCCTAGCTACGTTTAGCTGGGACTGGATCTGGACCGCTGTATCAGGTCCGTCTGAGCTCTTCTGAATGTAGTTAGCACAAACTTTCTCTTTACACCATTTACCCCCATCAATCCATATTAGTATTATTTGTCCTAATCCAGAAAGTATACAATTCTCACACCTGAAGAAAGATGAGAGGGATTTTTTTCAACTTTGTGTCTGCTTATTATACGGCTTTGTACCAATTGAACACACAAAATAAACGTCATTCACTACTCATGCCGAAAGGTTTATTTAATGAGTGCAAAGAAAATAGTTCCCAAAGGTTTTCCCGTGGCAGGCGAGTAACAGTGAGGATAGTTAACCTAAAAGCGATCGCTTTAGTCGCATTAAAAAAGTATTTTTGTCATGAAAACCTGAACAGTTAATTCTGAAAACCTCCGTGCACTTGTGTTATGAATGTGTATAATGTATTCTCCCATTAACATTTAAATGTGTTGATTGATTGTCATTTGCGTTTACTGAGTGTGGCTAGCTCTGATAGTTTCTCTCAGAGACAGTGGCGTAACCCGTTGTGATCATGGATTTATTATAATATCAGCTGACTGTAGCTAACTAATGATCAAACTAATTACAAAGTGGATAGTGCAAAAACAACTTGATAAATGGAAGTTAATCACAGCAAAACAAACAAAGAAGGCGCTAGCATTGCAATTTAAATGACTAGATAATGTTAGCATAATCCTCACCATTATCTTTTTATCAATTCAAACCGTCTACCAGTTACTGGAAGACCACGACATTCAAGCCAACGTTATAATTGGTCTACACTATGATCCCTGATGGTTTGATGGTGGAATTTTGCCCCTGGTATATCATTTTCGTCTAAAGTGACAAGTGGTATTTGATTCATTTCGGCAGTGTTTGTCCGAAACATGTGGGCGGGAGTTGACAGGCGGCGGGGGCGTGTCTTAGTGACGTCATTTAGATAGTTCGCTATTAAATGAAATATATATTTAATATTTATATATATTTTTATTTTTGTTTTTTATTTTTTGATACATTACCATTGCATGTTACTCACATAAGAGTCACATAATTTTACTCGAAACAATGAACTCAAGACTCCACATTTATAATAATTCTGTAAATCAGTACAGTTCTTTGCCTTTGGGCCAGTTTGGTTTCAATTCAAAGATAAATAGAATATTTATGAAATAATTCATCAGACTATTTGATATAATGAATATCTTGGGGTTCACTTTCATTAAAATAAACCTATTCTCATCAATACGTAAGACTAGTACATTAACGTTAGCAACAACCCAGAGTTTACTTTGGCATTGACCACAGAAAACTAATCGGTGAATCTCTAGAACCTCAATCTTTCACAGGACAACTTGATGAAGTCAAACAGTAGTGACCTGAAGAGTGGCTGCTTCCTGCCGCTGCCTCTCCAGACTGCGGTGCTTCTCCTGCTCGATGAGAGACGACGGCCGAGAAGAGGAGGCGGAGGACAGGGACGAGGACGACGAGTGTCTGGACGAGCTGCCAGTGAGGCGCTCGCTCAGGGTCTGTCGCTGATCCTCTATGAACGAGTCCTGCTGCACCACCACGGCCTTAAGAGAGAGAGAGAGAGGGGAGTGAGAGAGAGGGGGGGACCCAGCGTTTAAACCAGGGGTGTCAAACTCATTTTGGTAGTTTAAAACCTCAGAGCTGGTTAGGGTCAAAATAATAAAAGTTGTTCACTTTTATAATCATTTTTTTTTACACAGATTTTTGTATTTTGACAAATTAGTTTTATTGGACATGAGGATATTTTCTAGTAGGTTTGGATTCAGTCAAAACTGTGCCATGTAATTGAAGAGTCAAAGTTAAATATATAAAAAAATCTTTGGCATGTTTTAAAGCTTCATTTTTTCATCCATAGTATCCATTTACCGTCAGTGCTACAAATTACTGTAATAATGACAATTGAAAATCATTTCAGGGGCCACTGAAAATGGCCGGATTCTGCCCACGGGCCTGAGTTTGACATGTCTGGTTTAAACCCTTTCTACTGTGCAGCTGTTCCATTTGGCGGTGTGTATAACTGCATACATTGTTTTTTGTTGTTTTTGGTTTGTTTTACTTCATACGCTCTATAATGTTTGTAATTGTGTATCGTTGTATGTTTTTGTAAAGTACGTTGAGTTGCACTGCGAATGTGAATTGCGCTGTCGAAACAAATGTGATTGTTTTTTTTTTACCTGCAGTGACAGCAGCAGGTCGTGAAGGTGAGTCACACTGCTCTGGACCTGCTGACAGACAGACGTGTGTGTACATTAGTTATTTCTTCTGCTTATAGTCATCCATCTCTTCAGCAGTCTGAGCAGAGATGCCCAGAATCCCCCCCCCCACCCACAGCCTCTTATACAGCGAGATATTTGAATCATAGAATAGGCCATACGATTGTTATTATCCAGACTTCAATAACTGAGAACCAATATTCTTGAGATTGCTGTTTTCTATACAAAACAATGAGCTTCTGGCCGTAGATGGTTCAATATAGCAAAATACGACTTGTACTGTTTTACTTACTGAGATCATTATGATGCTAGCAGTTTAAATATTGTTCATTTATCGCAATACTTTTCTGAATCAATACATCAAACATCAACATTTTTTCCCTGCTCTTCCTTGTGACCTCGTTCTCCTGTTCACATAAACACACCGGGAAGCAGGAATGTGTGCGACATCATCCGCTATGGAGATCAAACAGCTAGCCAATCAACTAGCAATCAGAGCTGTGTTCAAACTTGAAAAATGACAGATTATAATCCGGCCAATACGGTGAGCTAGAACTAATTTATAGACTCTAATGTGGAATGTGTTTCGTTTATGACCATGGCACATTACCCGGTTTCAACTTGCCTCAACTCTCAGATTACCATACACTTCCCCAACACGTCGTGCGGGTAAATTTGGATAAACCTGGTAAAAGAATATTTAATAAAAAGCACAATACTTACTTCGTTGTTTCTCTTGAGTAACAACTGGAGACTGGCCGTCGCACCCTGAAAATATACCGAGAACAACATAAAGTAATTTGACTACAATCCCAGATGACTTGATGATGATTGTGAACTCAAATATCAATATAGACATCAGGGGAGAACCCACTCAATACTTATCGACCATTGACATCTCTCAAATATAATAAAGAGATTGGCTATCAAGCTTTGGTAAAGTAAAAATTGTATAGAAGTAGTTACACCTATTAAAAGAAATATACTTTGCTTCTTATGAAATCAAATGTAAATGTTATCACAAAAGTGTACAAAATGAGTAATAAATCAATTATAGGTTGTGTTGGGAACAAAGCATTGAAAAACAGCTCTTCTTCTACTTGAACTAAACTCTGACACAAAGATGCATTTTTCAAGAGAGATCTGGGAACAAAATGCATTCATAAATAATGCATTATGGAGGTGAATACAGCACAAATACACACTCTCTCTCTCTCACACACGCGCACACACACTCTGGCGCACACACACTGACCTTTTTGAGCACTCCGTCTGACTCAGTCCTTCGAAGGTCCACTGATTCATCTGCTTCTTCTTTTTCTCCATCTAACGGCACAGCGCACAGACAAATAAAAACAGATGCTATTATTGAACACTGTCTCTACTGTACCACAGCGTTTATGTTCATAATGTATTCAAGAGGTTTTCCATTTGGCTATTGCTTTTTATTTTTTGTTGCAGCAAAAGAGAATGTTAAAATGTCTTTGCAACCAGCGAAACGAGGGACAGACTTTTTTCCTTCTGTTCCTGTTTGTCCATGTTACACAAATGTAAAGATAATATATGATGTATGTATGTGATATGATGACATGGACAAATAAATAATAAATAAAAACCTTTGTATCAGTCACACAAATCTATCATGATCAGTATATGTACCGGTACATAATTTAAGACATGGATGCTATATATAGTAGCTACAAAGGACACAGCCAATGGAAGAGTGCCGTGTGCATAAGGGAGAAGCCCTGTCTGTCCGTGAGCACACACTGTAACCTTGAGCCTGGTGGGGGACCTACTCTTGCTGATGTTCATCTGGTGGCTGTCAAAGCCTCCAAACGTCTCCGCTCTCCTGGGAAGACAGACTGGGCCCATACTGCCCCCTGCTGGGCCAATGGCGACACTGCAGGCTGCTCCTCCTAATCCAGTGTTGACTAAAGAGTGCAGGGACTCCACTGCAGAGGAAACACAGTTAGACACACACGTCTTTGGACTGTACCACTGTGGGGTGGATGGCTGCACTCACCTTCTTTCAGAGCATCGTGTATGATCGGTTCTCCTTTAGTGAAGTCCTCTGGAGTGGCCCTGAACAGCATCCGCTCGCGTACTGCTGGGTATGCATCAAACCCTGAGGCACTACAGTCACTCAGCTCTCTGAAAATGTGCACTTTCTCCTCCAGGAGAGACACAATCTGCTCATCTTTACTTCGAAGTAACTCTGAAATTGAATATTTATACAATTTATCAGCTGTCAATCACTTAAATTTAATGTTATCTACACACATCAAACATGTATCTATAAAAGCTAACATAAAAAAAATAATGATTCAGAAATGGTTACCTCGAATCTCCTTAACTCTGCTCTCTTGTTGTCTCCTGTCCTCTTCTGTCTCACTGGGAATGCCTTCGTCCTCATCTTTCTCCCTTTAAAGTAAAATCTTTTTAGAATAACAAAAAATAGCAATAAAGAACGCACCGTCAAGTGTTTGTATGCACATGAGAGTGCGTTTGTTTTGTTTCTGAAAAAAAGAAAAAATACATTGTATACTTGAAACAAAACTTAAGTGACCTGGTAAGATAAATCATAGAGAAATCCATAAATAAAGACAAGTACTTTAAAGAGTAATAAAAACATATACATTCACATGTCTTAGTTCTACTCATGATTAAGTGTTCTTACATGCAGTGCATTGCGTCTTGAATAATGGCCCTCCATGTGTTTCTCTCCTCTTTGCTGCTGGCCAGCACTTCCACCATCTCTGGTTTCTCAGTCCCAGCAGTGATCAGGAACAGACCTACAAACCACAAACATAAAAGTCAGAACAAAAGAGGCTCACAAAATCAGACGATAAAGGGAAGCGTTTCCTTACCTCGTTCTTCATTGGCCACTTCTCTCATAATTAGATTCTGAAGCGAGATGACGGTTGAGCGCTGGTCCTGTGACAGAAAAGTCAGATGTAATTGTTTTGATAAGTACATAGTGAACCAGAAGTGACGCCAACTTACCAGTGAAGCAAACACATATTTCTGGTCCTTTTCTTGCAGAAACACCAAGACATCTGACAAGAGCAAAGAGTGGACCTCTGTAACAATAAAGTCCAAAGTTCAGTTAAGACAAAACATGAAGTGAGAAATGTGTGTGAATAATGTCTGACCTTTGAGGCGTCCAGCAGCGTTCTTCAGCTGCAGCACTCCGTCGTGCAGCAGCCTGCGGCCTCGGACCAGGTCTTCTTTGGCAAACATCTGACCACTCTTCATCCGCATTATGGACTTGCTGTCAGTGCGACTACGACGAAACACACACAGTTATCTCTAAACTACACTTGGGTAAAACCTCTGAGGGAAACTCACCTGTAGACCTCCTTGAGCCGGTGTTTCTTCTCTTGTTCGTTCACTTTGCTGTCGACTGCTGTGAGGATTTCCTTCACGAGCTGCAGAGCCTCTGATACAGAAGCATGCTCCAGATCGGTCTCTGCACCACAGAAAGCATGAGCATCAAATATACCACAATTCCAAAGCTTTTCAAAGGGTACGGTCATCGCACTGTGCTCACCTTTGGTGTGCTGCAGGATCCGTTGGATAAGAACTGGGTATTTGGTAATTCTCTGTGTGACCAACAAGATGCACTCAGGAATACTGAGCCTCCGAACTATAGTGCTACTCATCACTTTCTATAAAAGAACAAGGACAAACAGTGAGGCGATAGTTGGCAACATTATTACAAATTGAACGAAGGAAAATATTGACCTTGATGAAGTTTTGGAAGCGTTTATCTTTGGCATACAGATCTTTGTAGTGGGTCACAGCTTCATTGTGTCGACTGCAGAATTTCCCATAGACTTTTTTCATACGTTCAGCGCAGCTCCCCGAAAACTGGAAAAGAATTTACAACTTAAATTATTGTTTCTGTCAGTGGATTAAGACGCAGACTTGCACATGTGCCACGATCACTTAGTAAACCATTCCTACCTGTTTGACCAGCACGTCCCCGATACTACACACCAGGAGGCTGCTGTCCACAGAGGGGCCTCTTCTCTGCTCCAGGAGCTGGTTCAGAAACTCTGTGTGGGTCTCCACAAGATCATCAAGGACAGGAAAGATCTGGAAATGATTATAGTATGACAATGGCTGCTTGTTCCATTTCTTTTTTTAATGATCATGGATGTTGGACAATTAAGAATCTACCCTATAAAGCCAAGAAGTCACCGGTGATGGGTTTGAAGCACTCACCTTTTCCAGAGTGTGCAGGTCCAGCTGCAGCTCTTTCTGGATGCCTTTATAATAAACCTCTGACATGATGCGGAGGGTCCTCACATGGTGAAACTCTGTCTGGTACAACTCTGTAGATAAATATAGACATGGTATAATTAAGAATAAAACAAATACACATATACAGTGCCTTGCGAAAGTATTCGCCCCCCTTGAACCTTTCAACATTTCGCCACATTTCAGGCTTCAAACATAGATATAAAATTTTAATTTTTTGTCTGAATCAACAACAAGTGGGACACAATCGTGAAGTGGATAATTTAAACTTTTTTAATAAATAAAAAACTGAAAAGTGGGGCGTGCAATATTATTCGGCCCCTTTACTTTCAGTGCAGCAAACTCAGTCCAGAAGTTCAGTGAGGATCTTTGAATGATCCAATGTTGTCCTAAATGACTGATGATGATAAATAGAATGCACCTGTGTGTAATCAAGTCTCCGTATAAATGCACCTGCTCTTTGATAGTCTCAGGGTTCTGTTTAAAGCGCAGAGAGAACCATGAAGACAAAGGAACACACCAGGCAGGTCCGAGATACTGTTGTGGAGAAGTTTAAAGCTGGATTTGGATACAAAAAGATTTCCCAAGCTTCAAACATCTCAAGGAGCACTGTGCAAGCAATTATATTGAAATGGAAGGAGTATCAGACCACTGCAAATCTACCAAGACCCGGCCGTCCCTCCAAACTTTCATCTCAAACAAGGAGAAGACTGATCAGAGATGCATCCAAGAGGCCCATGATCGCTCTGGATGAACTGCAGATAACTACAGCTGAGGTGGGAGAGTCTGTCCATAGGGCAACAATCAGTGGTGCACTGCACAAATCTAGCCTTTATGGAAGAGTGGCCATTTCTCAAAGATATCCATAAAAAGTCTCGTTTAAAGTTTGCCACAAGCCACCTGGGAGACACACCAAACATGTGGAAGAAGGTGCTCTGGTCAGATGAAACCAAAATCAAACTTTTTGGCCACAATGCAAAACGATATGTTTGGCGTAAAAGCAACACAGCTCATCACCCTGAACACACCATCCCCACCTCAGCTGTAGTTATCTGCAGTTCATCCAGAGTGATCATGGGCCTCTTGGATGCATCTCTGATCAGTCTTCTCCTTGTTTGAGATGAAAGTTTGGAGGGACGGCCGGGCCTTGGTAGATTTGCAGTGGTCTGATACTCCTTCCATTTCAATATAATTGCTTGCACAGTGCTCCTTGAGATGTTTAAAGCTTGGGAAATCTTTTTGTATCCAAATCCGGCTTTAAACTTCTCCACAACAGTATCTCGGACCTGCCTGGTGTGTTCCTTTGTCTTCATGGTTCTCTCTGCGCTTTAAACAGAACCCTGAGACTATCAAAGAGCAGGTGCATTTATACGGAGACTTAATTACACACAGGTGCATTCTATTTATCATCATCTGTCATTTAGGACAACATTGGATCATTCAAAGATCCTCACTGAACTTCTGGACTGAGTTTGCTGCACTGAAAGTAAAGGGGCCGAATAATATTGCACGCCCCACTTTTTAGTTTTTTATTTGTTAAAAAAGTTTAAATTATCCAACAAATTTCATTCCACTTCACGATTGTGTCCCACTTGTTGTTGATTCATGACAAAAAATAAATGTTTTATATCTTTATGTTTGAAGCCTGAAATGTGGCGAAATGTTGAAAGGTTCAAGGGGGCCGAATACTTTCGCAAGGCACTGTATAATAAAAAATCCATGAGAGAATACAAATCCATGTTTAAAGGACTCTTTCAACAGTGGAATAGTGTCTTACCGTAGATGACGTCTTGTCTCTTAATTTCATCTTTCTTTAGCGTCTTCAGGAATTTCTTGTCAACAGTGCCACTCCATGAATCTGCCTCCAGGTCTTTGATGTCACTCTCAAACTCCCCCATCAGCTGAGTATCCATCATTTCTGTGCCTGTGCAAAGCATGACAGGATGAAGCATCTCTTGAGCGGTCAGTAATATTATTTATGAGTGTTTCTGGAATGTGAGGTTACCTTCATCAGTGAGGGACTCTGTGGACGCGTTCACGGCACTGTTCTGATTCAGAGAGTCGGTGGACTGTGATCTTAATTTCAAACCTTTCAGAGTCACCTCGTCTAACCTAAAAACAAAAGTAGTTTAAAGTTAAATTAAGACTACTAAACAGTAATCTTATGCCTCCACCTGGTAACAAGTACGAAGGGTAATAATGCTTTCGCCCTGCCCTATCCTTATGCTACCACAAGAGGGAGAAGTTAAATTTGTGTTTTTCCAAATTTTAATATTACCAGCTGCCAACATGTAGAGACCAAAGAACTTAATTTCACTTGAGAAATTGCCAAAAATGAAGTTATGAGTAGCACTTTTCTCCCCATAAACTCAGAAAACTGCTGAGCATGATGTTCCAGTGGTTCAATGACACCATACAAGACAGAAGTTACATGATTGTGCCAGAAGGTCCTGATATTAGCGAGGACGGATCAACACCCACAGGTCTGCTTTGATTAGGGAACAATGTTGTATCATGGATAAAATCCCAAAAAAGTAGATTTTGCATAATATTGAGTCACCCTGCGATGTTGCTGATGGAGATGCTCTTGGACAGGTTGCTGTGTGCGGAGAAGATGCTGGACGAGCGTTTGGCTTGAACTGAAGGAAACTGGTCTTCAGGCGTAGTGACTGTCGACCAGCGTTCCCGTGATGAGGACGACAAAGAGGACACCGTGGACCCGGTCGAGGACGTCGCTAGGGGAAAAGGTAGGATTAGAAATTGAAACTGTCAACAAATATATAATAAATTATGAATGGCATTTCCTATTAAGGATAAGCAACTTTTATGTAATAGAAACAATTCCTAAAAAGTACATTTTGTTCTGCCGTTTGCGGCTGAAGGAGCAGCGTCTGGGACCATGACCTGAAGCTGCAAAACAGAATAACAGAAATAAAAAGAATGTTTTAGATTTGTCAATGATTTTTAGAATACCTAAAGTGATGAACTTTTTTATTGCACGTACATTGAACTTTGACCAACAGTGGTAGTTTAAAAGTACAATAAAAAGTGGCAAATACAGACCTTATTTTTACTCTTTGCACACGTAGCTACAGCGTCCTTGCAGCTCTTGTGCACGTGCATGCCACAGTCTACAGGAAAAGAGCAGAGAGTCACTCTACATAAAGGTCCACACCACAATGATCTCATCCTGTAGTTCCGCACTAAACAGCAGCGTCTGCACAGCTTTTCTACAACTTCTCTACAACATACAAGATAAAAACAAATCTCACAAACACAATCAAATATACTGACAGAATCATACCTACATGCAACGATTTATGAAAACCCATCTTTATTTGATAATTTTGTTAGATGTTGCAATAAACTCAAATCAATACAGGTAAACTGTCTCAAAACTAGAGAGGAAGATTGTCTATAAAAATATGATTGTAAACAAAGCCAGAGCATTACAGAAGCTGAAGTATACAGAGATGTTCTTACTGCTGCAGTAGAGGCACTCTTTGGTCTGCAGAGGTTTGTTGCAGTGCTGACAGCCGCTGGACGCAGGCGGACATATTGTGACAAACATATGACTGTGCGACGACTTCTTGTCCTTTTCTTTCGGCTCTCGTTCTTTCTCTCCTTTCCTGTCTTTTTCTTTCTCCTTAAACACAAATCCCAGACACGTTTCACATGAGTAGAAAGTTAGTTATTCTATTTAAAGGGCCATAGTTGTAACAAATAAACAGACAGCTGATCACAGACTAGAATTCTTCTTACCTCATTTAAGCCAAAGTCTGTTGCCCACTTGACTGTGTGGAGTACCTTTCCCAGCCTTTCTGTCATCTTTTGACTGCTCTTATCCTGAATATTACGGAATAAGACTAGGTTTTATCGGTGCAACTCATTGCCATAGGCTCAGTGTGTTCGTGTGTCTTCTCCCTTGTCTGAATGACTCCAAACAAGGAAGTAGATGCAATACCATCTGTGACTACACCGACTTCCCCTTTCACTTCATTCTTTTTGCCGTGTGCACATTAACATTTAAGATGTTCTTCTATTTTGAAAGGAATGCTCAACATTTCATTCTTAAATAAAATTGTCCTCATAAAACCTGGTAACTTGCTGCAAAGCCCGATTTTCTTGTGCATTTGACACCTTCCTTAAACCTAAATATTATGCTTCAATCAAATCAAATCATATATACACACAAGGACATTTTATTTAGGGTAATACAATAATCCTTTTTCATGCAACATAAATACCTTGCCCTTTTTGATCATTTTATTTCTGAGGTAACTGAACGTCCGGCTGATTCTGGGCCCTCCTTTCCCCTCTGTGGTGCTTCTCAATGGTCCTGGCTCCTCTTCAGAAATACTGCACGACAGAAGTGAACCATAATGGTGAGATTTTGGTTTCAAATGTTGTGGATTAAAAGCACAGCTGGACCCATACCTGAATTCCACAGGGCTGGGGTTAGATGTGAAAGAGCCTGTACCTAATAAAACACAGGAATATAATTTACTTACAGTAATATTAAAACAATATATAAAAAAAGAAGGATGTTATGGACGCAATGAGGAGGGTTAACTTGATGATCAGTGCCCTCTAGTGGTAGTCTTCAGGATTCATTGATATAGGAAGTGTTCCCCAAACATTTTGAGCACACATTTTTCATAAAAAAAATTCCAAACTAAAACAGAAAAATCATATCTCACACCACCAGCTGAAACTGATACAAAAATGAAACCCTTTAGCTCTACTAAATATATATATATATATATATATATATAATATATATATATATAACATTTTGGGAATTATGTTGCATAATATAGAAAAAGATATTCTCACAGGTTATCTTCAGAAAAAGACAACAGACAAAATGTGTCACCTTTTGAAGATGTTATTAATGCAACTTAGGTCAAATCTTTCAAATAAACATGAGAAGGAAGGGAAAGGCAAGTATTTTGCTGAATATGGTGACAGTGAGAGTTAGAAAATGGGGGAAAAATGATTGGTGTTTCCGCATATTTAAAAATAACAAATATGTGCATTCAGAAGAATAATAAACGGTTTGAAAGCAATACAATGTTTGAGGACAAAGACATTGAATTAAAATGGGATTGTAGGGAGGATTAGCAACAGCAGAGGAGGAGGGGGGGATCTTCCTGACCACAACATGGAGCTCATGATTAGCGTCGTCCATATTATGAAGCACGCAGACATGTTCTCATGTGCAAACACCGTACTTACTCCCTCCCTCCTCATCACTGAAGGAAGAGCCCAAAGAAAAGAAACGTCTGTTTTTGGAAAGTAGAGGGGAAATACTGATGGAGAAGCTGATGCGGCGTTTGGACGGTAGACATACACCAGCTAGAATGGATTTAGTGGATAAAAAAAAGAGCAAAACTATCAGAGATGGAAAAAATGAAAAAGCAGGGGCCAAAGACTCACCGTCTATTTCCCGGTGACTGATGGCTATCATGGAGACCGATTTGGTGAGGGTTTGGTATTGGAACATTCCAGGACAGCTGGAAGTCATTGCCAGGACCTGGTGACATGGCTAAAAGAGAAGAGGAGAATGTCAAACGTTGAACTGACGTCTGAAAATACTTTTTGATGCAATATGTTATGCAATTCTATGAAATAGTATTTGTAGAATTCCCAAACATAGGCCACCTGTCTCCCAGTGTGGTTTTATTCAAGTAGGGATTAGTTTCACAAATAGAAAGTGGTGGGAAACAAAAATGAATATGTACATTTTAGCATTGCAATAAAATAATAAGATGGAAATAAGATACACTTTTTTGCATATTGATGTAGATAAGGGTTTACCTGCGGCCCGTCCTCAGAATAACAACCTGTTGTCTCCAGAGCCCCCTTTTCTCTCAGACCAGAGCCTGGGAGAGGCCCCTGCTCCACCTCCACCAGGCCCTCTAGGCTGTAGCTGAAAAAACAAACAACCAGACAAAACTATATTAGTCAACTAACAGCATACTCTTTTGTAAAAGCATTCTCTACAGTAGTTTTCAGACAGAGACCCCAAAAACAAACAAAACTTAATCCGACCTGATTAAGAAACACTCGTCACATATAGTGTTTCTTAATATAAGTATTAAAGCTACCTAAACCTAAACTATGTAACTCGTTCCTCACTCTCAGAACAGTTTGATCTCTAGTTTTCATGTGCCTATATATTTTGCCCCTATTACATCAGCTTTTTCAGACAGAATAATACAAAAAAAAATTCTATGCATTTATGGTCCGACAAGATTCTTTCTGTAAATGAATAAGTTGGAATATATTTCATTGGAATAAATGTGTCATTTATGAACTAATGTAGTTACCCCAGCTTGGGAACTAGAATTCTATTACATTCAGCGCTTAATTTGAGCCGTAACATGTTCCAACAACAGTTCGGTATGCTATTGATGGTGCTCTGTTGAATTACCTTCGGTTGTCAATAGGCTCCGGTTCAGGGGAAGCTAAATTGGAGGGGCACCAGCTCATACTGAAGGGAGAAAAAAGATAAGAACATAGTTAACTCCGAATAAATGCTTCTTTATGATCTCATATTAGAGACCACTGTACCAGTAAATATAAGACAAACAAAGTAATTCTGCACCTTCTTCTGTGCACAGATGTTTTTGCAGGCTTTGAGTCTTCTGAGAGGCTTTTGAATGGACTAGAGGTGAAGGAATAACGTATTGTGAGCAAAGTATGCTTCTAAAGAAGAACAACACCTGAAAGCTAAGTCGGGCCAGACCTGCTCTGTCCTGAGTTCATGTCGGAGGCCTCATTCCTCGCCGGCTCCCAGCTGTGTCGTCGGGATGGGGACAAGGAGCGGTGCCGAGTGGCTCTCAAGATGGCCGACGATACAATGTTTTCAGGCAACTGATCTTTTCTCTCCTCCTCCTCTCCTCCTTCCATCTCTCCAAGTCCTTCAATAGTGCAAGTAATCCACAAATACACTGTAATATACAGTATTTGATTTGATAGAAATGTAGAATTTCATGCCGCTAAAGAGTAATTACCCGTGTCCTCTGCCTCTGACTTCCAGGAAAGCCTGGAGTTACTTGGATCAGATATGGAGATGGAGGGTTCTTCACTGTAGGTTCCCAGCACTGAGGACGCATCATCAGTAGAAGACCAAGACACGCGCACCTTCTGGTCACGGTCACACTGCAGGATACAACACAAGATGAGTGAAGAAGCATAAAATCATGTTTATATGATAACATATTTGAGGAGATATATTTAAACAATGTGCAAAGCAGTGCTTGTGTGTGGCATACACATGTTTTAAACCATCTGAAATGACAAGGTGTTATTTTGAGTCTCTCTCCACTTGTTATTTAACCATGAGATAAAGGATTGACATATATTTGTATTCCAACCAGAAAAACATTTTGAAATAATTTTCAATTGAAGTTACTAAACAATGCTCACTGAAGTGTACATACATTGTGTATTAAAAGACTGTAGAAAGTAATATTAATAATTCAGAATAATTACCTCTTTCATATGCCACTTTGTAATATAAAAGTCATCATTGTACTACACTGTAGGCTGTAGTCAGGTTCAATGTCTTTGCAGTTGATGATTAACCCACTTATTTACATCCACAGTCCAAAATCAGTGTCACAAACACAAAGAACCATGCCTTGTTGTCTGACTCCAGACTCCCAATGGAAAGTGTTTTCCAGAATAAGTGAGTCATAGTCTCACAGAGACTGTTTCTTTCACAGTTCAAGATTCTGTGAGAGGCTGACTTCAACTGAACCAAGATGAAATAACTTTAATCAAAACCAAGAATCAGGGAATTAGAAACTCTAGAACGTGTGTTATTACTTTTCTTTAAAGACCTGTATCCACGTAACTACTGTATGTGCGACAGCCAGGTTTTCCTCACGCCTTTGCCAAAGAGGAAAGAGTTTCCCAGTCTGTTGCATAACGAGACTTCTCCCAGAGTGACTAATTTTAGAAAGGCATAAAGGTAGTTTGCGTAAGAAGTATTTTTTCAGCCAGACGCAGGTCCAATATTGGACCCAGCTGCCACGTGACGTCAAAGGGCTCTGACGCCAATGATTATGAGGTGCAGTAAGGGAATATGTCTTCGGTTTTACACAGATTGCGGACCACTGCTGATTATGTGAAGCTTATGGAAATGTTCATGCACAGGAAACGCAGTGGGTGTGTACACATGTTGTTTTCAGAGAGTTGTGAGGACTTTTGGGCTAGAGGCAATTAGATGGTGAAAAGCATGCTTTGTTTGGACCACTCTGGTATAGCCGAGAAACAGGGAGAACTCCTTTAGGATATAATTTGTGTGGTGACCATTAAAACGTATGATTGCTCTGTCTCGTACCCCTTTAAAAACACCGTCCTCTGTGTTTGTCTCCGGGCTGACATCCTCTTCTTCTTGTAAACACACCAATGGTTCGCTCTTGTTGTCTCGGGGAATGTCTATTCACAAAATAAATTTTAGTGGTTAAAAGAACACTTGGAAGTATGAAAGGTATTTTTTTGCCAGCCATTCTGACCTGTCTGAGAACTGGGGTCTGCACAGTGGACCGGACCAAAATCAGTCTCCCTTTGGATCTGGGAAAAACATTAAGACCAAAGCATTTTAATTCCATGACACAGAGCTTATATGTTGAGTTCAAACAGTTGCTGCTCTCCAAACGAGCTGTAAAACATCTGCAGTATATTCAAAATGCTGAAGCTCGAGCCCCGACTAGAACCATGAAGTTTGATCACATTAGTCCAGTTCTCAGATCTCTGCACTGGCTTCCTGCACTGCTTGTGTACAAGTCCAACTCATACTCTGAGGAGCACAGGGACAAGCCTCCTGCTGATTCCCAGAGTCAAGATCAAACATGGGGAGGCAGCATTTCACATTTATGCTGCTAAAATCTGGAGCAGTCTTCCTGAAGATGTGGGGCAGGCTTCTTCTCTGACAATGTTCAAATGTAGGCTAAAATCAGTTCTGTTGAGCTGTACACAACTGAAGGATTGTATCTTTACTCTTTTCAGTAGTTCAGTAATAATTTATGATTTACATGGATAAACATGAATTATAATATATTTGAATATATATTGAATGTTAATATATTTCATCACGTCCCTGTTTTAGTCAACAAGTTGATCTTCAGACAACAAGTTGATCTTCAGACAACAAGTTGATCTTCAGACAACAAGTTGATCTTCAGACAACAAGTTGATCTTCAGACAACAAGTTGATCTTCAGACAAAGATTTACACTTTCTATACATTTTATTTTGGTCACATTGAATGGTCATCGTGACAAATAAAACCAATAGTTGCAAGCCAAACTATTATCAGGATACCTTTTCTCCTTCACTGTGGTCCTGACGACATGAGTGAATGCTGTCTGAAAAGGCTTGTGACATTTCTTTTTTATGAACATGTCGTCTTGAAAGCCTTGGATCTCAGGGCTCTTCAATAGTCTCTTGTGATATTCTTGTAGGCCGAGCCATCCGTATGAGCTCATATTTAGTTGTGAGTTAATCGCAGAAGCTAAAGCGGCCTTTGTCCCCTTTGCCTCTGCTCTCAATGGTGCTGTTGTGTGCACTGTATGTTGCCTGCTCTGTCTATTATCAACATCCTGCAGAAAGTCTTCAACACAAAAGAGACTTTGCATCAGTCTACAAGTAGGTGGTGGCCTCTCACAGCCCACAGCCGCATGGTCTGGCCTGGCTGTTGTTTCAAAATGTAAATGTTAAGCGATAAAATGCAGGTTGAAATGAAATTCTAAAATAGTAAATAAGATCATATTTTAGTTTGCGGTCGATATCACTATACCTAAACTGTGACTGGCCCCGGTCACAGTTTAGAGACAGAAAAGTTAAACAGAGAGGACCACCCTTAGCTCTCAGCCAAAAGCGTTAAATAGTGACACCCTGGGCTCTTTCTATACAAGAAGATGTTTTCCAATACAATGAAGACAAAAGATCTCTTCCTGTTGAACAAACTACACATGTTTTTTTATGAGGAAAAAAAAATAGTTGCATAATAGTTGCAAAATAATTTTTGAATATACCATGGACCATATATGGTACATTACATTGCGTTACTCAATCACTTGATACATGGTGGTGGAAAACTATTTGAGTGATTTGACCTTTACTAATCATTCTCTCACACATCAGAGCCATACGAGGCAGTTTTGGTGGTGTCTAAAGATCTGCGTTGACCAATACGCCTTCTCAAACTCAGTTAAGAAGCAAAGTGTTTTATCATTGTGATTTATCATAATTCCATCAACGTTAATCTGACTAAACAAAGTCAAAGTCAGACCTTTTTGAGTAAAGGAAAAAAACAAAACAGAAATGGCAGAAAGCTACTACTCTTAGCAGTTGTCTATAGCAACTCAAAAAGGTAACTCCAAGTTTTAAAAAAATATAAATTTAAAGCCACAACCCCAGGTAAACAATCGCAAACTGGTGCTTGCCATTTGTCTTAACCCTTCTTAAAATTAAAAATGTTTCCTTCCTTTTCTAATCTTCAGACATGACTGCATATGGTCATTGTGAAGTCATCTGCAGACTATGACCTCATTATCGAGTTGAAAAATATTCGAATACATGCGTAATGTCAATGTGCATTATGAAACCACATGTGTCCACAGTCACTTTACTTAGTCACTTTGTCCCACACACTCATGGGGCTAATATTTACAGATGTTTATATACAACTATATATTTCTTGCACTAATATATTATTTGATACTTGCTTCTTTTTTATGCTAAAGTCAGAGATTTTATACCTAATTATTGCTTCTTTATTATGCTAACGTTAGAGATTTCACTTATCTTGTGCCGTGTGCTCCTCATTCATACTGCTCTGTAACTGGTGATACAACACTGAAATTTCCCCACTGTGGGAAGAATAAAGGATCTCAATCTTTAATCTAGTATTACTTCAAGTGGATCTTAAATGAATGACATTTAATCGTAATTTTTCATCTATGTATTAGTGAAATCCAAATTCTTTATTTACACAACAAAAATAGTCAAATTGCTAAAATTTGGCAAAATGTATATTACTTTCAGCATATTTTGACTTAAAACAAGATTTGCCAATGGGACAAGCAAATGATATTGTTTTAAAAAGATACCAGAAATGTCTCCCTTGGAATGAGAAAACAAATGACCCAGTTCTGACTAAATGGCTTGTTCCATTGGCAAAAGCCATTTAGCAAATTTTGTTTTAAGACTGTCAGAATGTACCCAAATTCAGTTAAATAAAACTTGATTTTAGCATTAATTCATATTTTATTATTTTTTGCAGTCTAACTCATGTAAAAAAATACAAACATAAACCGATGCAATGACTCATTTTTATATATTCAGCTTCATTTGTTAAATTCCTGAATCTTTTGAAGAGCTACCTGAAAGGGTGCGGTGAGCTACTGGTATCTCCTGAGCTACAGGAGGAGACACATATGTGACTCTACACAATGTGTGCTTGAATAAAAATAAACAAAGAAAGTTGTGGGTCCAATTGAATGGTGCCTTTATTTCCTTCTCTGTGACGATGACACACGCAGAAACTTTGAGGACCGATGACATGCTCCAGACCACAAAGACGCCTGCAGCTTCATCATAAACCAGTTTCTAAAACAGAACAATATCCTTTTTCTTTTCTTTTTTAAACTGAGGCCAACTGTAGCAAAAAAGGTTCTTTATTAAATGTGTTAAATATTTAAATGTGTTCTGCAATGTAAAGTAAATACACTTTGCTATTGATGACACATCAAACCTAAACATAAGGAGTCTTTGTAGGAGTTGGTCCAGCTTGACACCTACAATGAATAACTTTTGTAAAGCCTCAACAATGAGTCAAACTTGAAATCTTTACATGTGGTCTATGGTCTTCAAAGTAAAGGAATAAACACCAAAATGACACGGACCAGGCAGAAAGGAGGGTGAGCTGTGGGAAGAGGGGCACTTGTCATTGGCTCTGCAAGTCTGCCAACAAGCTACTGATGGATTATAGTATGGGGCTTTCCCCCAATAGGCACAACCCTAATCACATAAGATGTCCATAGTTTGTAAGAACATGGCAGTAATATATTCACAAAACTAATGCGGCCTTTTTGGTCTTTCCAGCAGATAACGTGAACTCTCTCCATCGTGGAAGCAAGTCTAAAGCCATACAAATCAAAACAAAAATAGACAACTGGCCATCTACCACAATTGATCTGAAATGACTGTTTTATTTCTGTGCTATACTATATACTGCAATTTTACTAAGTCTTTATCATGCTGCTGATATAATCTTCATATTCAGGAAATGTTTCAGTACAATCGCAGGGAAATCACTGAGATACTTCATAACACAAACTTATAGCTGAGCCACTGCCACGACTCAAAGGCAACCGTAGTAAGATGTTAGCACCCAACACGACCCTCAAGTGTTTTATGGGCTAGCATTAGCTCAGCAGAGTGGTGTGACAAAGTGACAAAAGCCTAAGTAACTTCAACTATTCAAACATTCAGAGATAACCTCAACATCAGAACATTTAAAATCTTTAGGACAAACCTACCTTGATCAGGACCACATCCCCAGTCCTCTCTGCTTTGGAACAGAAACTGTACCTCCGCTTATGCCTCTCATACATGCCGAAACTTCAAATCATTCCCACCAGGTTCAAACAAGGAATTATCACAAGACTTTCTTCTTTCTTGACTTCATTTGCAACTCAATGAACAATTCACTTCTTCAACAATAAAAAAAAACCCAATTTGATTCTTCGTCAGTTTGGGGTTCTGTTACCACTGGACTAAAACCACTCCAGGCGCAGGCACAGCTAGCATATATGAACCAAAATCCAATCCTACAGTTACACATTCCCAACGCGGCAAGATAAATCTTCTTGAAACAGCATGAACCATTTCTCATAAAAAATTTGCATTTCTTCTTTTAAAAAACGTAAAATCCAGTCAAAGGGTAGAATCCCGGAGCAGTCGGAAAAAGAGCCTCGTTGCCCACATCTGTTCAGAGCCTGGCCCCTCCCTCTCTCGCTCCTTCCCACTCTTTCCCCGTTTTCCTTCGGGCTGTCCATTCCTCGCTCTCTGCGGTGCTCCACCCAGCACATCTGTCGCTCAAACAAACCGCCTCACATCCACTGGGTACCTCCGCTGCTCCCACTCAGCCACATACAATGGACCTCTATGCACTTCTGACTACCAGCTCCAAAGGGTCTTCTGGTGAGGGGGTCTGCTGCTCGTTAGGAGGTGTGCCTGTTTTACTAACTGAGGGTTCGCCGTACACAAGTAAAAAAGAAACGCCTGATGAGGTGTTCCCCCGATTGGTCCTGTGCACAATAATAATCGTCACTCTAGTTCTAGTTGATCCATAGCTTGGTAGAAGTAAGTAACTACACAAACTCTTGCACTTTCCAAATATGTCATAAACTTTTAAAGACCCTGCAGCACGACGTAGGCACAACTGTGGAAAGAAATGCAGTAAAAGGAGGGAAGCAGCAGGCAAATAAAGTGAAATGGGGAAAAAAATTGAGTAATGAGGATACGTTAGAATTAACAAGAGCAGAAAGTAGCGATTATTTTTATTGTCAATTCATCTTGCAATTATCACTTAGTTGTTTTGAATGCAAATATGAGATGATTTTGCAATTTTATCTAGATAAATCTTAAGTGAAGCCTGTGGAGAACATTCAGAATGATTGCCTTTTATGATAGAACCTGTTTGATGTGTGCAATCTCTTATTTCCTGCTGTAATGTGCGCAATGATTACATGAAATTTCCCCACTGTGGGACACATAATGGTTTATCTCATCTTATCATAAGACATTTCCTGTTTCAATGTGTATGTAGTTGCTGCTCCGAGTCGTGGATTATTGAAAACAATTATTTAATCTATCGGTATATAAGTCACTACAACTGGAACATTAATGCATAAAGCAGGGGTGGCCAACCAGTCAGAGACTAAGAGCCATTTTTTTTACTTTGTTACAGCAAAGAGCCACATCATACAAATGTGCGCTACATAAACATCACCCCATCCCTTACACACGCGCACGTACGCACACGAGCAGACACGCGCACACATGCAACCTGTCTGAGCAGAGAGAGGTGTGCTCTGCTCAGATAGATGTAAATGTCATCAACATGATAATGACAGAAATTGACTCGTACAGTACTAAAGGGCTGGACTCGACTCTCCCCGGTTTGCGGGCACTTCCACCGCTCGCTTCAACCGCTCCCCGGTACTTTTTATTGATGGTTCGGCCCTGGTTCTAACCGGGCGAGTCGATACCAGAACAATTGCACGTCAGCGAACATCAATTATGATTCCGAAATGAATGCTTTCAATCTCTAACCAAGAAAAAAAAATCAAGTTTCAACCCAGTATTCAGCAGAAACACAACTGTCTTTATCGAACCATGATTCACTCTCTGACTGTATTTAGTAAAAGATATAAATTTGACACATAACACCAACACCTCTTTAGCTGATTTAGAACCACAGACACATGCTCAGTATAAGACCAGATACTTTTGCATTTGATTGAAGACAGACACTCACCAGGCAGAGTTGGCTTATCTCCTGGTGTAGCTGGTGTTAGCTGCTTTTAGCATGTTAGCCGGTGTTAGCCGGTGTTAGCCGATGTCCGTAAATGTAATCCATTTGGTCAAACCACCACCTCCAGACTTTTCGGGTCTGCCTCTACTTCTGCTGCTGCGATCTTTCATTTCACGGTTGTCACTTTTAAGCTTTTTAACTTTTCTCTGCATTGTCATGTTTGTGGGAATCATTCTGCTCCGTCCTTAGCGCTAGCTCCACAAACACCTTCTGGTTTCTGGTGGAACCATCGAGCTCACGCTGGTGTCCTCTCCTCAAACTGAGGAAGGTGTTGCCCTCATCCAGCGACCAAGGAACTGTTTTCCGTACGGACGCCATGGGTCGAGGCAACGTGTTGTTTGTTATGATATTTAACAGCTGAGGCAGCGGCTGCAGAGTGGTTGACAGCGCATCTGACCAATCAGAATTGACGTTCGCCGACGTCAGATTGTTTTGGTGGCCTGGCTAGGTGGAGTGAAGTCGGCCTTTACTATTGGTCAGAACTACATAGAGAATGAATGGCAGCGCGAGGCGTTTTTGACGCTTGTCGTGTGAAAGCCCGAGAGCCGCACGGAACCAGCCAAAGAGCCGCATGCGGCTCACGAGCCGCGGGTTGGCCACCCCTGGCATAAAGCCTCAAAAGTGTTTTTTTTCTAAGCTGTGCTGTTATGTTGCTATAGCTACATAAAGTTAAATATGCTGTAAACACAATACTTAATACTGCTGCAGGGACTTCATGTGTTATTATTGTACTATAAAATACACAATACATTTAATACTTTCCTAAACAAAAAATCCAACTAAATGTTATGCATGTCCTGCCTCCAACTGTGCAAGAGTGGTGCACAGTGGGAGGGAGCAGCAACTTCGAGCCAATAAGTGGGAATAATCAACTCCATCTGAAACCAATCAGTAGCACACAAATACAGAGGTTACCATGGAGACAGCTGTACAGCGTCCAGATGTGACGCAGAGTGGGATCGCAGACTGAGCCGCCCACCACGAGACTCAACACAAGGGGGCAGCAGAGCAACGACAAGTAAAGAAGCCTTTATGAGAGCACTTTTATTTTTGTCAGCTGCTGAGGCAATAACAACGCACACTAACCCCAAAACAGTTTTCTTTCTTTCCCTTTTTAAGCCAGACATTAGCTAAAAGTGAGTCATGTGTTAACAGCAACTGCTACAAGCGTCACATCTACATTCATAATCGAATGCTGTTTATTCATTTGTTTACATACTGAATGTTATTACCAGCACTGAAAAAGCCCCATGGCTTGTCCCATAAAAAGTCATAAAGGACTTTTACTTTATCTACAAACAGAGTGCCGCAGACCTCTCTTTTGACGGCTTTTACACACATTTGTTGATGTAAGTTTACACTGCAGTATTGTCAGTCTCCACTGTTTTTGAGAATCTAGCGCCTTGTCCTTGAAGAGCACCTGATTCAAGCACAAGAAAGAACCCACAGAAGCACTCACTATTCTGTCTTACTTGGAAATAACAAATATGTATTATACCTGCAAATAAATAAGATTCACATTCACATTATGATTGCATTTTATAGTCATCTCAATTTCATTTTCAGCACATACTGATCTGGCATAGACTCAGTATTCCCACAACTCATTTTGCGACCTCTGTGTCAGTAAAGCAACATGTGCGTCAGAGACATGGAAAAGCGATTTATATGTTTCCTCCAGAGCCAGATTGCAGGCCAAGCTTCACCTGACCCTAAAGATATTTTTTAAACGTCTAGAAAAGTATTTTTAGACTTTAGACTTTTTAGACTTATTACACAGTATGAGGATGAATGTGTTGAAACATTTTCAAACCACCTACAATCATTAGGTATAAGGAATAAGCTAAGGCAAAAGTCTAATATTACTTAAGAATATTAGACTTTTGTATCATTCTCTGATCATGTTGTTGCTCATGTGTTTCCTTGATCAAATCTTTGGCTGCACTCATACTATAGAAGACTTAATAGCCCTGGGCCTCTGAAGAACCTTCATACTTACAAGACATCAACTATCTGCAAAACCAACTCGTGCCACAAACAAAGGAAGGCCTCCAGGAGATGTTTAATTTCTCATATGCACAGCCAATACTTAGGATTACAACTATTATCTCTGTGTCACTCACCTGAGGATCTTGTAAACAGTCCCCAACACTTCTTTTAGACCCTTGCTCCTCCCATTCAGTTGAACATGTGCCAGCTTCTGTCAGAACAAAGACCAAAATACAAAGCATAAATCAGAGGCAAATACATGTGCATAAACAAGCAATGGAAGACCTCAATATATTTAATCAAGTATGGCATTGGAGTAAACTAAATAAATAAATAACAAATACAAAAAAGTATCATACCTAGAACAGATATTCCGCTGATCCATTTGGCTTCAATTTGCATAGATTTATTACTATTCAGGAAAGCTTGTCTGGTTCAAAACATTATGTAAACTACTGTAATGCTCACAGTCTGACCTGTACAGTCAGTAGGTGTTTCAAACCACAATTCTGCCCATAAAAGAGGATGTGGGACACTGAAGTCAAACAGTGAATGAGTCACTGCTGTTTCAAGTGGCACGTGTGAGAGACCCTAGTGATGCTGCATATATCTCACCAAAATATAACCTTTAATAACAGTAAAGTTATATTTGTATGGTTTGCGCAAAACTTAAAACAAGTTAAAAAAAAAACATATAAATTACATGTATTCCAAGTAGGGCTGGAAAAATATAGTTATCGTGAGTACAATCATTTAAATTGTATTTTGCGTTTTAATTAAAAAGTTTTGCCATACATACTCTTTTGCTGCTAGAGCCCACAGACTCTTGGTAGAGGGGTTGGAAAGAACAAAATACAACATAGCAGGGGTAGAGATGAGCAAACAAAAATCAGTTTGTATTGATTGCAATATACTATTAGCAGTCCTTGACACTAATATCGCAAGTCTTTACAATATTGTGCAGCCCTAATTCAAAGTAAGACCAAGGAGATTTTTTTTTAATCTGGCTCCATCAAAACAAAAGTAATGTTTACTACTGGTGATTGGTTACTATGGTTACCTTTATCTATTAAATAAGATGGCCTTTATACTGTATATTGAAGGCTTGCACTGCAGACCAAGGCTGAAAATATACAGTATTATGTTGACAAAATTATTTTATTTATTTGAAACTCTTACTTTTCTCACTTCTCTAACGGCACACACTTACAAACTCTAATTCACTTCAAAGTCTATGCCACAGAGATCACAGGTGGCGTCTGAAGCCATTTCTCGGACGGACTCGAGTTTTGCTGGCCACTGTGAGCTCTGATGACATCACCAGGTTGCCCGGATACGTGCCCCATACAAACAGTGGAGCCGGATCAACCGTCTGCCGCTCACGCCCCGTCACTGACATTATTCTGTGCACTGTCTCTCCACTTCCTCCCATTCAGCCAAACACAAAGCAGCTAAAATTATCAAATACTCAGAACTCAGAAGAAAGGTCAGTAAATGTAAGTCTAATGTAACACAAGCCAGAGCAGTGTTTTATAAGCAAAACTGATGACTTTGTGATGGGTCATTTATTCAACCTCCAGTCAGCAAGGATACAGATGTCCACGTCACAAGGCTAAGATTAGGGTGTCCAATGAATCATCACTAATGTGAGTGGGTTCCATAAATAACCTTTACCGTCTGAATGAAACAGAGTTCTGAAAATAAATAAAGATGAAGTCTACAAGTCGTCATACACAGGTTGAGGAAAAGAGGGGTCTCTTTGTCTTTATGTAGAAATTGGTTATTTCACAATATACCAATAAACTCACTATGTGCCTGAGGACAATTTCAGATATGTGGAGAGGCCTCTTCAAATTAAGATGATATCTTTTGTATCTTTGAACAAATAAGATTCTCATAGTTACATGGAGGCAGGTATGATGCAATGTACAGTAAAACAACACTGTATATTACACTGCTCCCATGGAAACAAGTGGAGAGCCTCCAACAGAAAAGATTGGTCAACTGGACTCACTTCAGAGTCATAAAGCCACAGATTTGATTCAATATAAGTGAATTGACTTATTTGACTCGTGAAGCAATGTGAAACTGTTCAGAGCTTTCACGTCTCCAAAAGTGAACCAGAATGAGTTGAATCAAGAAAGACTTCAACTTGTTCAGTGTAGATTTTACTACTAATTGGTTTGTATAAAGTAGACATCAGTCGCTTATCGAACAGTCTCTACTGATTACAAAAGAGTCGGTTGGGGCCCAAAAGTCATCAAAAAGGTCACTATGAACAATATCACAGAACACACACCCAATATCGTCATCAGGAAAGAAAAACATCAAGGGCCTAAGTGACCAAATTAGCACAAAAAACTCGTAGTACATTTTATCGAAATATGTGCCTGTATGTTTAATATATTCAATTCAAAAAGGTGTGTGGTACTTTTGACATGAGGGAGGATCAAAATAATATGATTATATAAGATAATATGTAGAAGCAACATTAATTATAGAAGCAAAACAAATCTAAATTATTTGTCACTAACAGGATTAAAAAATAGAAATAATCATAATCTGGACAAAACAAACAAAATATGCTATGTGCCGAGAGATGAGGATATAAAGTGCACATCAAATAAAGATTGCATTCCATCTTCCTAATGAAACTTCTAACGCTTACATTTGTGTACTTCTATGCTTTCCGTGTAAGATTGAAAAATACAAAAAGAAAACGAGATTTGTTATTTGCAATCCTAGTCTTGACACATTTAGTATTTACGACAATAAGTTAAATAATGAGCCATGATTTACCTGTCTGCTCTTTGTCTTCTCTCTTCACTCGCTCTCGTTCTTTCCATTCCTCCACTATATCCTCGTCCAGACGTTCCACAGAAGCCTCTTTTATCTCCCACACAACAGTCACTTTCGCAGCAAATTCCTCGATTTGGGATTCCTTTCTTCTCATTTCTGACTCGATACATACTTTTTCTTCAGGGCTGTGGCTGGCCTCATGTGTGATTATTATGGAAGATGGAGAATCACAAGACAATGGACCCGATTGTTCTCCTGCTGTGAGTGACACACTTCCCGGCTGACTTTTACTTGAATCACGGCATTCATTGCTTATTGCTTTTTTCATTGGACATTTATTTACTACAATTGCTGCTGCGCCTTCTTCTGCTGCATCTACCACACACATAACAGGGGGTCCGTCCTGTCCTGTATCTATAACCTCACAAACATCCGCAGTCTTGTCTGAAAACACCTTAGGTAAAGCTAAATTGGTGTCACTTGATGAGGTCCTAATACAATCACTTCCAAATGAATCAATACTGTTTTCCTCCACTGTCAAGTCAAGTTTGATCTGTTCATCACTACTTAACTCTAACAGCTTCTGATTGGAGGAGTCCTCGTTCTCATCAGGGTGTGTGGCAGCTTGAATAGCTTGATTTGAACCCAAATTCTCAGCTTGTAAATCATTGCCAGTCTCCAACGTCAATGCTTGGTTAGTCCGATCTGGTTCGTTTCCGTTTGAAATACATTCTTGTGCAAAATCAATCTTAAAATCATTTTGTGTCCTCACTGTTTGTGACTCACACTGGGCCTGATCCTGGTTAATGTTTGGCGTGAATGGACAAGTGTTGAAAGAATCGCTCCCTTGGTTAAACAAAGCAGGTGTTTCATCTGCTTTTCCTTCTAATGGATTCATACCAGACATCTTAGTACAATTATTAGCCAACTGCTGGCCAAGTTCAAACTTTGCCATTGCTGATGCTACTGCCACAGTCACAACTGCTACTGCTGTGGCTGCCAGCTCCAGCTCATTGCCTAAACAAGAGCTTCCCCCCACTCCTGCTACATTATTAGAACGCACCTCAATCACTTCACGCCTCTGCAAGCTTCCTATCTTAGCCTCTTCCTCTTTCCACAACTCATTTTTATTTTCCTCCTCAAGGCTCTGGTGTGCGGCAATCTGTGAAGCCAAACAATGCTCCGGCGGTCCCTGCAAGGTAATCTCAGCGCTTCCTTCCCTACTAGGAGGAGGTGGGACATCCGCTGTACCATCAACAAGAGCGTCAGAAGCACTCATAGGTTCAATACTTTCAGGACTGCTAACCAAAGGATGGACTGGTCGTAAATGCATGGCGGCAGATGGTTCCAACAGCATGTTGTTCAACTGTAAGCAACTTGGATGACTGACAGGAAGTTCCTTTGGAGAGGTCTCACTAGGCTGATGATGTAAAATACTGCAATTACAATCCAAAATATCATCGTCAATTAATTCCCTTTTGTCTATTTGTGATTCTGGCTTTTCCAAATGTTCTAACACTGGTACATCCACTTCCTCTGACTGAGCAGGAGCAGCGGCGTCCCAAACACGATCGTTACAATTGTGAAATATTGTGGTTTTATCCTCTGAGATTCCTTCTGATCTGTTCAAGTCCGTTGTTCCAGGAGGTTCAGTTAAAGTCATACCATCCTTAGCACTGTTCTGAATTTCGGCCTGGTTTGGCAGTTGCATTGTACTCGTCCCTGGAAGCGATATAGTTGGAATGTCTGTTCCTGATTTTTCCTCAATATTCCAGTCAGTCAGCTGCATCAGAGTCTCTGTTTGGTTTTGAGACTCAACGCTAGATGTTGAGCTGAGTTGTTTGCGTTCAGGGCCTCCTCGCTTGCCCCGTTTTTTCTTCTTTTTTCTAAACTTTGTGCTCCTGTCCCCATGTCCGTCTTCTTCATTCTCTGAGCTCTTTTTGCTGTGAGCACCGACCTCCTCCCCGCTCGCCTTCTCCCAATCTGGGCCGGCTTCCTTGTCTCGCTGAGCTCCGAGGACTTCCTGTCTTTGTGAGGCGGACCCATGTGACACTTCTGGCTGCAGTCCAGTAGCATGTGGCTGCGTAGGGGCTGGAGACAGCTGAGGGGGGCTTACACACAGCTCCAAGGGCAGCTGTGGAGAGTCTGTTTCTGTGCTCGTGCCCAGTTGTTCACAGTCATACCAAATGGACAGAGATTCTGGCTCTTCTTTCTTCACCTCGTCACTGGTGTCTCCCCGGTCACAGTCTGCCTCTTCTGAGACAGTTGTGCCTTGAATCCCTTCATCAACTTGAGGAGAAGCCAATTTTTCTGAATCGGTTTCAGAAAAAATCAGGGATTGATCTTGACCCATAGTTTCTAAAAGAAAAAAAGTAAATATTGTATTAAAATATGTTAGAACTGGCATTATATATTTTGCCACAGTACTACAAATGTGCGTCCGATTGTTTCTGATGTTTCTGATAGTCATATGATTATTTTTCTTTAATATTTTAGATCTTTTCTATCATTCTTTAGATTAACAGAATTATTCATATTCCAAGAGCACATTTTAAGCTTACTGACATGTGTTCATAATGGTGATTTAGGGCAGCAGTGATAAAATAATACTTATATATGACTTTTGTCTATAGCAGGGCTCCATTTAAAAGACAGAAACAATCCTACTCATTAATGAAACTGAAAGTACCAGCAGCAACCATCTAGTTAATTCTTTATGTAATTTTTCCTTTCAATAACTTTTCACATTATTTAAAGAGCAGAATTACAATAAATGTTTGACTAGTACAAGTGACAACAAACAATGTTATACACAGCAAATCATGTATCTATTGCATCATTTCTATTGCAGTATCATTTCCAATACAAGTTCATACATTTTTTACATCTAGAGCTTGCTACAAAATCCATGTAATGTCGGACAGTTAGTTACTACCCCGTGTCAAACTTATACAGCACATAGCAGATACAAAAACAAATGCAGTTAAATCAAGGACTGAACCAACCTGTCTGTTCTGTAGCTTCGTTGTGATGTGAAATCTGCAAATATTCTTTAATCTTCACATCTTGAACCAGTCCCACTTCGAGTACTTCATTTTGTGTTACTTGGTCCAAAATAATTTGTTCAACTTCCCACTTCTGTTCTTCCTGTTTTTGTGCAATTGCCGTGGCTGGTGAGTCTACGGTCTTCCTGTCGCTGCTCGGTGCATCACTATCCGGGCTTGTTGTAAAATCTATTGAATCTTTTTGTGTGGATATAATTTCCCTTGCTTGATCATTGGTGGCAAGTGGTTTTGGTGCTGGTATGGCTTCGGAGACAGCTCCTTTAACAGCCGCCGGGGGACTTCCTGGACTTTCGGTTACAGTTCGTGCCGTTTTAGGAGTTCTCTTTTTATTCCTTCTGTTACGACCAGAGCGAGGAGCTGTTTGTGTGGCCCCAGTTTCCTGGCTTTGACGACTGGCTCCATCAGTGATTGCAGAAGGACTCTCCAAGTGGCTCCTGCTTTGTGCACAACTGTCTTGAGCTGGTTTTGTTCTAGCATCAACCACTCTCTCCTCGTTCAATGGTGATGTAACGATTGCAGAGTTTGTAGCAAAGTTATTCTCCTGTAGAGAAAGAAAACCCTGTAAGTATAGATAAACACAATCTTGTTTGTGTTTTTCTTAAAAACTAGGGCTGTCAAATGATTAATTTTTTTAATCGAGTTAATTACAGCTTAAAAATTAATTAATCGTAATTAATTGCATTTCAAACTATTGGCTAAATTATGCCATATTTTTCTGTAAATTGTTGTTTGAATGGAAAGATAAATGACAGCTTAGTGAACATATGAACTGTATTTGTTTGTTATAACAATAAATCCATATAAAATGGCATTAACATTATTAACATTCTGTCTTTCTGTTTAGACTCAGACCAAAACCATTGTTTGTTACAGATGAGGGACATTTCAAAATAGTCTGAAATTCAGAATGTCATTAAATCTGTTTGATTTGCTCACACCATTACTTTTTTGGCACAAGTAACATGAACTGGTAGTCGAAAGGAAAATTAGGTACCTCAGCTTTAATTTAGCGAGTGCGCTTTGGGAGAAGACACGGAGGAGACTGAGGCTCCGCAGTCCAGCTTCAGCGCTGTACATATTGTGTGCATCGGTTACGCAAAGACACGTACGCACACTAGAGAATAGTTCTGTAATAGTTCTGTGCGTGGTCTTCGATATGATCCCATTACGCAGCGCCGTTCGCCGTGATCACAGCCGCTGGAAGTGGGACCTGCTGTCCAGAGCGCTGTCACGCCCGCAGCTCATCATGCAGAGTTCATACAGGAAACAAGTGCCCCGCGGTCACGCCTGTATTCTTTCAAAACTTGAATTCCCAGAGGGTCTACCTGCTCTGTCCCCATCTTACACACGCATGTGTCCGCGGCATTCTGAGTGTTATTATGGGACGCATGGGCATGCGTCAAATGCGTTAATTTTTTTAACGCGATTAATGACAAAAATTAATTAACGTGCGTTAACGCGATAATTTTGACAGCCCTATTAAAAACATATGTTAAAATGAAACTGAAAAAGAATAACATGTCGACTGTTCAATTCTGCTCATGCCAAAATGACTCCAAATTATCTTTCTTCCCATGATATGCAATAATAGTATTATTGGAGTATTTGGCCACACAAGCTACAAATTATGTTTCCCCAGACTATTCCAAAAACAACCAACTTGATAGAAAATACAGTCAGCAGTTCTGATTCATTCCAATCTAATATTATTATTCCCAATTACAACTTGAACTGCAACCGCACAGAAAGGGCAGACTCTATGCACATAAGAGGCATAATGACAAGAACTTCTCAGGTCACACCTCAAATTTATGTAGAGCTTTAAGCCTTAAAAGCAATAAAATGTTCTTTGGAAGCCCTCAGAATTTGCTCAATTCCATGGTTTAAGAAAAATCATCTTCCTACAAATCAGGTTTAGACAAGAGAGCCCTACAGATGCAGATGTTTTGGACAGGGCAATGGCTATTTTTAAATGGCCAATTTTTGTTTTCCTTTTTTGAAACCACAAATAAACAGGGTTGGTGTTAATTGTTAAATAGCACATTAGCTTTAAGACTATTTTAGAGGTCATCACATAATGGATAATTATTGATTAGGCCCATTTTAAAGGGAGGGGAAAGGAAAACATGTTTTATTTGTGGAAGGATTTGTATCTGCCGTTATTTTGTGTATTTACTTGTTATATAATATAAATACTTTGACTTTTATTTTGAATTTGTTTTTACTTTTATTGAGTATGGGTTTGGATCTTCTGTAAAAACAATTGTTATTTTTAGATTGATGGACAAGCTTTACATAATTGTCTTGTTAGAAAAAAATTCCAATTCCAAACAGTTTTACATCTAAAATTACATTTCATTTGGTTGTTCCCATGGAAACTGCCAAGTTTGATGTAACTTTAAAATCCGGATTAGGTGTGCCAACGTGATAGTGACGAGGCTGAGAAAGCAAGGAAAAGCTGATGTGCTCAATGTGTGGCCTCAGGACCGTCGTCATCGCTGCACTTTTCCACTCACTCACTCTCCAGGGAAGTTCAAGTGGTGTACAAGAAAAAACTTAATTTTATTCCATTTTACACCATTTTAGGCCATCACTGCTGAGATGGATTGAGAAAGTGTATCATTGTTGAACATTCACTCTTTTTTATACAATCAACACTTGAGATCCAACTGTATTTTTCAACCCAAACGTCTGTATTTTGTTTGATTTGTTCTACTGTATGAGAAATATGAGTTTGAAATAAACACTTACTTACACTTACTTACACTTGACCATTTTTCTACTGAGTACTATTTCATGCTCGAGATGAGTTTAAAAGATCTTATCTAAACTGAATGGACAGATTCTCACCTTTTTTCCTTTATGCTGTGTTATATGTCTCCTCAGCTGGGCCACGTCATCTTGTAAACAAAAGTCGGAGCCATCTTTGCTCTGCCACTTGTGGACGCATTGTAATGTTAGGGAGAAGGTCCCCAGCTTGGAGTGGTGCTGGAATACTTGACCATCTGGATCTATGTGCAACTCCCCGGTGTCAGAGCTGCAGAAACACACGAGATAGACTCAGAATAGAAGAAGCAAATATACAGTTGTTTTGAGGATGATTTAATGAAGTAGCAAAGTGTAATGCTTTTGACCAACTGCACAAAAGTATTTTTTAAGTGCCCACAGTCATTTTTTTAAATTAGGAAGGAAGAATTTGGGCACTGTGCTACATTTATAACATGCCGCACCAATACCAAATATTACTGTAAGAGAGAAAGTACTGCCAGCTCTTAGATGTGTTGCATTCTGAATAAATGAAACCATGATTATGCATGTTTGTTTTGCACCGGTATCTGAAAAGAGGTATAGGTCATAGACAAAAATGTTTTGAAGTCAATTCTGATGTTATGCAACAGAAAAATGCTGTGAAAAGTGATTTGTGTTGTTCTTTCCTATCGCACTTTTCATCTCAGACAATATGGCTCCACAAACAGGTTCTGTCCATGTAAATATTAAGTCTGTTAGATTAGATAGTGATCCGTTGTTGTCAACCAACTCAAGGAAATGACTGCTCAAACAGAAAAGTTGGGAAAAAAGGGAATGAGCTTTTAATTTAACAGTGTGTGAAAAAAGGCAAGAATGCTTAAAATGATGCTGCTGGTTCACATAGTGTAAGACTTGAAATCTTATTCTAGTGAAATACATGCGTAAACAGTGACAATGATATAATGCGCCTGTCGACATGCCTACACCTAATACTTAGAGACACTAGGATACTATGTATAAAAACCAGTTGCACTTCATAGTTGAAGCATTAAAGCACAGTTACTGAATATCACCATAGTTTGATGACAAAGCCTGAAAGGAAAATAAACAAATGATCAAAACGAGACTCACTGTGCACAGGGTAGAAACCTCTGTAGGTGGTCCTGGGACGAGCTTTCACACTCTGTACTTGACCCCTGGTGAGTGTCTGTCTGTCCAAGGGTGAATGAACTCCTCCTGTTCAGACCCGAGAGCTGCTGCTGCCGCGCTGCAGGAAGAAAGCACCAAAAAAGGCACGTAGGGGAACAGAGTGGAACAAGTCAGACCTCTTCTGGTAGAATGAGACATAAACAGCCTTTAGCACACTTGTATTTTTTGTATCTTTTCAATAACATGTGCAGCAACGTGAGTCAGCTGTGCCTTCAGAATTATGAAAAATAAATTGATTAATAAATATTGCAACAATCCAGAGTCAAGCAAAGCAAATCATGATTAATGTAATCTTACTCTTTAGTTAATTTAGTAAAGTAGCAATTATTCCTCCAATAAATACATTTGTGTTACAGACATGTTGACTCACACAGATTGGGGCCTTTGAATAGCGCTGATTACCCGGTAATCATTACAGCTCTATTAAATAAACCATTCGTTATTCAGTTTTTTCTGAAACAGTATTGTGTTGTTTATTTGGTTCCAGATATCCATGTTTTGATAGAATTTTTTGAGCACCTAGAACAAAACTCTTTATATTTTGTTTTTGTATCAAATTAAAATCCAATAGTAAGAAAAACTTTCTTTGTCATCTCAAATGCAGAACTAATGTTGTACAATGTAATCAATATATAAAGACTCATCTTTTGAGTATACATTTTCATGGATACATTTCTGTTATCTTCAAAGCGTACCACAGCAGCGCCTGGGTGAACAAAGGGTAATGACAACTGGCACATGGTTGTAACTTGACACTTACTGCTGCTGTTGCACTGTGAGGATGCCGCTGTCCCTTTGTCTGGGCTGCTCTCGGCACTGGACTCCTGTGTGATGTTTTGATGATTGTCCATTGGTGCCGTGTGCAGCGTGTCCCTGGCTGGATGTGTGTGTGTCAGTGCACTGGAGCATGGGCCCAGTCTGTGCAGCTGAGTCAGATGTTTCAAAGCCAAGACGAGGCTCTCTTCCAGCTCAATACATTCTTTCTGTGGAATCAGTGGAAAACAAAAAGAAAACAGTTAATGGAAGAGCAGAGCCGTTTGCTTCAGGATATCCCTCCCTTTTATTTTTATTTTCATGTTAAGCATTATCATCACAGAACACTTCATACTAAAGTCCCCACAAAACAAACACGAGCTGAATGTATGAGAACATATTATAGTTCTTAAAGACATATGAAATATGTCTTTATATGAAAGACATAAGAAATATGACGCATTATTAAAAAGTATAATGAGACCATTTACTTTTGATAACTTAAAATAGTATCTAATTTCTCCATCTGTGAAATAAGCGTTAAGGGTAAATAATCTGTCTGCCCTCCCCCTATAGCACCGCTACCACCACAGGGGAGTAATAGAATTTGCTTTATATTATTTCAAAATTAGAAAATTACCAGCTGCAAACAGACACCAATTAATAGGCAATACTGTGTATAAAATGTCTCCTTTAACACCTAGGGCTGTGCCAAAAAAAAAAAAATATTGCAATATCAAATTTGGCAGACGCAATTGTCAACACCTGAAAAAAAAAAATCAAAAGACAAAAGTAATGTGGAACTGAAGCGGACTTAAATTCATTTAGAATAAAAGAAGGCAGCTTGAGATTTTGACCAAGTGTGAAGGTTTTTGTCATACAAGTTTTTTTTTTATATGAAAGAATAAAAAAATTCAATCGGAAAATGCCCATCCTAACACCCATTACTATGCTTTCTTCAAACGGATTGCAACATTTGTACAATATTTCGAAGCCACCAGGCAGACTATAAAGCGTAGATATATCTGTGGACTGTAGGAAAACATATTTTGGGTGATTTTTCAATTTTATAGGGCCAGGAATTCATTTAAAACACTTTGAAAGTTGTAAAAAATGTATTCATCCTTGAGACAAGCATTCTGCAGACCCTTCACCTTTCAGATAAGATACAGATACAAACTGTGTAAAATAAATGGCATATGTTCTGTTGTTCTCACTGTTGTGAGAAAAACTAAGTGTAAAACATTTGTAGAACTTCAGACACAGAGAATGTCTAGTTACAGTGTGCGATGTGGTTTCAAATGTACTCCGTCAACTTTTAAACATTTTGCTTTTGCATGTGGGATACCAGAATGTGCCATTATATAAACTAGACACGACAGCTTTGTGCCCATCAGAAACACAATCAAACATTTTGGACTTTGAGAATAAAGTAAAGGGGTTCATAAGTTTGTCTTTTTCTCCTCACTCACCGGATCATTCCACAGTTGATCTTTTTGATGCAATTTACTGTTCAGCATCACATGAGCCGTGTCCAGAGCCAAGTCCTAACAACAAGAGATATCAATTCAAGTTTTTGAATATATTCTCTTCAAAAGTTCAAAAGTGCAGGTGTAGTGCTCACTATATAAATTAGTTTAATGCATGCTGTACCTGCACAAAGGTGAGTTTGTTCTGTCCACGTTTGTCCACTGCTCCATCAGGTCGGGCCACACACAAGACCACCAGCACCTGCTCGTATTCATTATGCCCTGTGCAAACACAGAAGAAAGTAATGTGTTTTCAAACAAAATGTGTGTGTTGAATATGATTAAAGATTTCACAATACAGATCACAAAACCAGTCACAAATGAGTAAATGGTGCTTGGGCTGAAACAAGTTCTATTTCATCCCTTCAGACCGCCAGAGGGCGGTGCATAGCACTGAATGTTCCCTTCGCGCATGCGCAGTTCGAGTAATAATACCAAATGAGTCACACCTGTGACCCGCTGGGTGACACACCGGAGGTAATAAAGTCCAGCGTCATCCAGCACTCTGTTACTTTTTTCTTCTCACGTGCGGTTCGAATCGTTGCTGCTTGAACCTCGTCAACGTCTGTCGCTGAAAGCCCTCTTCATCGGAGCTGCAATTCGCCCTCCGTGGGGCGCGACGGTGACGTTGTCCTTTGGGTATTTATTGGTGTTTTCTGTCTATATACGTGTGTATTGGTTGGTGTGAAGGCTGCTGTGGCGCCTGCTCCTCCGTCAGTACTTTCTTTTGGTACATGCATTTCGTGGTGTGAAGGCTGCGGTTCGTTGGCCTGCTCCTCCGCCTGTGCATGTTTGAGTTAGCTTTTGCTACCTGTGTATTGTGTGGTGTGGGGCTGCGGTTCGTTAGCCCGCTCCTCCATCAGTTCTTATTTGGGTTAGCCTTTTGCTACCTGTGTATTGTGTGGTGTGAGGCTGCGGTTCGTTAGCCCGCTCCTCCATCAGTTCTTATTTGGGTTAGCCTTTTGCTACCTGTGTATTGTGTGGTGTGAGGCTGCGGTTCGTTAGCCCGCTCCTCCATCAGTTCTTGGTTGGGTTAGTTTTTGCTACCGGTGTACTCTGTGGTGTGACGGCTGCTGTTCGCGCGCCTGCTCCTCCATCAGTTCTTCTTTGGGTTAGTTTTTGCTACCGGTGTATTCTGTGGTGTGAAGGCTGCGGTTCGTTGTCCCGCTCCTCCATCAGTTCTTGTTTGGGTTAGCATTTGCTGCCTGTGTTTATTCTGTGGCCGGTGTATTGTGTGGTGTGAAGGCTGCTGTTCGCGCGCCCTCTCCTCCATCACTACTTTATTTGAGTTGGCATTTTACTGCCGGTGTATTGTGTGGTGTGAAGGCTGCTGTTCGCGCGCCCTCTCCTCCATCACTACTTTATTTGAGTTGGCATTTTACTGCAGGTGAATTGTGTGGTGTGAAGGCTGCTGTTCGCGCGTCCGCTCCTCCACCGTGCTGTAATTGGCTTTTCTGTTGTGAAACTGCAGTACGTTAATTCGGTTCTGAAGTTTGAATACCGTTTGGGATTAATTACATATTAAATTAAAGAAAAAAAAAAGACAAAACCTTGTTGTTATGGACGGGTCACATGCGTGTGTGGGCTGCTGGTCAGCACTCGATGTTGATGACGGCCATGACCTGTGTCCGGCGTGCCTCGGCCCCACTCACTTGAGGGAGGCAGTGTCCGATAACCCGTGCATGAACTGCAGCTGCTTGCCCTGGGCTGTTAGGGTGGCGAGGCTGGTTCAGCTGCCTTCGTCTGGCGACGGTGGAAGTTTGCCAGTGGGACCTGCTGTGGCTCCGCCCCCTCGGCGTTCAAAGCGCCGTGCTGAGGCCTGTGCTTCAGGGGAGCGGTCTGATGGCCATGGTCCTTCCAAGCAGGCCAAGCCGGTGGAGCAGTTATCTGCAGAGTTGGAGGCAATGAAATCCGCATTCCAGGCACGTTGTGCTGCTGATGCCGTCTCTGGAGCTGGTTCTTGCTCCATGCCATCCCTCCATCTGGAAGAGGATGTGCTTTCTCTGGCGGCATCTGCTTCGTGCTTCCGGGACGAGGATGACGCGCGGTCCCTTTCGGGGGACGATTCTTATTCTTCCGCGCATAGTGTGTCCAGCCGGTCTGGTGACGGCTCAATGCAGGAGGTTCTTTGCAGGGCCTTATCCCATCTGCAGGTGGAACTTCCCCAGTCGGGACAGGTTGACCCTGGCAGTGCTTTTTTCAGGCGTGGTGGTTCGTCTCCTGCTTTTGTTGTGCCCCCGTCCGCGGAGTATCTAAAGGAGCTACACGCGTGCTGGAGGGACCCCAGCCGTCTAAGCTTTCGGCTGAGGGTCGGGCTTTGGCCGCGATGCACGATGCCTCTTCGGCTGGCCTGGATTGCATGCCTGCTGTTGAGCCTGCGGTTGCCTCCCTCATTGTTTCCCAGGAGGAGTCTTTGCGGGAGAATGTGAGGTGCCCTCGGAGCCAGTGTCGTGCGACGGATCACTTGCTAACAAAGGCCTACAATTCTGGTGCTCGAGCTGGCCGTATTGGTAACTCCTTAGCGCATCTGCTGCTTGCCCTGTCTGCCTCCCTCCAAGAGGGTAGTGCTGTGGGCACTGATGTTACTGCGTTTAGCGACGCAGCTCTGCATGCATTTGCCTTGATGACCAGGGAACTCGGACGGGTCATGTCGGTCCTTGTACAGGCTCGTCGGCAGGTATGGCTGGCTCAGTCTCCCCTGACTGAGGCCTGTCGTAGGACCCTCCGTGACGTGCCTGTCGAGCCGGGTCAGTTGTTTGGGACGGCGGCCCAGGAAGCATTGGACCGGACTGTCCATGCTGGTCAGACTAGACAGCAACTTTCTAGCCTTAGCAGGGTGGTGCGCCCTCCCCGGCAGTTTTTGCGCCTGATGGTGGCCCCCGGTGTTCGGCAGCCTCCTCGGGATTGGTCTGGTGCTCAGCGTTGTCCCCAGGTCAGCCCTGCCGGGAATTTTCGTGCCCCACCCGTACATAGGCGCCCGACCCGCCAGCCAAGTGGCGCCGCGGCTGGTCCTGGGCGAGGTCCCCCCAGAGCCCCTAGGGGGCGGGGGGCGGGGGGCGCGGAATTGACGCCTCAGGGCCGGGCGTTGGACATTTTTCCCATCAGCAGCTCGAGTGTTGGGCTGCTCGAGCTCGGGATCCGTGGGTGGTTGCCACATTGACCCACGGATACCGTCTGCAATTCCGACGCCGGCCGCACTTGTCGGGCCGGGTCAAGGTTACTTTGATCTCGGACCCGGCAAAAGCCTTTATCTTGGATCAGGAGCTCTCCGCCCTCCTGACCAAGGGTGCCATCGAGGCGGTAGATCCGCTGCTGCAACCCAGGGGTTATTACTCCCGTTATTTTCTCGTGCCCAAGAAGACGGGGGGTTTTCGACCAATTTTGGATCTGAGGGGCTTGAATCATTTCCTGAAGGTCATTCCGTTTCGCATGCTGACGACTGCGGAAGTCCTTCAGACTGTTGGGGCCGGGGAATGGTTCACGTCCATAGATTTGAGGGACGCATATTTTCACGTGCCCATTGCGCAGCCCCACCGACGGTTCCTCCGGTTCGCCTATTGGGGCATTCACTGGCAGTTCAGGGTTCTTCCCTTTGGCCTCTCTCTCTCTCCGCGGGTTTTCACTCGATGCGTGAAGGCGGCTCTTGCTCCGCTGCAGGCCAGTGGCATGAAGGTGTTGCCTTATCTGGACGATTGGCTGATCTGCGCTCCGTCCAGGGCACGGTCCTTGGAACATACGGAGCGCCTTCTGACTCATGTCGCCCGCTTGGGTTTCAGGGTCAATTTCGAGAAGAGCAGCCTGGTGCCTTCGCAGGCCGCTGTTTTTCTTGGCTTGAGTCTGAACACGGTGACTATGACGGCGCGTCCTTCGGTGCGCCGCCTGGTCGACATCCACGGTGTGGTGTCCCGTTTCGGTCTTGGCACCCTGCGCAGTTACGTCAGCTGGTGGGGAAGCTGGCCTCGATCTCTTGTGTGGTTCCACTCGGGCTGCTTTCGCTTCGCCCGTTGCGGAGGTGGCTGAACGGGTTTAGTTTGGATGCCGTTCGTCACCGCCACAGACGGTTACAGGTGACGTGGGCATGTTTTCGTGCTTTGGCTCCATGGAGGGACCGGGGTCTCCTGTCACGTGGGGTCCCCTTGGGGGTGGTAGTGTGCCGCAGGGAAGTGGTCACCACAGACGCCAGCCATACGGGATGGGGTGCTGTGTGGCAGCACCGGTTGGCCCGAGGGGTTTGGTCTCGGGCGGAGCGCTAAGACCACATAAATGTACTGGAGCTTCGGGCCGTCCACCTTACGCTCCAGGAGTTTTTGCCTCACCTGCTGGGGAAACATGTCCTCATTCGTTCGGACAACACCTCGGTCGTGTATCACATCTCGAGGTGTCTCAGGCTCTGCTGGTTTGGGCTGCGCCTCGCCTGTCTACAATGCGTGCAGCGTATCTGCCAGGGGACTGCAATCGCGTGGCGGACTCCCTGTCTCGCGGGAGGCCTGCCCCGGGGGATTGGTGTCTCCATCCCGGTGTGGTCCAGAGGGTATGGGGCCTTTTTGGTCGGGCACAGGTGGACCTATTCGCTTCGGTGGCCTCCACTCATTGCCCTCAGTTTTTTTCCCTGGACGGGGCTCCGGGCTCTCTCGGCCAGGATGCCCTGGCGCACAGTTGGCCTCAGGCCCTCCTGTACGCCTTCCCCCCTTTTCCTCTGATCTGGCCCACCCTCCAGAGGGTCCTTCGGGCGGGGCACAGTTTATTACTGGTGGCTCCGTTTTGGCCTGCACGGCCCTGGTTTCCACTGCTACTCAGACTTTGTTGGGCTCCCCCCTGGCCTCTCCCTCCCAGGCGGGATCTGCTCTCACAGCTGGACGGTCAGGTGTGGCATCCCTGTCCTCACCGCCTCAAGTTATGGGTATGGCCGTTGGCTGGCCCTGGCTGCGGGCGCTCGATGTCACTGGCCCTGTCAGGCGTACACTCCTGAATGCCAGGGCGGCCTCTACTCGGCGGCTGTATGAGAACAGGTGGAAGTTGTTCTCCCGCTGGTGTTCTTCCCGCGGTCGGGATCCCGTGTCGTGCCCGGTGGCGGTTGTCCTGGAATTCCTTCAGTCTCTCCTGGATGAACCGCCCTCTGGCGGTCTGAAGGGATGAAATAGAACGAGGGTTACGTATGTAACTACGGTTCTATGAATCCCGGATGACCGCCAGAGGCGCTCTGTCACTCAGGGTCTTTGCATCCGCGAGAAGATTCTGCAGGAACAGAGTGCTGGATGACGCTGGATTTTATTACCTCCGGTGTGTCACCCAGGGGGTCACAGGTGTGACTCATTTGGTATTATTACTCGAACTGCGCATGCGCGAAGGGAACACTCAGTGCTATGCACCGCCCTCTGGCGGTCATCCGGGATTCATAGAATCGTGGTTACATACGTAACCCTCGTTAACAGAGTAATCAATTACAGTTGTACTTGAAAGTGTGCACACAAAGCCAGAGATTTCATGGTTTTGGCCTTATTTTAGGGACTATGATTGATGAAACAAAAATCTGTTCGTGATATGTAGATATTGACAAATATTTTCAAATGATTAAAAAATTGAGCTGATCTGGGGAGGTGTCAAATCAGCCACTGCCCCCAAACTCTGGAACATTCAACCAACTCACCTGCGACAGTTTCTTTCCAATCACAACTCAGAGCCTACCCTTTTAACTTGCTTCATTTACTATGATATTTTAAATGTATTATATTCTGTATTTTTTATATGTTGTGAAGTTTTTAATTATATTGTAAGACGTCCTTGAGTGTCCTAAAAGCTGCCATTACATGTTTTAAATTTGTATAATTATGTGCAGTTCATGCAAGGAGGCCCAGGAAATGTACAGTAATTGGAACGGTTTTTGCAAAGAAGAATGTGCAGCGTTACCATCAACTGCCACAAAAAACTCCAGGCTGTCATGGATGTTAAAGGGGTAAGACATGCTTTTGAGAGCTGGGGAATGGACACTTTAAATCTAGGTCATTTGAGTAGTTTCGATTCTCATTATCATTTGAAAATAGAAAACATTTGACATAAAATGGTTTCATACAACCACTACCAATGAGCAAAGAAGAAAATCTGCTTGGGTGTGTACAAGGTCAACTATATTTAGATTATCTGCAACTAATTAAGTAATCTAATTATCGTTATCTGGACTCTGCATGGACTTCAAAGGAGGTTTTATGACTTGAACTAAATGGTAAATGCATCAAAGTGAGAGAAACATGTGTTGTTTTGAATGGGTTTTTGAAAACTCATGGCAATCTAATTATGCCAATCCCAATCTCTCCATTTGTATTCGTTCGCCTTCCTATACTGCATAAAAATATTCAAGATCTGTTGTTTTTGGGTCTGACTGTCCTCTGCATGGCTGCTCTACTATTGTGGAAATTACTGGTTGCATCTGGGACTAGACCTTGCTGGGTCACAATCATCAATGTTGCAGTCTTAGCTTCATTGAAAGTAAGTAAGTAGGTGAGTAATCTAAATGTTTATAGCGGATTTTATAGACCAAGGTCACACAAAGGGCTTTACAATTCTTAAAATGGTTAAACCAAGCTGAGCCATACTGAGACTATCTTCTATTGCACAGTAATTGTATCTATTTAAAAAATATCTCGCAATTTGTTAATATAGTTGCAAATATTATTTTGAATGAGAATGAGTACTTCTATACCTACTACTAGACAGACAGACAGATAAATACCTGGGCACACAGCCTGCAGTGTGACGCGGCCGACTCGCACGGTGCTCGTCAGGTGTCGCTGTGAAGAACCGGAGAATAAAAGATAAAACTCCACCAGCTCTCCTTCCTCCTCTTCTTCCGGGACAGCATCATCGTCCTCCAGCAGCACAGTCAACACACATTTTCCCTGAAAACGTGTCAACGTATTTTGTCATTTCGAGTCAGCTACTGTCAAAACAACATTAGTCTTGGAGTAACTAAATATGCTGACATGTAACATATTTTAAAAGCAGAACAAGTTATTTAGGTATTAGGCTGAGAGTTAATTGACTGAGAAGTGTCAGACTTTACTGTAGGAACATTTAACAAAAAAAAAAGCTTAAGTTGTGACAGAGACAAAAGCTTTGACAGCAATGTGAGAATAATACTTTCATCTCGAGTGACGACAAAAGACAAATGTGAAAATTGCTGTTGTTTTGACATATTAAATAGAACATTACTAAACTTACAACTTACATGACAAAAATTACAACAAAGAAACATAAATGTCTTGTGTAAATAATGTCTGTAAGTGCCATATGAAACCAACTCAGACTCTGAGCAGCACACAACTGGCCTCCTGCTGATGCCGAGAGTCAAGACTAAACATGGGGAGGCAGCGTTTCAGATTTATGCAGCTATAATCTGGAGCAGTCTTCCTGAAACTGTGAGATGGGCTTCTAATCAGAAAATGTTCAAATCCAGGTGGAATCCAGTTTTGTTTAGCTGCACATACAACAGAAGGATTATCTCTTCACTCTATTTTTTTTTTTTTCAAATATACTGTGATTATTTAAGATTTTATTGCCTGATGATTTTAATGTTTCTTAACTTGTTTTGTTTACCAATTTGAGTTGCAAATAAATGCTATACAAATAAAACGGCCTTGAGTGTAAGCTCATATAAAAGGTAATCGAGTATGAAGTCAAATTCTGAGATAATTTGATAGTTTTGAAGCCCATTTCAGTTCTGTATAATCTTGAAGCACTTCCAAATATCATCCGATTATTGTTATTAACCCAAGTCCACTAAAATACATGGAAAGAGGATTATTCATTTCTTTCAAAGTACTTCTGACCTATAAGCGGGCACATCAAAGCTGACTGCTTCACCTCGTCTCAACTTTAGAGATTTATGGCTGCCCAAAAATACCAGTGCCTTGGCCTTACACACAATTGAAAACAGAACATAGTAAAATGTGTTGAATGGGCAGTTCATCAACGTGAAATATCCAAAAGAATCAAGAAAATAATTCAGGTTTATAGCAGAGATATTATTGAACAAATTTTTTTGGCCAATTTTAATCCAGATTAAGTCATCCATAATTGTGTAAAATGTATTGGGGCATTTGATTAGACTTCTACAGCCAACACTTTGTCTTTTTTCGTATTTCTTTGTGTGTTTGTATCGCCGTTTTTAATTCAATTGAAACCCGTGATAAAGCAATATCGGGGAGAGCAAGATTGAATTGACTTGTTGTGTATTATAATATCATTTGACTGTATTCCTATGCACTCATTAAAGATACTGCCTTCAATAATAAGTAATGACTTCTCTTTTAAACTGTGGCTCAGAGCGTAAAGCCTGACTAAACACGCGGTGCTACTGAACACAGTTAAAGCCTGTAAGAGCCACACCCACCAAACACAGGCTAACAATAGCACGGAGGAATGTTCAGATCAGTCTCGCTCACGCCACATTAGGGAGTCCACACCGGCGCTCCCACTTCACCACTGACACACTGGTACACTTACACCGGCTCTGCTCCAATTAGGCAACTAGCAACCAACAGGGCGAGAGGCAGCAGCAACACAATGGCATGTTTACACTGCACTGCTCAGGTGTGGTCAAGGAAAGTCAAGCAGCCGTTTGAAGATTCACCAGTACATCAACTTACGTTAGGGTTACTTTGGGGTTTTAGTTTGCATTTTGTTTGGTGTGTTTGTTGTCCTGGACTTGTGTTGTTAATGTGTGTGTTTCTGTTTGGTTTGTAGGTCATTTTAAAACACAAAACACTACATAACACTATATTTTGTGTAAAAAAAAAAAAAGGTGCCAAAAGACAGAGCCAAGACTGAAGTTTGCTGGGTTTTAAACCGTCTGCCTCTAAAACCTAGCCTGGCTGTCGCCAGACCCTTATAGTTCCGCCATGCTCCATCAGAGGCGTTTCACTTCACACACAAGGGTCTGGTATTGAGCGCATAGCAAACTCCTTCAGCAGATCACAAACTAATAGACCAATCAGGATCGCCGGTGTTACGTCTGGTTTGCACCGCCTTCTCAAGCGTGTCTCACGCGCATAGACTGTATATATTAACGGACAGAGTCACGCCTATCTCCGCCGTTCTAACTAATGGGCCAAAAAATGTGCTCTACTGGAGCTATCCAAAATGGCCGCAAGTGGTCCCGCCCACAAGAAAATTGTGAAAAAACGCATCTGCGCATGCGTCAGCCGGCGCAGCTCCATTCATTTGAACGAGAGACTTCGAAAATTCACAGCAAGTAAACTAGAGTGGACCAAAAAAATTCACCCCCCTCAGCATTGACACAGATGTGGAACGGAGCTTTGGGCCAAGAGCCAACTTTTGGTCCATCCTGTAAAGACGTTTTTGAGAGGTCTGCCAATGCTACAGTATATGTTAGCATTGGCTAATTCTTCTTCTGGGTCCACCCCCATCGACCCGGGGTGGTATTGCAAGCATGTCAGCGCACGTCATTTTGGCCACTTTTGAGCTGGGACCCGCCCCCACTGCTCACGCGGCAGCGAAAGCAATCCAAGATGGTGGACATGAAGTCCGTGAATTAAAAAAAAAAGTTTAAATACGAACGAATTAAGTCACGGATGTCACTTTTAATGCAATATGAGGCGAGGTGTTGATGGTTCTATGTTGTTATATGTGTGTTTTAAGAGTCAAATGTTTGTGTAAAGTTTGGTTTAAGCACTGGTTTAAGTGTTCCTGTTTACTACACAATAAAGCAGGGTTGCCAGGTTGGGTGGTTTCCCGCATACTTTTTTCCAAGAGACTTGCAGGTAATAAATAAACAAAAAGCAATAAACAGAATCATATTAGCCCAAGTTCATTACATTACGTTTTTAACCAAAAAAAATCCTTCTGGGATTTTTTTTTTCCAGCCCAAAATGACTTTTGGGCTGGAAAATCTTGCCGGCATTTGGCAACCCATGGGAGTTGTGTGCTTCGATGTGAGTGATTCATTCAATCACGTCAGTGACGTCATTCAAGATAACGGACAAGTGGTTTATCCAATCACATACAAGGATTTTTTTTACAAGTCCCTGCCTTCTGAAATCCAACCTCTATGAAGAAGTCCCAGACCCATGTGTGAAGCGCGCGATCTACAAGGGTCTGGCGAGAGTCAGGCTATCTAAAACCTGCACTGGGAGAGAAAAAAATCCTCAAAGTCATGAGGACATCATTCTAAAAACCTACATTTTGCCCCTTTAAACTTTTGCATGAAAACAGATAGCGATACAGCTTAGTTTAGTGTAATGGCTCCGTGGTTTGGCATAATCATCATTGAGTTCATTTTCACTTAACCCTAACCCATTCTAATGAAGTACGATTCTCAGGCGCTACCAAAGATAGTAGACCTCTCTCGCTCCTGCTTTGTAAAAGTAGCTTGACTTATCAGTGTTGTTAATGTGAAAAACATTGCAAGAAAAAAAATGCATATGCAAATGATACTTACATAAAGTGGAGCTTCTATGGGGCTTAACTTCATGGTTCTGCACAGAAAAAGGAAAAGGGCATTAAAATAATGAATTAAGTAACATTGTAAACATCAAGAGAAAAACATCACCCCATTTTCAAGATGTGGGTAACCCCCTTCATGAGACAGGAAACAGGAAGTCAGACGAACACAAGTACGTAACACAGCAGCTCACACAGACCTCTTCAGTGATTCACAACACACACACACGTGCACACACACACACACACACAAACGTCCAGATGAAGGGAAGAGTCATTCACAAAGGCTCCTCAGACTGCTCTCTCAACGACATACACAGATCTAAAGTACTTAACAAATGCAAGCTGTAGAATAGTCTCAATTACCATGAGACCGACCATAAAGCCAATCAAAACATTACTGCAGCTATGAAACAAGAATGAAATGTTGAATGTTGCATAGCTGGGATCTTTATTAATTCTATCAGAGCTTAAGAGGCGACACACGATAGGCATTAATCAAGAGCAGTGGCGTCTGCATGGATGCAATGTATTAAGGGGAACTGTAATAATGCTATTAGAATCCATGGGTGTCTGTCTGGGAGCAGCTATAATCCAACCCCCTGTGGAGTCTGGAACAGGCACTTGTCTACTGCCACTGAAGCTGCTCACATCCCAATCTAAGGGACGGATTATTTGGACATAAGTTTAATCATAGAAATCAAAATTTTCTGCATTATAAGTGAAGGTGAAGGGGTATTTCAATAGAATAGTTTTCAAAAAGACAGAAAAGTATCAAACATATTTTTAGGTCATAGGATTTAGAGCAAGAAATCTAGTGTGTCTGTTTCAAGAAAAGACCACACACACTCCTGTTATTGGCATCGTACTCATCCCCTGGAATTCATCCAAATACAGTAAAGGTGGGAGAAGCTTTTATTTGATAAGTGCTTCTTTCACTCGTTGAAATACTTTCAAAAAAAGTAAAAGCAATACACATAAACAGCATCATACATCAGCATGTAGCATCATCAAAATGAGTGAATTATGATCTAAAAAAGCACTCAAAGAGCACATCCAGATCACCTCCGAAATCAAATTATTTGTTTCCCACCCTCCCATTTGTGAGTTTTCGTGAAAAGGTCTGGAATCTGGATAAATGTGGACTCTTGACCCCAGGGAGAAGGAGCATATTGTAGAAAATGTTTCACTGCACAGGAGCACATGGAAGAAAAACTACAGACACAGAGAGAACATACAAACTCCACACAGAGGCCTTGTGGCACCTGGAAGTCCAACCAAGGGGCGAGATCTCTCCCAGTGTCACCCACACATTTTGCGATAAGATTAAAACTAAATGTATTTCTTGATAACCTTTTTAACAAGAAGAAATAATATATATCATAATAACTAAAAGATTACTGAAATAATTGTAGCTGCAGCCCTACAACTTCGACAACAACTTCAACTACTTTGACTCTAAATGGCGACAGTAAATAGAGCCAACGCTGTGTGTCCATGTTGTATTAACACAAGTATCTCACAAGTACTTTTAATAAACCAGAGGCCTAAATATAACCTCAATAGTCTTATCTGAGGCCATAAAAGAGAACATATTACCAACAATGAAATTCGAAACTACTATTTATACTTATAGCTAGCTTATGACGCAAGCTTGAGATAAAGTTGTAACTAATGTTCATGTTTTGTTTTAGGTCTAACCTTAGGACTGCATGATATTAATATGAAATTATATGAAAGGCCAAATGGAATAGATTTTGGCACTGTATCAGTAGGCCCCAGAGAAAAGCAGAGTCACTTTTTCTCTTTCGGGTTTGCAACTGGCTACCCGGGCACTGGGCCATTTATGTTATGTGAAGAGTCTTGCCCAAAGACATGAAAACTAGATAGATGTTTTTTTTTTTTTTCTGCAATAGGTAATGCCATATTGTCTGAGTTGTCACGCACATGCATAGAAGTTATAAAGCCCATTTTCTACGCTCTGGATGAGTAGACAGGGGGCATGTTTCCACAACTTGTTCTAATTATGTGTTATACAACATAATGCTGACACAGGCTGTTCTTTTGCAGAGAAGTCTAGCGAGAGGCTGGAGGGACTAACTCAGCTGGCCAGAAGTTATGTCTGGTATGGGAGGAATGAGACGTAGAACGAAGGGCTCGGAAACAGGAGCGGAGTGGAGAAGATGCAGAGAGCAGCGGCAGCCATCACTTCCACAGCCTGCACATTAGGGCGACAGCAGGATATTACCTTATCAAAACACGCTCAGGATCTTGGGCCCGCAGGCTGCTGAGCTCAAGTCACACTGCTGAGGTTTTCTGAATGGTCTTTACACTAGTAGATCGTTTTTCTACAGCAAGCCTTGCACATAGGCCTGTCTCAATAGCCAGTTTTGACAGAAAATGCTCCTGTAAATTAGTGCAATAAACGAAAATATTGAAATTCCTTTTTGTCACTGATGAAAGTAGATTACAGCAGGATAAGTCCATTTGAACCCTGTGAAGCCACAATAATCTTTGAGGGTTGCAGGGTTGCATGCAGGCAATTGAACTGCAAGATTATTCGCAATCAAATAAAAATTGTGACTCGTAAGTTGTGAAAATGTGTAAAAAGTCAAGTCCTTTGCAGTCCGTTTTCTAATTTTTAAGATATACACAAAAACATGTTGTTGATAAAGTAATTTTTCCATTAGTTCATCCATTGATAATGCAAAAATATACTGTAGCTTAGATGACGAATTTCTGAATTGTGTGGGAATCTTGTTTTTGGAATTGAAGTGCAAGTATCTTGAAGTGGTTAGATTTATCTCCTTCTTCAGCATGTAATGTAAATTTGCATTGTAATGATTAAAAATGGGAGAAAATGATTGCTTTGAAGAGTTGAACATGTTTTGTACGGAGACACAAACACACAGGGACAGGAGATAAAGGAACACCCGACTCAAACAAAACAACACCTTAGGTTTTTTTATAACCATAAAATATACTAACAAAATTATCTTTCAAAGATTTATGTAGTTAAAATTCCTGCATTTTGTGGTTGTTTGCATGCTTAATGTACATTTTGAATTTCATATTTTTAGAGGCATTAATAATTATTTACTCTGCCAATGAAGTAATGTATCATTTGGTTTGTCTGTTAGGTAGTTAACCATTCAAAAAGTTATGGGTGGATTTTAATAAATCATTCAGGAAAGCTTGGAAATGGAACAAGAAACAAATTATTACATTTTGGAAGTGATCTGGGTCACCGTCTGGATCTGGATTTGGAATGAAAAATTCATATTTTTCCATCAATGCTTTTTGAACTGTGAGAAATGTAGTGACAACCAAGAAAAAACACAGACAAAAGATAACCGTTTCCACGTGGAACTGGCACATTATCACGTTTGGAGTGACAACACGCAACTGACCAATTTTTAGAATCTGTCACCAATAAAAGTAATATCCTTTTGTTCCTGTGACACTTGCATTTTGCTAGCAGCATCACCGTGATCTAAGCCATGAGAAAACTGGTATCCAACATTACATTTATTGCCTGCAAGAGAAGAATATGCAACTATATCCACAGCATTTTCCAGTCTAACAGGCACTGCAGATTTCCAAGCCAATTTGAACATTTAGAGATGTTAGTCATGTTTAAGTGTGTTTAACTGGGAGGAAGCTCGGGTAAAGACAGGTTTTCCAAAGTGAATAATATACATAGAGGCTGATTAAGTACAGTTCAGTAATGGTTAAGAAACACAGTAGCTGGTGAGGAGAGAGTGAGTCAACACTCAAACATTCTCCACTGGTTAGCCCCCGCATACCACTGACTACTGCTCTGTGACAAAGACACTCGGAGACACTGAAGAACAACTTCTGCCTTAAAGAGCCCTACAAAGCACAGATAAGGCAAGGCTAAAAATAAATCCTTATCCTATCTTTGAAACTTTTTGGTCTTATTGTCCCTCACTAAATCAACATCCAGCAGCGCACACACACCCACAGACCAACAGGTCTCTGATGGATTTCCATCAGTGCCAGATGTCCTCTTTTGACATCCCTCTGTGAGCAACCACAACAGAACAACACATTAGTTTATAGTGGATGAGATAATAAATGTTGTTTTTTTTTTTAAATCAACATTCATTTTTTTCAAAGCCCTTAAGAACTCAGATTGGTGACAAGTTTTCCTAGGTGGGGAGGTTATTGCACTTTTTGAACCAGTTAAAAATGTAATAATAACTTGTAGAAAATGTGTTATTCTTTGTGTTTACCTACAAAAGGAGAGCTCTACTGAAAGTCATTGATTTTTGTTTGTTTGATGAAAAGGATTATATTGTATTTGATTAACATTGTCTGAAAGCCTGTACTGTTTTGACATAAAAGGTACCCACCCAATTATAAAAGGCAGAGAGTATTCATGAATGGACACAGGCCTGTCACACAATAATGACTATATTGCATAATAGTTCAGTAAGAATTGATTGATAATATAATGTCACTTGAGGACCTGTAACAGAAAAAGTAATGACCTGGGACTTGAACTTCTAAAGGTGCTGAGACATGTCCTGCGATGAGGTTGAGGTTTGATTTCTAGGTTTAAAGATCCATTTCAAAATTGCGCCGAAGTGAGTCCGGTCATTGAAAGGACTTTCGGGACATTTTAGATTACAGAATAAAACTTGGATTCAAACTTTTACTTAATGACTATAGTACGCAACAATCTAGCCTTTTCATTTCTGATACTGAGTTTTCAAAAACTCCCAATAACCAACATGTGCCAAAACCTGTGATGGTACAGGATATTGATATTTTCCACTCAAATCACAGCTGGCCCATTACAAGATGATCGGCACTAGATCATATACGGAATCGGGACAAAACCGGAAGTAACAATCCTTTTTTCAAATTAGTTTTAGACTAAAAAGTCCTTAAGTGGTGACTGGTTAAGTTTTAGGCATCTGAGAAAGATGGTTACGGTTAGGGTTAAGGGTGGGTTTGGGGTTATTTTATGGGAATGGCTGGTTAAGTTTAGGCATGAATAGGTAGCTTGTAGGGCTGGGCAATATGGCAAAAAAGTAAAATCTCGATTTTATTTCCTGCTTTGGACGATGTCGATTTTAAATCAATTTTCATTAAAGTCACTCAAGACAGACTTTGCCCTTAAAATATTTATCTTCCCGCTCAATATTTAAGTTTCAAAACTATTATTCATTTGTTTCCCCCAATACATGATATTAAAGTCTTGTACAGACTGTGCTGATATCGCAAGTATAATTGATGTGCTGCTGGAACTCTCACAATATCCCTCATTCGATTTCACGATTTTCACATTTTTCACTAATTCGATTTTTTCAAAATTCGATTTATTGCCCAGCCCTAGTAGCTTGTTATATTTACTTCCGCTTCCGTCCCGATTCCGTACATGATCTAGAGCTGACCATAACAAGATGGTTCCAATTGTGTTTTTTGACTCCATTATATTTTGCAATCATATTTCAGCCAGTAAATAGTCATATTATAACAAGTTCAATTGAAAGGCCCAATCAGGAGGAAATACTCCATACCAGTAAGTGTTTCCAGTGGGATCCCTATTAATGACTCATAATGGACATCATTGCACAATAAGGATCACGCAATGATGTCCATTTGCTCCAGTTGAACAATCAGGATCTTGGATTTTACCAACAAATAAACAACAGAACTGTTTGCCTAACGAGAAAACATTGTCCTCATTTTGAGTTTTATTTCAAGCATCACAGTGAAAATTATGCACTCTATTTTTAGAACAATTAAAGTACTTATCTGGACTACATCTATATTTGTGAAGCCATATGACTTTGTAGGTGATGCTTTGTGAAAGAATAAGAGCCATTGAACAAGAGACACTTGAATGACACTGGTGAAAGACAGGTTTGGACTGATTACCTTTTGTATTACCACTGTGCATTTGCGTAATTACAAAGCAATGCCTAACCACATGGCATTGCCGTAACATACAGCTCTGTAGCCTATTTAATCAGACATAAATATATTTGTTATATCCCAGCGTTCTTGTTAAGCAAATATAGGCCATGGCCATAGGAGACTGCGATCTCTGATATACTTGTTATTTGGTTTTTGAGCTCCTGGCCTCCAAGTACGGCCACGTATTTTAGCTCATTTCCCGGGAACGTTTAATGAAATCAGATCTGTTGTCGTAGGTTATCTAATCACCGATAAAAGAGGTCCATGGATGCAGTTCTTCATGCCACTGTGAGGACGCTGGAAGAATTTATGTGAGGCCAGCTAAACTTCATGCTCGTTGTTGTTGTTGGATGGCCGCAGTTCTGCAACACGAGCATCTGCCGACAACTAGTCAATGTATAGTTGCAGAACACTTTTCCTGATCTGATCTATGAAATCACTCTTAGCTAATCGAAGTATAAAAACAGAAATAATGCATTTTATAAGCTCCAGACTATCGCCTTACCTCCCCTCGGTCTCGTGCGCCCTGGCTGCCTGGGAGTCACTCTAAAGTAGTTCCTCCTGTAGCAATACTCATGTTAGAAGTGAAGTTCAAAGCTTTCCTGGTGTCTGTCGGCTTGTCCATGGTTTGCTCTCAGATAGGACACTTTTGGTTAACTTTAGGTTCTTTAGCGGCGGTGTGTGCGTCTGGAGTTTAGTCCATGCCTTTGGTTTGATAGCAGCCGTCAGTCAAGTGCGCAGTGATTCAAGGCTGCTTCCGGTCTGGTGCTGTCAAACTACAGACCGGAAACAGCCGCTCATCTCCTTTATTTTTTATTATCATTATTTTTTTTTATTTTTTTTTTTTAACTTTATTAAGAACAATAGCCGGTCATCTCCTGTTCCATTGTAGACCATAGATTGTAAAAAATAATTGTAGCCTGATGGACAATGCTTCTAACTCAGGGGTCTCCAACCTGTAGCTCGGGAGCCACCAGTAGCTCGCCACCCCCCTGGTAGCTCGCCAAACGATTTAGAACTGAATAACTGAAATAATATACTTAATATTTCAGATTGTATTATTCATTATCATTATTTATTATTGTAAATGCACTTACTTTGTCACTAGTAAGAAATATGTAATGATAAATAATGACTGTACCCACTATCAGGCTTGTTTACACCAAGACATCACCACATTTTTCCCTGGACCTCTGAAAAGGAGTTGCTCTCTGCGTTTATCATCCCAGAAAAGTAGCTCTCTGGGTGAAAAAGGTTGGAGACACCTGTCCTAAATCCTTGCTCGATGAGCCAATTAAGGAAGTGCTCATGGATGAAGTTTTGCGCCTTCTCTCTGGTTCCTATTGAAAGTAAACTCTCCTAGCTCAGTAACTGTTTATGTCAAACTTACAATTTTTTACTTGGGATATCTGTGGTTTAGCGCTCACTATGATCTTGGCGTGTAATTGGTTTTGTAGTCATACTTGCATTACGGAAATCAAATCCCGTCAGGCCTCTGAAGCTAAGCAGTAGAAGGTCTGGTTAGTGGTATGAAGGCAACACCTCTAGAAAGACCAGGTTCTGCTGCAAAGTGCTGTTGTGGTGTTCTTAGGCTAGATAGTTCACCCACATTGCCTAGAATGAGTCTGGTGTGTGTAAATAGCTGGTGATGGTCGGAGGGGCTGATGGCACACATGCTGATTGCCTCCCTTCTGTCAGTGTGCCCCAAGACAGCTGTGGCTACAGTAGTACAGTAGTTTATCACCACCGTGGATGAAGTGAAAAAATACCTACTTTTGACTTAAATCTTGATGTTTATACTTAAGGCATTACAGTGATAAATAATCACAGTACAATAAAGAGAGTGCAGATCAGGTGTCACCAACCCTTTTCACCCAGAGAGCTACTGTCCCAGGACGACAAAGGCAGAAAGCCACTCCTTTAAGCGGCTCTGGGATCGCTAAGTCTGATATTGAGTACAGTCATTATTTATCATCTCATATTTGTTACTAGCGCACAAAGTAAGTGAATGTACACTGAGTAATAATAATAATGAATAAGAGTGGCTCCCAATCTACAGGTTGGAGACCCCTGGTGTAGATACAATCCTTCAGTTGTATGCACAGCTAAACAGAACTGTTTTTAGTCTGGATTTGAAGATTGTCAGAGTAGAAGCCTGTCTTACATTTTCTGGAAGACTGTTCCAGATTATAGCTGTATAAATCTGAAATGCTGCCTTCCCATGTTAAATCCTGACTCTGGGAACCAGCAGGAGGCCAGTCCCTGTGCTCCTCAGAGTCTGAGTTGGTTCATATGGAACTAACATATTGCAGATGTACTTTGGAGCGAGGCCAAGGAGAGACTTGTATACTTGTCATACCCATTTGCCTACTGTAATTTTAATTTTGACCACAAGATGTCATGTTTGCCACATACCAAGGCACACTCCTCTCCTGTTTTCTGTACTACCATAGACTGTATATTACAAATGATGATCACTAAAACTTTTTACCATTTATGTGGAACTAAATGTAATGTAAAATACCTAAATGTAGTTGCAAAGTAAATTTTACTCCAGGATTAAAAATATATATTGTATCATATCAAACCTATTGTGACAAAATAGGATAATAATAAATATGTTTACCCTCTATGGCATACTGTTGCCCTCAGGCAACAAACCAGTTATTTGTCTCTAACAATGGCAATTTACTTTTAATTTTGTATTTTATTTTTTTAAATGTCAGCAGACATGTTTCTGTCCAATCAAATCAGGGGCTGAGGTGGGTATGGCCATTTGTCTGGGGGCTGGGGAGTCCTTTCAGGAAGCAGATTCACATGTGAGACGATGCCCAATTTAGGTAAAACAGATGTCTTTGTTATACAGGTTTAAATTGGAAAACATTCATTGAATAAATATGTGACTGTGCATAGATATGTCAAGAACCATATTTGATGGTTTGCATATGATTTTTATAAGAAAGTATGTTCTAAAACAGTAAATTTATCTTTGTTGCCTCAAAGCAACGTCATGCACATGTAGCACTTTTGTTGGAAGAATATAATGCTAATGAATGTCCATGCGCTGAATAGAATTATAAGCTACATTCTCAATGTTTTAGTCATTCTATCTAAAATTTCAGTTTTAACTATTGTTACTTGTAGGAAATGGACATGAAAAGGTTTTATAGAGCAAATAATGGAGTTAGGGACATTCCATCTGACAGCTTGAGGAGGAGAGTGTCAGTGGAGTAGAATGGAGTAGAATGGTAATCAGTAATACTGTTTGTCTGTCTGGTTTGTGAGGGTGTGTTTGGGGGTGTGCAAACCTGTGTGCAAGTAGTGACTGGTCGTTTATATGGAGATGGGCATGCTAGTGACTCTAATGATATAAATGAAGATGTGGCTGAAGATGAACACCCCATAATGCCAACTTCCCTGACTATCCTGAATGGAAAGGCAGTCTCCCAAGATTTCAAGATATGTTCTCCCCTTTTCATTACTTCAAGGATGCTTTTTTTTCAAATCTTTATGCCATACTGTGTAACCCAAACAGGCCACTCAACCTCAGCATTAAAGAACTTGAGCAGTTCATAGGCAAGTTGGGTGCACCAAATTGCTAACACCATGAATCTGAACTGATGAGGCCTTCAAGATGTCCAGATCCACTTTACAAAATTAGACCACTGGTAGACCATCTTACTGCAAAATTTAAATCCATCCCAATGACTGAAACATTAGCTGTAGACGAACAAATAGTTCCCTTCAAAGGAAAGCACAAGAACAAGCAGTACCTGCCATCCAAACCCAAGTAATGTGGGTACAAAATGCTTGTCTTAGCCAGTTCTGAAGGTATATCGCACAACTTTGAGGTAGCCCCCTTACTTGGCTGGCAGATATAGGTGCAAGTGGAAATGTTGTCCTTCGTATGGCTGAACCTATACCAAGGCAACAGAACCACAAGTTGATCTTTGACAACTGGTTTTCTAGTGTTCCTCTCATCCTCACACTTGCTCAGGAGGGAAAATACTGTTTTGTTACATAAAACTTTCAAATGTGTTTCCTTTGAGATTATTTTCATCATTTTATGCATAGTGAAAACCTTGGTGTTTTAGTACCTTAGTTGCGCACTGTTGCCCTGAAGCAACAAACCAATATCTGGTTGAGAGGGGTGTGGGGGGCAAATATTGTAATTGATATTTTATCATAGACCCATAAGCTCTCAAAAGGTGGTTTGTAATATTTTTTTCATGTCAAAGTCATGCCATAGAGGGTTAACATGTATTTATTAATTCATTGATTACGACCCCAGGGGACCTCAGTTAGGGATGCTGAACTTTCCTACTCCGTGGGCAAAATTAATAGCCTAGTGTCAGTCCAGGGATTTTAAATAATACAAAGGACAGTGGTGTTAAGTGAGCAGGACAAGCCAAACAAGTTTACATTTTGGTTTTGAAATAATGAGTCTCTAGCTGGCAGAAACCCAAAGATTACGTGTCTCGATTACTTGAGCACTAGGATCACAAGTTGCCTAATAATTGGTTCTAAGAAAAAAACATTGGATACAATATTTTCTAAAGTCATATACACATTAACACATACAGTGTGTGTGGTGTTTGTAATGCTTCTATTTACTTAAAAAGTGTTATGAAACAATACAATGTAAACTTATACTATTGGTTTCTCAAACTTTTCAAACAAAATTACACCAATTAAAGAAAAAGGCAGCTAAAGCGGAAATTCAGATGCAAAGATATTGAGTCCTCCTTCTACATACCTGAGCTCATCAGCCTCAGCTGCACAGTCACACACTTCATCAGCTTCACTCATACATCATGCAATATTGCTTCTGTATTTCATGTTCATGCAATAAACATAAACATTCCAAAAAATACCATTCAAATGCAATATTTCGTCTTTCAAGATTGAATTTATGTTGCTCTATCTGACCTTTCAAGTATTTAAAGGTCTCAAACAGAACTAAACATAACTTGTTTTGGACTAAATGATTAGTATGAAATGAGAGGACAATGTTGTAAAATCAAACCAGTAATAATTGAACTGTAGAAGAATCTGGGTACCATGCAAGAGCTCAACAGTTTTATACATGTAGATTCTTCTACAGTTCAACTATTACTGGTTTGATTTTTCAACATTGTCCTCTCATTTGTCTGCATGCATGCATGCATGCATGTAGGTGCCACAGAAACAATGTAATGGAAAGAGACAACAACTGATAAGATCAATGATCTTTCAAAGTCTGCACCACAGACACTTGCACAGAACATTTAGGTTATTTAGGTTCATGATATTGTTTTAAAACAGAGTTATCAACGTTTACTTGAACAATGTTTAAAGACTTTTCTTTTATGTCAGCCAGTTGATAAATATGATTAAGGGGAATTCATATCATAAGATCCCTGACATAAGTTTTACTCCTCATTATATCAATTGTCAAGATTTTGCACAAACTTACATCTTATAAATGTAATACAGGAGTCATTAGATGCCGTAAGCTTCATAAAGAAGTCTAGAACGGCCAAACAATTTTTGCTGTTATTATGAGAAATGTTGGCCTAAATGGCTGAATTAAATCAATTATATTACATGTCTACATTGTTTTGGTTCCTTGACATAAATAGTATAGGCTTATTAGTGTCAGTAGCTCTGATTTCAAGGAGTAAGTAATAATATAGTCTAATTTGTGGGGAAAAGATTCTTGCAGTACATAGTGCAGTTTGTGGTTCAGCAAACTTCCAAATCGGCAGCGAGCGCAAGTCATCTAGACTGACGACCAATGTGCAAGTGATTGTTAACCACAAAATTGACAAGATCTACATGAGACTTGTACTGCTCCTATTGTCAAACTGGGGCATACGTTTCAGCAGAAAACAATCAATGCATGCCCCTATTTCACCCTAACGATTGTTTTACCATAACTATTTTGATAATTTACGCAGATAATAAAAGATTTTTGGTGCGTGTCATTGTTTATAGATTGTTTGATATTTTTTCTATGGTGTCATGTCCCCATTAGACATGTGTGTAAAAATGTGTGTGTGGGTGGTCCCATAGATGTGTGAAGCTTTATAAGGGTTTCAGGAGCAGGTAGAACATCATTGCTGAATATTCACAGATCAGAGGTTGTATCTGCCGTCTCATCAACATGAAGAAAGTGTGGCTCATGACTGGACTCATGATCACTGCTCTCTGCTGCTCGGCCACACGTAAGTACACATCACATCTACCTTTATACAGGCACCAGTACAAAGACGGTGCAAGAGCCTAACTTTTGAAAACTATTTCTCGCACAAGCCCTTGTACACTTGGTTTGTTTATTATTTCTGCACCTTGCAACAAATTTAAAAAATGAAATTACAATCTGAACATGAGATTTTCTGGACTAGTTTAACACTAGTCCAGAAATTACTACTGCCAAAATGGTCATTTTAAATTTTAGGTTTTCATTAGTATTAAATTTACTAAAAAAGGTTAAATATAGGTAAACTAGATGCTAACTGTTGCAAGTAAACAGTGTGTTGCTATGGTAACTTACACTTGCACAAAGCTGAGATTGATCTGAACCTGTATCGGATGGAGAACATCTCATAAACATAGTGACATAGAAATACACATATAAAGTGAATGTCAACAAAGTTATGAAGACCAAGAATGTACATAATCTGAGTCCGAAATGAAAACTCGTCTATTTGACTCTTCTGGGAGTTCTCTTGTTAAACTGATGTTGTGTTTCTTCAGCGTGGGCACCCAACGCGGCGGCTCCCAGTCAGTGCTGCTTCAGCTTCAGCTCAAAGGAGATCCCTCCGAGTCGCATTATCTCTGTCGTCCCGACTGGCAAAAGGTGCTCCAAGAAGGGCTTCATGTACGTATTTACCTTTATTATTTTTAATGTAAATGTTTTCTTTCCTTACATACTTTTACTGTTTTTCCAGAGTCACCACTCCTCAAGGAAAAGTGTGTGTCGCCCTGAACCAGGGGTGGATGAAAAGAAAAATAGTGGATTTGCTTGATTCTTAAAATAATTGTAACTTCCTTTTCTGCTTTTTGTCATTCTTTTACTTTTGTTTCTCAACTCATCTTCAAACCCAAACCCAATGAACCAATACATACAAACTCAACAATGTCATAAAAAATAAAAAGCACCGATTGTTAATGCATAACCTTGTCGACTTTATTCTTAAACATGTACAGTTTAAGACAGCGAAACATAAAACAAAGAAGAAAAGCTGTGTACAAAACAAAACCAAAAGATACAAAAATGCGTCAAAACACGTTATTATCTGATACTCTTATTTGTAGGGGAGTGGTTCACAAGTACTTCAGTATATCTGCCTTTAGGGAAGCGCTAACGGATTGGACCTGAGAATGTGCATCCAACAGCAACAAGTGGAGATGCCATTTCTAAACTAGGCTTTTCAAAGTGGTGTAAAAGAAGATTAAATGAAAATACTTAAAAAGGCCATTGAGCCAAAAGTGTAAGTTAGGCATTTATCAAATCAAGCATCAGGCTGTTCACTCTTGTGCCCACTGTGCCTGTAGCCTCTTCCCTTTAGCTTATAATGCACCATGTAGAGTCAAAGATAACACTCAGATAGGGTCATTTTTTAGAAAACTATAAAGGGAACCAAATATATATATATATACTACCGTTTACTATTATCATTATAAACTGTATGAAAATAAAACATATGGCATAAGCTATTAGACAGTTATGTATGTTCTGCTTTCTGAATAAACCTGGATTTGTTCGCATACAAAAACATTTATCCGTCTCATGGTTGAAGTCATCTGGAATCCCTTTTTGGTTGTATAAAATGTCAAGCAAAACAAATTACAAAACATAATAACTGTAGTGTCACAGTTTGGCCTGGTGCTTTAAGGTTTCAGTCACGCAAAGCACTTTTAAAGCCACAGTATGATCGAATTGTGGTCGTAGTGGATCTCTCTCATTGTGTTGTGACAAAACATAGATCGTAAGGTTACTGGTAGAAAACATTACAACAAATACAGTATATAAAGGAGTTTAAAATTGGGAATTAAAATAGCATAAAATAGAGGGAAAGCCCAGGGGTGGTTTAGGTACTGGCTAGGTAGGACAACACCCATGACTTCCATCACAATATTAACACTGAACCCTGCTGTTCTGAACACACTGCTTTGCATAATTGCATCTATTCAGAGGGAAACACACATACGGCAATGACTGTCGCATGCTGTAGCATTTTCCTGAGTGTAAACTTTAAAAACAGGCAAATTGCCCCAATTCTCAACACTTCCACAAGCAAACAGTTCTCCATCTCCGACTATCCACAGTTTTAGTAAAAGAGATTTACCACAGCTTTCAGAGTTGTGTTTTCTAGATTTAGTCTTTGGAGAAATTTAGAAGAGGCGGCACAATATTTAAAAGATCCTGCATCCCCCCTCCCCACCTGGAAGCCTCTTCAGTCCTGCACCAGACAGCCTCATCCCTCTCTATGTGGGCCTCCCCGAGGTTTCTCACTTTCCTCACTGGGGTTTTTGGAGCTGTGCTGATGCAGGAGGGTCTAAGGACAGTGATGATCTGGAACATTTAAGGACATTTTTTCTTTACATTTATGGACATTGGTCATCTCGCTCCCCATGGACCAATGGCTCCAATCTGTTTGTCATTATTGGTTTTCCTGTGTTTAAACGGTTTGATTCTCTGATCTGTTGTTGAGGAGTTGAGCATGTTTTAAATATTGGTAAAATATTTCTCTCATTGTTCCTATCACTCGTGAACAGACAAACCAGCTTTGCTAACATACTTATTCATTCTCAGAAGTTCTTTAAAAGGAGATTAATATAGAATCAACTGTATAATTAATACTACAGATGTGGAAAAAACAGCTTCAGACAGTCACTGCCATGTGTGTCCAAGTGTAGTTCAGAGGCTAAATCCTCTTTGTCATATAATATATGTAGTGTTTTTCACAAACACATGCATTCTCCGTAAAAGCAACGTCTTACAGTAACAGACAGAGTGTATGGCGTCCAGTATAAGACAGGAGGAATGTTATGACAAGTGCCAGTGTCATCGTTTTCAGACGGCCACAGAAGAGGTGAACTTTGAGGAAGTCGAGAACAAATGAGCTTGTTGAGAAACAAAAGGAGCAGGATTTAGAAGATCTTGCCCTTCTTCTTGTTCTTTTCCATTGTTCTGTAAGAAAAATGACAAGGATTCTTTAATACTTTAAAATACAAATAGGGAACTTGCAAGTTTAGATGCCCATCAAGTGATATCAAGTAACTGATCATGTATTCAGTCAGATTTTAAGATAATGTGTGCTGCAGAAATATATGGGTAAATTGGTGTACCGAAATTTACTGAAATTTACCCGGCACTGTGGCGCAGTGGTTAGTGTCTGCTTCACAGCCAGAAGGTCATAGGCTCATTTCCAACCCTACGCTGACATGTTCCACTCTTGTCTGCTCCGGTTTCCTCCGGGTGCTGTAGTTTCCCCTACCAGTAAAAACCTGTGCAATCGTCGCCTGTAACACCCTCCCAACCCCCCACTCCAGCCCCCTGCCTGGGGACAAGACTGCCCTGAAAAATAAATTGTCCAACTTTCCTGGTTGAATAAAGGTAAATAAATAAATACATTTTCTTATATGAATAAAAATGTGTGGCCCATTAGTGATGCTGAATTACTCACTTTGATGCATCTAGTTTCTGCTGCTCCAGAATCTTCTGCTGAGCCTCCCAGTTGACCTTCTCCGCCTCAAACACTCGTCTCTTCTCCTCCAGCTCCTTGTACTGTGCTTCCAGGTTCCTTTTCATCTGCTCGTGGCGCCGCTCCAGCTGTCACCCAAAGGCAGTTTTATTATTTTAGCCGGATACCTTTTAAATGCGAGATCCGTTAGTTTTACCTCAGCCTCAGAGTCCTTCAGTTTCTGCCTCTTCTCTTTGACCTTCATCTCAAAGACCTGCTCCATCTCGGCTTCCATCTTCTTCATCTTCATCACGTGATCCCTGCGCTCCTCTTCCATCTGAGCCAGAGGACTTCTACACAAACGAGGAGAAATCTAGTCAGTTAACTAAAACTCAAGCGATGGAATGAGTAAGAGAAGAATGTGGACTTTCAGTGAACGTACTTGGTTAGCTGGCCCTTAGCCTTGCTGTTGTCCACTCCATTACAGGTAACTGCTGCGAGTTTCTTACTGCGGTAGTTCTCATAGTGGACATTGTTGGTGACGTCCTTCAAATTCTGCATGTGGGTCCTGCAGTGACGAGAGAAAATGTGTTAGTCTGCCACCACAAAAGCTTACGTTTGGCTAAATCAGATAGATGATGTGGCTTCACCTGATCAACATGTTGCGCAGCACAGTGAAGTCACAGTGTTCCCCATTCTCCACTAAAACACATAACATAACAAATAAGGAAAAAGCAGGTGCAAAAATAATTGTTTTTACACAAACGTTTCAAATATTTACTGAAGGGATCATGTTTACATCATTGTTATTGTTAGATGAAATTCATTGGAATTAATGGCTTATCAAAATGACTTATAGGACAGGGATACAGCGGTAGTGGTTAGTGTTAAGACAATGTCAGAAGTGTTTATTCATATCACAATGACTATGAAACTTTAGTTTCAAGAACCACCTCTCTTTGGCAGACAAAGGACTGCATTAGAGGGTCAGGAGGGATTCTGGAAAAGGGCCGTTGATAGTGTTGCCGTTGATGGTGTGTATGGTTCATTTCTCCGGTCTGAGCATCACTGGCCGCCTGCACTCAGTATGGCACCTTACCATTGATGAAACTTAAGCGGTCCCGCCCCTGAGGCTGCCAGGCCAGCCACTGACCTCTTGTCTCATCTAGAGGAGGAAGCTCTGACGGAGGGGAGGGGTACGGGGTTTCAGTTACTGTCTGCACCCATAAGCGGGCAAAATCTGGGCCTTCAGCCTATTGACTTCTGCCCAGATTTGGCCGCATATAACCTGCACAACTTAGGGAGTGTTATTAGAGGATCTATACATCACCAACAGGCACAGGTCTGAGGACATAGCTGAGGAGCTCAGTGGTAAAGTTTATGGAAAAAGAAGTGGGACTTGACTAATCTTTAAAGCAACTAAAAACACCTGATGCACTTTGCGCATGCCACTTCCCATACAGTGTTTAGGACCTTTTTGTAAGCAGAGAGCACATGCATGAGCATGGAACATGTGCTAAAACTACTTTAAATTATAGATAAAAGATATGGTCAAAGCCAGTCTATGATGTTCACCTGGGATGTACATGCCCTTCTCACAACTATTGCTGCATGAAGCTAGAAGCAGTGCGTTAGGGAGCGAGTCCCAGTCTTTGATACCCAGGTCAAAAACTCCCAACAACATCAAACAGTCCAAAGCACAGTTTTGGTCTTGTGATGCAGCAGGGGGTCGCCAGAGGAGCAAAGATGAGACCCCAGCATTAGAGAGGAGGGTCCAAAGCAGCCTGTGCAACAAACAGCCTTTGATTCAGTCCTGGACGAGTTCAGCATCAGACCTGGGACAAACCACTGGAGAAACTCTTAAGTACAAGCTGTGTCTGCTACAACCTGGGCCCTGTTATTACCTCCTACAGGTACTGTAATTGTCATCAGAGCATGACAAATACCCAGATTGTAGCAAACCAGACACTTGCTGATATAGCCAAAGACTGTTTAGTAGCTGCCATAATAATACATGGCTTTAAAGAACACATTCAAACTAGTAAATAAGAATCATTTACAGACTTTAGGCAAATATTTAACAAGTCCTCCCCAAGTCGGATGTATGTTGGTTTGACCATCAGCTTTATTAGACGGCACACAAGAAAAGTGGGAGTGACTAGGGTGGAGGAAGGACACTGGGGAAGGATGAGGGTCAAATCAAAATGGTTGAGTTTACCAAAAATGCCCTCTGTCAGACATGGAGAGGAACAGACAAAGAAAAAAGGAAAAGAGAAAATAATAAAAAGTTGACAGACTGGTCAAACAGAGAGCAACACATCACTAGTACTGAAATGTATAATATGGAATATACATGTCAAAAATACTACATAAAAAGGACTGCCTAAACATATAATTGAACCAAGACAAAACACACACATTTTTGGTTTTCAGTTATAGCAACCTGTTTTGACGTTTACATTTTCAAGTTTTTGAATCAAATACCATATTTCAGGATGTATATTAGGTCACCCACAGTGTTAACCATTGAACATAAACTAGCTGGAGCCAATTTCTTTATGAGCATTTGTTTAGACGTCATAGGGTTCAGGCCATAACAGGGGCATACGTGTTGCTAAGATAGTTGCTAGGGCAGGCTGAAGTTTCCTTTGCAAATGGGACCCGATTGTAAAAATCCAGATATGAGTACAGATCTAAAGCACTAAACCACGGATACATCTTAAATGGCGATTGTGACAGAGTGAGTTGGAGCAAAACTTTGTACAAGAGAACTTCCTGTCCATCTATATACAGTAGAATTTTGACATTTCCATAACACTAAAGTGCAATCCTTCTTTTCCAGAATCCCTACAGAAAAAGCAGGTTTATATGCATTTGAGTGAGTATAAACAAAGTCCATCTTGCACACAAAAAACAAGAAATGCTTTCGCTGCAGCTTCTGTTTGTGTCAAGAAATTCATAAATATGCATCACAAGAATCTCCATGACATACTGTGAGTACACCAGTTTATACTTACGGGTCTCGCACACGGCATGCCTCACTCAAACATGGAGCGCAGAAATAACCTGCTTTTACAGTTCTGTTGACACATCTATATATTACAGCTGTAGATTAAAGCACATGTCAGACAGAACATACCTTCAGCCACGCCCCACGGGTACTGCCGACCTCGGACCTTCTTCCCATTCACTTCAATCACCACATTGCTGCCGACGACTGCCAATGGCATCTTTTCCTGGAATAAAACAATGTTACTTGGTCTATGATCATGCGACTGTACTAGATCTTTGTCCAATACCTTAATTTTACGGATTAGCTTGTTGTCCTCGTCATCTTCTGTGTCTGGAAATTCATAAATCTTGATCTTATGTTCTTGTATCTCTTTCATTATCTGTAGATACGATTATAAAGTTAAAACGATGTAAATAATCCACAGACATGCAAAGTTCTCACTTGTTTTTTAAACAGTTGGCACTCCTCGGGGGTCAGGGTGTCAGCTTTGGCGATGAGTGGGATTACGTTGACTTTGTCATGGAGCCTCTTCATGAATTCAATGTCAAGTGGCTTCAGCCTGATGAGAAAAACACAACATGTGGAATGGCCAGATACAAAACACTTCCTAAACTCAACAGCAGGAGGCACTGTAATACTGTTGTCTGCTGAGAGCCAAAACATACAAAAATCCAACCTACAACTTAAATAAACATATATAGTTTTTTCAGGATGTTCATGAAATAGATCTACAGAAACAACAGACCAGCTGCAGAGTAAGTGTGGTTTTTGTAGTTAAATATATTTGTAATAAACTAAACAGTATTGAGCAAAAATGTATCCCTGGGATTGTTTCAAGGCCAGTTAAATTAAATTCATACATGTTTAGATTGAAAATAGGCAATATGATCTTATGTTGCAGCTGGAGCCGAATAAATGGATGAAAATGGTTGAACAAGAGGCCGGCCACAGTCTCTTCTCTGATTGGCTGGCTCAGTGATGGTGATCCGGCGCCTTCCGAGCATGAGCAAAACGGCTTATATAACTTTGTGGGTCACCAAAAAAGAAGCTGGCAGCTTCCTCATTTCAGTCTCAGACAAGTGCAGACGAGGAAAATAAAATTAGATTTAGCTTGTACCAGTCGAATGAGGAGGGAACAATGCGGTACCATTTAAATCTAAATACAGTTAGGCTTATTTAAAGTGCCCAGTTGGCAGGAGATATTGATCCACCTTGATTTTGTTGGATTCACTAACACAACTAATGAAATGCAATGGCTTGATACTGCCCAATGGTACAAAAGAGAAAACATAACAAGCTGAACAATAAGTTTGTGTAAGCTCTCAGTCGTACAGGGATTAGTCAAAGCAAAGGAAGGTTTCTCACCCATCATCTGTACTTCTTAGCAAGTTTTCCCGACGTTTCGTCCTCAAACTAGCGGACTTCTTCAGGGAATGAATTCTCGGACTGCGCGTTGGAGATTTATAACCTATGGGTGTGGTCAGCCACACCCTAATCCTGATACTAACTCATAAACAATCTAAGGTCTGCTTGATGTAGACCTTACTTCAGACCTCTACATCAAGCAGACCTTAGATTGTTTATGAGTTAGTATCAGGATTAGGGTGTGGCTGACCACACCCATAGGTTATAAATCTCCAACGCGCGGTCCGAGAATTCATTCCCTGAAGAAGTCCGCTAGTTTGAGGACGAAACGTCGGGAAAACTTGCTAAGAAGTACAGATGATGGGTGAGAAACCTTCCTTTTGCTTTAAGCTGAACAATAGTTTTTGAATTGAAACAAAGTTTGGCGTCTATATATGTTTTCCTGAGTGTCACATGCCAAGATATGAGGATGGCAAACCTACCCGTGTCCGGAAGGTGCGATGAAGTATAGGCAGCAGTGGACTCTGTTGTCAGGCATTGACCTGCGGTTGACCCTGGATTCTGCATTGAGGAAGTCCTCACACTTACTGTCAATGTAGTTTATGACTGGCTGCCAGCTGCGGAGCAGAGATAGTGTGTTTAGAGTCCAGAGGAAAAGGACCTGCAGGTTCCACTGAGGCTCTCACCAGTTGCTGTTGTCCACTGCGTCTCCAAACCCTGGAGTGTCTACTATGGTCAGAGTCAGCTGCACACCGCCCTCTTTGATCAAAACCTTTGACTGCTCTACCTAGAAACAAATATACACACATTTAGAGGACATTAGTGCCAAAAGTACTAATGCATTTGTCTCATTATTCAGAATATATTATTTCAGACTTGCTGAAGACTAACACTCCAGACTCCATTTTAAAGGATGTGTCATTATACTGGACTCCTACACACAAACTGTTAGGGAATCTGCTCTATGTGTGTGGACTGTATCAAGACGTGCAGGTTACAGTAAAAGACTATGAAACTTCTTTGAATCTTCCAAAAAAATTAATTAAAAACAATGCATCATCATAATTGGAAATATGATAATAATGAACCATTATTCATCACACCCTCTCAACGCTCATGTTTCCCTGAAGCTTTCGTAAAGTTCCCTTGCTCTGCTGCATAGTTTCACAAGCCCCAGAAGTTATTTTTGGATCCCCTTTAACTCAAAATACAGTCCTCATACACACATCCCTCAGCACCATCTATCACACTCTGCATGGGGTGTAGCATAGTCCAGCCGATTACCTTTACTCCAGACTGTTATTGTTGCAAGTGCTTGAGCGCCACATGTCAATCATCCCTTAACCACATTCCATTATGAGCCATTTCACTGAATAAAACACAACTGGAAGAAAACCTCAAATATGTTGAAGTTTCAAGTCTCCACCATCATTTAAAGGAAATCAGATCGGAGGACTGTCAGAGAGCGATAAAAACACATGATCTTTTTGGAGTATAAATACAATCGCTCAGACCACAGGTCCCACGGCAAACACACATTCACAGTTCACACAATAACTGCTACTTTTGAGTGCAGCTAGTGCCAAGCTGTATCTGCAGGGTTCACATGAGGCTGAATGTCACCGGCAGAGGCACGGAGAATGTGTCGACCGGGCTTTAATGAATGGAAGGAGATAGGCAGCAGTATTTTAGGCCTACTGTTATAGCCATCCATTACAATATTTGTAGCCAAGCATCCAGCTCGCAGGAGCCATGATGGAGCTAAATGTCACATGAATATGTCATTTCTTGAATTTTGAATCGTTTATTTTTGAATGCACTGAAAATGGCAGCAAGTCCTAAGAAGCTCTGAAGCAGTTGCTGTTTAGTGCTTTACAATCCTTATTTTTCTGACTTTTTTCTAGCTGTACATTTTGCTGCAGTACATTGTTCATGGTTTTACACTGATCCAGATCAGAGCAGAGAGGATGCACCGTCCGAAACCAGCAGATCAACCATTCTACAACATGAACACAATCTATTGCTCATAAATGAATAACTGCCCACCTACATCTGTAAAACCCTCAATGGGATTTACAAAATCATCTTGAAGCCCACGTGTATGAATGTATGATACAGTTGAGAGTTAATAAGCCAGTTTGGGTGTTGGGTTTCGTGGGAACATTCTTGCCCTCCTCCTGACCCTACGGCCAGTGCACTGTTCATCAGACCCTGCTCTTCTTCCGTCTGCACATGTCGAGTCCGGACCTCCTCCTCTTCATCATCTTTTACTTGAGCTCTTCTTAAAACATCCCTCTCTCCCTCTCTGCAGCTTCAGATCATCATGACCATAAAAGGCCAAAACACTCTTGCTCTGCTGCTGCATCCCACTCTCCACCAAACCACAATCTTATTTTCTCACAAGCGGGAGGAATTTTCCTAAAGGCATCACCAATAAAATGTATCAATCAGATATAGTCATATGGAATCATTTTCGATCAATCCATGTTTTTTCCAACCTGAAAACAAAGTCATATTGTTTTTGTAATAAGTTACCACCATCTATTAGTTATTTTTATCAATCACTAAGTAACAAAACTTCAAACTGATAAAAATTATCAGTTAAAGCATTAGCGCTTAGACTTACATAGGCCAATGTTTAGTTATCATAAAAAGTATTTTTAGTAAAAGTACTTTTTTAGGCCTTTCTGTCCATGAAAAGCATCAGTTTTTCAAACATGAAACCAATGAAGCCCTCCTTGGTCTTAACACTTTTCTAATTTATCTGTGTAACTTTTTCCTTTTTTCAAATGATTTATGTATGGAGGGAAATAATGAATATTACTGAAATGAAGACCACATAAGAAACTAGGTAGGAGCACTTATGAATTATATTTATGTGTAGAAAATGGGACAACATCTAAAGTACAGTAAACCCACCTGTACAGTCTTCTTAATGCGCTGCGATGGTCCTGGGTAGTCCTTGGAGTAAAGATCAGTCAGGAACAAGGAGTTTATGAGTGTGGACTTCCCCAGACCGGACTCACCTGAAGACAAAGACAAACAGGTCCCAATTATGTCATGTTTACTTTGGAGCAGTCACACAAACTGCCGACCACATGCCACGCTGGGTCCCTCCTCTACAGCTGGCACACTTACATTCACATACACACAAAGACACCACTGTGCACTTGTACACACAGCCCCGAGCACACAAGACAAACTGCATTCATTGTGAGTGAGTTAAGAGGTCAGTGGCTTTCATTGGTTAGAATATAAAACATGTCCGCTGAGCCCCACTGTTTCCCTTTCAGAAACTCGCCTCATACCCCTCTTGTGCTGCACTTATAAATCTTCCGGGGTTCTTTATTCACAGAGCCAACTTTTCTTTCTCTCCCATCTCATGCTGCTGTTTGGTGCGGACAAACAAACAGAGTTGATGTTGACTTGATAAATGAGCCCAGCTTCTTTAAACAAACACATACAAGGCTTCTGTGATTAATCGTTAGACATCTGGTGAAGAGCGTAAAGTGGAAGGAGGGAAGTCCACGTCACTCTGTCAAGTTGAGGGTGACCTGAGATGGCAATGGAACGGCAATTGTGTTTCAGTTCCAAACTTCCAATCATTCTGTGCTAATGGATTCAACTTGTGGGGGATTTCCTGGTTGAGATAGTCAGCAAAATTGCCTGCAGACTTATCGGGTCTACGTCCATATGGGGAGGATAGGCAGACGTGGATAGACTGGAAAGAGCAGATCCCGGTGGCCTGGACTAAACAGGACTTTACTATATTGCACTAGGAAGGATCATAGTTTGTATATTAGGCGTATACTGACCGAGTGTTGCCGTCATCCATTGTGTAAAGATGCCAATTCAAACATAAACTAGCTGGAGTCAATTTCCTTATATGGGCATTTGCCTAGACGCGTTAGCTTTGTGCCATGATGGGGCAGACATGTTGCTAAGATGGTCGCTAAGGCAAGTTCATACAGTATCTGACAATGAAGCCTAAAATGATGAGTATGACGCTCAGGTAGGAGTTTACATGTTAGTGTAAGTCAAGAGGAGCCAGAGCAGGTTGGCGCAAAAAAAAATTGGACTTCCCTTTTGGATTTCATTGAGCTAGGTTAGCATTGTCTATCCATATCCAGTCTATAGGAAAGGCAATTATAGTCTCTGTCATCTAAGATTTTTGAAAACAGGATTTCCTGAGAGGAAAAGCCACTGAACCAAAAGTTGGAACCAAAAGTCCTGTTTGAAGTTAACAAGTTAAAACAAAAAAAACATTCAGAAAGCAGAATTATTCAAATAAATTAATGTCACTATATTATGATTGTGATTGTGACTGTAGTATTTATAGTTGCTTATAGGCAATAGAGGTGATAGTCAAGCAGTGTGGTAGGGTTCAGGGGCAGACCCCTAGCTGCCAATACACAACAAGGCTTTCGTCTACAAAAACATGTATTGTATTGTGGAGAAATCCTTGGAGAGCATCATACCCCCTAAACTGCCTGTTTATGGAGAGAGAGCAGGTGGTGGTCAGGGGCCATATGGCCCTAAAACTGCAGCTGATGGACTTTTTATAAGGTTTTATTCAAAAGTGTCATAAAAGATCCAAAGAGGTACACCATGAGCAGATTACATTTTGTTACAAAAGGTCATGTCATTGTCGGTGCAGCAGGCTGTGGAAGGTTCATTGTCATTTTCATTGAAAAAATCCACTTTGAAATTTGACACAACTTTCTATTTTTCAAGTACGGACCCGAACATTCTCTGCACATCATTATGGATTCTTCACATTTACGACAACAACACCTGTTTGTGCCCAACATCCAAAACAATCCTTCTCTTCTTGACAGACAGTGACATGTACCTCATGCCTGATGCCGCAGCTGGAGGGAAGTGTGCAACTTCTATAAGATCACAGGTAGAGGCCAGATACTTTAGAGCAAAATGTGGCAAAAATAAGTGTTACTGAACCAAACATGCCACTTTACACCACGATGACAGAACAAAGTGTTATGTGAGCAACAAACAGGGCCATTGATCTCACTCAAACGACCATGTGACGACCGCTCATATCGGCTGAAATGTCAATGCTAATATGTTTAATCAACAGCTCCCAGCTCTATGTGACTTTCATTACAGAAAGTGACAGTGTGGTCCGATGAATACACTAAAAATAGAAAACATTTGATGCTGAATTCTCTGATTGATGTTTAGTGTGAGTGCTGCTCAACTGCCTGAGGGAAAGTCCATCCCAATTCACCCCCCGTTAGAGTTATAATTAAATATTGACTACACATGACAGGCTCATCGTCAGCTCCAAACATATAAAGCCCTGAGATGGATGGGCAGCACTTCAGCTCTGTACAGTCCAAGACTTAAGATACTGCAAATCAGCTCTTTCAGCAGACATCTTTAATCTGCCAAAAAATACATATTTATTTATGAAACCCACACCTTCAAAAAAAGGAGACAAACCTCAAGAGAATCAAGACCTCAAACCAGATGTTGAAACATAACAAAATAATACGATTTTTCTGTACACGTTGCTTTTTGGGGGCTGCATATGTCCCGTCCGTCAATGCTGCAGTACATAACCTAGGGATGCATCTTCCATAAAATGTTTTGCCTTCTCATTTACCCACTCACAATTGTATTTCAGAGGGTTTATTGGAGCAAGTCAAAAAATAGCACCACACTTTTAAACTAAAACAAACTATTTATTTTTACTTTCTCATTTTGGGAAACTGTAAAAGGTTAAAGTCCATTAATCAAAATGTTAATTTCAGAAAAATGTCCTCTTTAATTTAAACTGTTACGAAATAGGGCTGGGGCGATATACGGTTTGCGGTAATATAATTTTGAGGAACGGTATGAAATTTAAATACCATGATAGAATTTGCCTGACCATGATGTTCATCTTTGGTCCAAAAAAACATGCACGTGAAAACTAGTTATAGGAGCAAACAGTTTTGAGAGCAATAAGACAGATTCATTATTATTCATATAAAAGTTTTCCCCAACGTTTTATTTCTTGAATTATCAAGACGAACGGTGATGGTTGAACTTGAGTGTAGCTCAAGATCAGAACATTTAGAAGTCTTGACGGCCTTAAAAAGGGTTGTGTGGCTGCAGGTTTTCATTCCAACCAAGCAGGAGCACACCAGACTCCACTCATTTCATCAAGTGAGTACAGTCTGACCCTGAAGACCTGAGTAAATGAGTGGCGTCTGATGTGCTTTTGCTTGGTTGTAGTAAAAACATGCAGCCACACCGGCCCTTTTTAGGACCGGTTTGAAGACCACTCATCCATAACGAGCTATAGTGAACTTATTTTTCAAAGAGCAAAGCAATCAACTGTGTATGTTTACAGAGCTGCTTTAGATCGCACTGCGGGGACTGAAAAGTGTTTGAGTGGACACTGAGGGTTTCCCATAAGATTCCTGACATTCCTCACCCCTATGGTTTGTCCTGCCCTCAGGCCGCAGCTGCCCTCTCACATCCTCCTGACGGGACGGCCACTATCCCAACACACATATATGTGTGTTGTATATATACACACACACACAGATGTAACCATAAGCGCGCACACACACACACACTCTGACTCCACCACAGTCTGAAGTGAAACATCTGGGAAACCACAGCATGCAGAGTAGACAGACAAATGATGTGGCAGTGTGAGAGAAGCAGTGTTTGTGAAGGATTAGGCTATTGTTGGGCCAGAATGGGGCCAGGGGTCATCTGTCATTGTTTTAGGCAAGATAAATATCTGCACAGACAGCCAGGCTCAGGGGCCAGTCCAGATCACCTATCTGTGTCTGTGTGTCTGTGTGTGTGTGTGTGTGTGTGTGTGTGTGTGTGGCCTGAACACAATGAACAATGAAGATGTGTATAGAAAAAATACAATATTCTTAATGTTGTGTTGCAGATGCAAACATTGGATATGACGTTTACAGAGTTATATAGAAATGTTTTTTTTAAGCTTTATAACAATGATTTAGTTTCTATGAACTTGAACTTTTATGTAGCTCAATAATTTACACGTAGAATCTGCTGATTTTGGGGTGCACAAGTTTAAAATGGATATGGTTTGAGATCTAGTAAATTTCACATTCCAGGGTGCAGAGTAATTACCTCAGAGGACCCTTGTGTCCAAGACTTCCCGGAACGTAATTGTTTTAAAGTTTGCAGATGCGACAGAAAAACAATATAATACATACCTAGTTACAGGGCACTTTCAATTTGAAACAATTAGTTTTGATAATTCAAACAATACAATTCAGTTAAAAAAAGGCTTTAGCCCTATATCTAATTGGGGAATTTACATTTAATTGATTGAAGTTTGATTGCTGAAAGATCTCCTCAGCCTCATGCTTCTGTTTGCTATAGTATACATAATTATGATTCAGCTGTATGAGATGGTATATAGATGTGTGTGTGTGTGTGTGTGGAGAGTGTCTTTACAGGCAGCCTCAGAGCCTCACAGGGACACAACCTAGTTCCGGTTGGTTTGAAAATTAAAGACTGTGTTGGGGTGAGACCTAAATCCGACAAAATCAGCACGTGGCGGGTCAGAGTCGACATGTGCGTCTCAAAATAGAGTACGAAGAAAAAGAGCAGAGACTGGCCTGCAGCGATGTGATGCAGCGTGCACCAACAAGCTTCTGGGACCACCCCATCCACACAGACCAGAGCTGTCGAGAGCTGGGCCCAGAGGCCACCATCGTTCTGAGGGAGGGAGACCAGCCATCTACACTGTCCAGATGTGTACAGATGTGTGAAGGGGTCGTGCTATGAGTATTGGGAGAAGAAACAGCACACCATTATGACTTTTGGGGCCCTAATGTTAATACGTTCATTGTAATATCTGTGATGTTTTATAGTTTGCTTTTCACAACAACGAATAATCACAAAGCCTGTCACCAAAATAACTAAATCAACTTATCCCTTAATAATTGATGGATAAAGCGATATATTTTAAGCCATAATATTCATTGTCTATACATTGTCTTTGCAAACTTTTTTGTAAAATCGGCTG